GCTTTCCATTCTCTTCTTTTTCTTCACGCATTTCGAGCCTTTCCCTCGGGACTCGGCCAAGCGTGGCAGCCCCGCAGCAGATCCTTCCAGCGTGCCATGACGCAAAAGCGTGTGAGCTCATATCCGCGTACAGAAAGGGCTCGCGAGTTACGCGATCGGCATTCGCGCGTTCCACTTCGCCATTCATGTACTCGTAATTCGGTGTAAGAGAGGGGGGGGGGGGGGGGGGAGGAGGGGCAACTAAAGAAAAAAAATCGAAATTGGGCTTTTCTGCTGTGGCAAATTTGATGAGAACTAAGTGCAGGTCGCCACTTAACGTTGAGCCGGAACGAGTTCTGTTGTCCAAACTCCACCCTCATCCTGAGGAAGTGACTGCGTTTGATTCACCTTGGCCATATTAAACGCAAAAAGTTCATTTCGTCGTCAAGTTTGCGTGTTTGTTCGTGTACCGAAATCGAAATGGCGGTTGTAGTCGCCCGAAGAACCGAGGCAATATACAAAATTTCAGCTGGGACCACTTTCAAAACCTGCTCCACACCATGAAAACTTTCGGTTCTACAGCGCGTCTCATATACTTTGTGTACAGCTCTCTCAAAGTTACTAGCACGAGCGCTTGGCTTGGTCTACCGTTTCATTCGCGCGCGCTCGCGAGCTTTCACAGCGATAATGTGTAAAACAACCGACAATTATTCGCGGTGAGAAACTCGCCAGGGGTACTTCAGTTTTCTTCACCATGGGTAGTACACGTGCTACCCACGCGGTTACGTTTTAATTTCCATAGTGCATAGAAGCTTCGCACTGCACCTGCTTGCACCAGCAGAGGAAGTTGAAGGATCCTCATTCTGGATTGGGAAACAATTCCACCAAGCGGCGATACCCAAACTTATTGTCAACACCGCGGTGTCTTTCGCGGTGTCTTTCGCACACATCCCATTATGCTGATATTTTCGGCTTTAACCCTAAAAAGGTGCAACTTTGAAAGCGGTTGTTTTAATACTACCCCTTTTTCCCAACTATAATGAAAGAAAATATTTGACAGACAGCTTTCAACTCTACACCCACTGACTTTTATAACAAGCAAGGGTGCTTATATGTTTACAAGACCTACACAGAAAACCAAACAACGGCGCTCAGACAAATTAATAAACATGTAGCAAATACTAGAATGTTTTGTTGTTGATATATATATATATATATGTCAGCATATTAAATAAAATGCCAAATCGGAACAACCAGTAAAATATCATACAAGTGACAATTGCGTCTGAATTATACGTTTCGTTCATTTTCAGAATCTGGCGCCTAACACGATTTAAATTGTACACTCCCCATCGCGAATAAGCGCTGTCACTATGTCTATTTCAAGACCTTACAACACGGCAAACATCCGTCTATACTCTACAGGTATATCGGGGAACAGTACCTGGGCGCACGCCACGAGATAACGTTTATAGCCGCCTATTTGCACACGTGATTGGGCGGGAAAAAAGGGAAAGCGATAAATTAAGACACACCACGGTCTCCACTGACGGACAATCGTGGCAGCTTCCTCTTCTACTACCACGAACCGATGTCTAGATATCCGTCGCGATACGCGGTAAATCACAAACTGACCGTTAAACGTGGCAGTAGGTCGGGACATCAGATATATTGCATAAAGATAGCTTCATACCTATAAACGCTCTTTACGACTACAGCTTTCGGTCTGATGACACTCGCGAGTTTTAGTATAGTTCACCCAGATAACTCCGATAATCGTACCCGAAACTCGATCCGCTGATGCTTTTGACCCCGTACCGTTATCGGAGGCATATTGGAACAATCAAAACTCGTATACTGGCAAAAGCCCCATGCAGAAGCGGGTCAAAGGGATATATCGTACCAAAATCTCAAAAAGAGCATGCTGTTATGTTAGTAAACAAAACTATATGGGATGTTAGACTTCCGACAGATATGCGCTGATATATCTAAAGAAAAACACGCCCTCCATTTGGTGAAGTGATTATGGCAAAGCATTTCTGTCGTCTCCCGAGTATTTTGGAACCGAGGTTAGGAGACGACGTTCTAAATGCGGTCACGCGTGGGTGGAGCTTTGACAGTCGTGTCCCAGGCGTGACACAAAATTAAAAACAGAAAAAAAAAGAAAAAAAAAAAAAAAAAAGAGGACCCCTGCAGTGGAGTGTATTTCACGGGGCGGCGGGAGCGCGGATCCGTTTAGAACGACGGCACTTACGAGATAGACCTTGGTGGGCGGCCCGTCCTTCCTGCGGTACTCGTACGGCATCCTCCGGCCTGTCTTTGCGTCCGAGCATCAGCGAGAGGGACACCGTTTGACGCGACGGCGAGGATCCCAAGCCTCCATGCGCCCAAGCACCGCTACATGACTCACCGCCGCCGCAGCACCCTTCGCTCGTGTTCCGCTATGTTGCGCTTCTCGCTCTCTTTGCAACCGGGGCGCCATCTATCCAACTGTCTTCAAAACAAAAAAGTTACGCAAAAGCGCAACACGATTTCACGTTATTTCACATGAGGGCGACCGCAGTAGATGGAACAAACGCACCCCAGCGTTCATCATGCGCTGCTGCGTTCAAAGCGTTTAAAGCGCTCTTTCGTTGACTTCATTACGTGATGCAAAAAGCTGCCCCAGTGATCCCGAAAAGCTTCGATTCGCCCGTTTATACCTTTGCGATTGTAGCGCCATCTATCCAACAGTTTTCGAAACAAAAGGTTGGCGAGCCACTAGGCAAATTTCGCGTTTCGAACTCTATTTCGTCTATTTTAAAGCGCGATTGTGCTGTACTACTATTCATTGAAAACGCATTTAAGCTATCACGCTTAGAGCAATCTTTAAACAACATGAAAACCGCCCACGCGACCAAGCTGTCGGCGTGTGATCAAAGAGCAGACGACGTTGTTTCGATACCGCGTCTGGCCTCTAGTTTTGCTTCGTCACAGGATAAAGCAATAACGCAACGGTGTTCAAATAACAGCTGTAGACCCGACCAGCCCGAGACAAAACACGCGCGCAAGCAGGTGCACTTTTTCCTTGCAGATCTTTTTCTGATGCCCGCGCGGTAGCATCGATCAACAAGTGCCGCAAATGGTTAGCGCTGAACCCGCAGTTGAACTAAACAAAAAGAACGGATTCGCGAACGACCCATTTTTAAAAGCGGATATCAGAAACGTTGAACGCAACTTACTTACCCTGAGATATTCGGGCATTCTGGTACGTGTTTGCTTTCCAGAAGAGCCGGGCCCGTACTTGTTTACCCACGAGCGTCCTACCGCGCACAGCGTCTTACCGCACTGTTTGGTAATACCACAATGGGATTCGGTTTGGCAGCTTGCGCGACGCTTCTCAGCGTGTCATCTGCAAGCCGGCACAATCGTCCAACAGAGAGTGCCGCACTGACGGATGGAGGAACTTTGCGAGCCAGGGATGTCCAATAAACCGTGGCGTTGCCAAGGAACAAATAAAATACATCGATAGAAAAAGAAGCGTGTCGTTTATGTCGTAAATAATGGCTCCCACTTAAAGTACGGGAGCCGAGCGTTTGGCGCGCAAAGGCAAATGCCCCGTAGAGGCATATGCATCAGAAAAAACGGACCGCTAGTGCATACATTTTTTTTCCATTTTTTTATATGCGGTTTGGAGGGCAACGGCATGGACTTTCTAAGTGCATCTACGCCGGCTTACACTGAGAGAACGCAAATTGCGTTGTTTCGAAATGACTTTGAGAAGTCATTAACCTTACCGAGGGTTCCAGGGTCCAAAAAAGAAAATGAAACGCTATTTTTCGGCCCGCGTGTATAAACTACGCATCGCGGAAAGCTGGAACTCGACGTCAATCTGAAGCTAGCGGCGACGCTAGAACGCGAAAGCTGGGGCCTTAACATTAACTAAGTAAAAAAAAAAAAAAAAAGTTATGCGCTAGCGGTTTGTCTTTTCTGATGCAGTTCATGCGGGCTGAAAACAAAGTTCCCTTTCCCCTCAGTTTTGTGACTTTTTTTATATTTACACCCGGGGCCCTAAGCTCGTCAAACACAAAGTTGGAGCCGAAAGTTCACGGAGCGCGCCGATTGGACGTTGGCGACAAAAGCGCAAAGTCATCATCGTGATAACCCAATCGGAGTGCTCCGTCAACTTCGGCGCCAAACTTTGTGTTTGACGAGTTTACAGCCTCAGCTGTGACTTTTAACTACTTCTCAGATACCAGTAATGCTTCTTGAAAAACTTGTTTCACATTCTGGCCTTAGTTGCCCCTGTGCCACTAAACTTGCAATCATCATCATCATCACTCCTCTCACAGACACAGTATATCTAACACTAACTGCACTGCAATAAGTGAATTAGGCTTTATTTGCCAGAAAACTGAATACGGCGAAACGGAACCTGCACTTCTCGTGTACTTAAAATGCAAAATTTAGTTTTAAAGTTACTGATAACAGCTTTCCCGCACTGGTTACAAAAGAAACATTTTCGGTTTTAGCAGTTCCTTCCTGCCCGGTATTTTGAAGCTTAATCCTGCAAGCAAAGAAGAGCCATGCTGACTTGCATTTTACCACTACAATCAAAGGATAGTTCATGCAGCTCATAATTTACTTGAAACATATTCAAACATTGTTGCTCTCCTTCTAATTCAAATACAAGTCCTCCACCCAATGTGTTTCAGTCGACTGGGAAAGTGCACACTAGATTTTTGCCAAATTAGCCAAGCACCAAGTACAATGCTGGAAATGCAAGCACTACACAGACTTTCCATATTACCATAAGAGAATGCAAGTAAGCAACCAAAACAAATGCATGTGTACTGCACCATTCATTCAAAGTTTTTTTTGTTTTTTCTTGCTTTGGAACAGTTATTGCTGTAGGCGCCATCACATTGTGCTCGTAACTACACCTGCAGCGTGCTCCTTGGTGATTAGGTAATTTAGCAAAAGGTCTACTGATTGGAAATAATCAGCAAAAACCAGCATGAGCAATCCACACAAATAACATGTTTCGTAAGTAGAATGACTTGGCAATTTATTGAACCCATGAAAGTCTTTCAGCAGAGAGCCAAATGGTGGCAAGCACCAGGCGATGGTACCGAAATCAGTACGCTTCGAAGAACCGAGCCTGTGCCCGGACAGAGAAAGACCCGACAAATGGCTTTTGGGCAATCGGTGACTGTGCAGATTCGTACAAACAAACGCCTCTCGTGCAAAGCTATGCTCCATTCGCACCTAGCTGTCATTCGCAACTCTGTCTCAAAAAAAACACAGAATGCGTGCCTTTCCTACCAAAAAAGAATTCACCCGCAAAAGTGAAAGAAACAATTTGTTTCTCCCTATTTATTTACATGTACCGAGTTCCTTCGTGAAAAAGAGTTTGTAAAGAAACCTGGAAACTTCTCGAGGAACGTCGCAACGAAAAAGACAAACCAAAGGGTTTCACAAGACCGGAGCCCGCAGTTTCGGCCGGCCGAACGACGGCGGTTCGTCGGCCTCAATGTCACGGCACAATGTTGATGGTCCACTCCTCGGCCACGTTCACGGCTGGCTTGCGGATCCTTAGGAGGTGTTCGTTCTCCTGATAGACAAACTGCAGACTTTCTGTGCCTTTGCCTGCAAACACAGAAAGGTGGGACGCTTCAGAAACGTTGCCTAGAAAAATGTTACCCCCTTTTCGGTCACGAGAGGGTGCACAGTAGGTTCGGACGATTCAAACTGACATTTCGTACTTCTGGTTAGTTCAAATGAATGCCAAAATTTTCGTTGTTCCGCTATGTATTTATTGTATTTATAAGATGATTAATTCAAACAGCTTTTTCGTGCAATTCATACTTATTTTTCTCGCAGCCCCACCGAGCGTGCTTCTCTCTGAGCACCGGTGCATTGAGGAAAAGCAACACCAACTAAGCTCGCTTCTGCGGGTGTTGCTGCTCTGCAGCGCACCGGTGCTCGGTAAGAAGTATGCTCAACGTGGCCGTGCAGATTCGACAGCACATGACATCTCAAAACATGAAAAGACGGCACATGACACCTCAAACCAAACTTTTTGTTATGAAGTGTCATGTGCTGCCTAAACAGTCCACAATAGTCAACATTTTTTTAGCGACGAATAAACTTGTTTCACGGGTGATTTCATCTCAAATCGCGCATAAAAAAAATGATGGGTCCTCAAAAAAGTTTGAAAAGAATATATGTTGGTGGAAAATGTGTGACTAGAACAAAAGTGTGAATTAGAACTATGGCAAATTTTTTGTTCTCGAGTTTTGGGCTTCAAAAGAACAGAAAGTATGTCTTGCCATATTTGCAGTTTTTACGAGGGACACCTTTTGAAGCCTCAAAACTTTGAGATTGTTATTTTCACAACAATGATAGCTTTTTTTAATATCTTAAGACTTCATATAGAAGAGTTAGTTATCTAGAAGTGAGCTTTTTTTTATTTTACAAAAAGATACATTATTGAATCTTTCATCTCTAACAATAATCGGCCAAGTTTGAATCGAGCTAGCTTCAGATGTACAATTATTTAAGGCCTAAGGAACATATCAAATAAAAGCTTCTATTTAAACCTATTTAAAAATTATAATATTGTTAATTTAAGTGTAGTTGTATAAAAGAAACAACACTGTAAAACTGAGAACAAAAGCCAAAAGCACAAAATTCAGTCATTCTAAAAAAAAAAAAAATTTCTATTCCAATTTTTTAAAGCTTTCTATGTGCTCTTATAAATGAAATAAAATTTCTCTGACTATATGATGTCGTCAAGCAGTGCATTTGAAAAGAAGACATTTGTACCTCCATATCTCGCATATCTCTGTCATTTCGTCTTTCGCTTAAATATTGGTTATTTTTGTAACATTATCATAGTTTTTATTGGTTCTCGAGATCACTAGCAGTTCAGCAAAACTTCTAGTGAACTTTAACCCTTCTATTTAAAGTATTAAAGCAGTAGAAAAAGTTATTATTGTTGTGAAAAAAAATCACTAAATTTTGTGGGACTCCAAAATATGTCACTACTTAAAGGGGAGGTGCAACGATTTTATGATTAAAAGAATTTCCATCTCATCATTTTTACGTTGTTTATCGTGTCCCGGAGGATAGAGAAAACACTTCCTTCATTAAAAATGTCGCGATTCCGCTGCATAATCGCAAAGCAAAAGTCGAGCTTTTTCCCCCACCTGCAGCCCCAAGTGGCAGCCGAAAGAACTACGGCAAAAAGATTACGTGACCTCGCTCGGCTCTAAGCTGCAGCCTAACGCCCGCTGATGTCAGCAGAGAGAGGGAGAGGAAGCGTCCTCCAAGATAGCACACGGGAACCTACACGGCACTCCGAATGACGTCACTAGGAGGGGGACCGGGTGTGACCCTGAAAGCTGGGAGTGTGTTGAGGGGCGCCCGAAATGCCAATATTTATCTCTTTTTTACGCAACAACTAGGACACGCAGGCGAAATCGGTTTTCAGTTCTTTAATTCAGAAGTGTCAGAGGGCAACTTCCACAAATCTTTGATTGAAGTCCGGAAATCGTTGCACCCCCCCTTTAAAAGGGAACTGCAAAGAAGAAAAAGTGTTTTTTTAAACAGCCTAATTGGGACAAGCATGTCACAAAACAAATCTTCCGTGAAAAAAAAATTGTTTTTTTTTGGGCAGTATTTACGTTACAGGACGTAATTTAGTCTGAGTCACAACCTCTCCACATTTGAAACTCCCGCTCTTACGACGCGCGCGGAGTGGCTGTTATACGTCACTTCGTGACGTATAATACCAACTTTGCGGCGCCTGATTTAAAACAAACGAAATCAGTCCCACGCAATAAATATTGCTGTAAAAATTTTGCTATTGTTGGAAAATTGTTTTGTGACATGCTTCTGCCAATTAGGCTGTTTAAAAATGCACTTTTTTTTCTTTGCAGTTACCCTTTAAGAACTCGAGAAAAAACTCAAGGAAAAAAATATTTGCGTAGTTCTAATTTGCAGTTTTGTTCTAGTTGTACATATTCCACCAACATATATTTTTTTCCTGAATTTTTTTTAGGACCCATCATTTTTTCTTGCATGATTTGAGATGAAACCATCCTCACATATTTCAGCAATGTTTCATGTGTGGCATACCTGTTATGACCATAAGCCTGTGCAGAGAAAATTGTTAGATATCTGCTTTGCATGCATAGCCATCCATATCAAAAATTAAAATTTAATCTTGCATCATATTTAAATGATTTAGATGAATTTTTAAGTGTTTATACTTCCAATAATTCAAGCAAAATTTGTGGTTTCCTGGAGTTTGAATTAAAGGGGCACTGACATCACAAGGGTCATATTTTTCATCACTGTCGAAAACGATGCAAGTTGTAGTCATAGGCACGCTAAAAATTCTGCATCGCACAAAAAAATTTCTTTACGCTCGAGCGCACCTTTTAATTTTTGGCGTTTTTCTCTTTCTCTCCTCGCCTCCTCACTTCTTTTGATTAGTGATGTCAACAATCATGAAATTTAGAAGCTTTGTAGGCGACATTTGCATAACATTTAATAACGGCAATCGTAAAACATGTCTTTTAACGCAAATGCAAATGCACTACGGCCCTTCTTCTGGAAATACCAAAAATCGGAGTCCGGTGTGATGTCACCTCCTGGATTTGTATCCTCCCTTGGAAAACATGCCGCCTGGGCAGGCAGCACCACAGTGGGCGGCACCGCTTGCACGGAATAAAACCGGTTTTCCCCCGACCGCCGGCGCCCTTATCTCCCGCTTTTCACCTCCTTGCTTCTGGTCGCGGTGGCAACAGCGGTTTGGAGCACGGAGTCGTGGAAGAAAGTAGACTCTCAGGACTCCGCAATATTTTACGTCAACGCACCGGCGCAAATCGCGCGGGAACTTCGAAATCGGCATTTGGAAGTTGTGTTTTTACTTCACAAATACTGAATTTCCAGGTAATGTTCCGGCATAGTTTTCAATCGTTTCGGATAATAAAATATAACATGATTTTGATGTGTCAGTGCCCCTTTAATGAGAGTCTGCTGTACAAAAGACCAAATGACTAGTATAATCTTTACATTGAATCAACTCAAGAAAGCGATTACAAGACAAGAATAGTTCTGCGTTCAACCTCGAGTGAGAAAGAAGCAAGCATTCTATGAGAAAGATGAATAAGACTGAGCCTGTTTGAATTCCCCTCATGCCCAACGACTTGGAACAGAGTTAAGAGTTAATGCAGTTCCATATTCTTCGCTATTTTGAGGGTTATACACATCTAGGGTATGTCAGCCCAAAGCCTTTAAATCAATCAGCAGAAGTCACATTGACGTCCCTGCTCCATGCTGTCAACGGGCGACAGCTCAAAAGTCAAGAGACGCGTCTCGCCGAGAGTCCCCACGCGGTGCCCAAAGTTTCTCACGCCATCCCTTCTGCCAACTCCACGTTTTTTCAGCACTGGTACAGTCGTGGCACACCAATACGGACACTTCCGTACCCTCCAAAATCGTCCACAATACAAGTTGTCCATAATAACGAGACAAAAAAGCCCATACTTACCCACTTCGCCCTCTAAATTGTGTGTACAGGCTGTTTACAAAAACCTTGTGCCACGAATGAATAGCGCACCTCAAACCAACGGAGTATTGTTCACAATCCTATCGAGCGAGTGGAGATATTTGTGCAACGGGCCAAACTGATGAATGAGCTAACCTTTTAAATTTCAGTTCATGCACAAAACCTTCAGATACAAAAGTTGTAGGGCATGCTGAGAAACATCCCATCATGTCGTTCCCATCAAGGTAGCTTTCGTGGGAATATTTTATTCTCAAGCCTTAAAGAAAGCACGCGAGGTTTAAAGCATCCTTTGTGACTAAAGAAACGAACATTGCAGTTCGCCAGCTGGTATTCGCGCGGTATTTCTTAAAATCACGTGCTAGCTATCCGAGGCTTTTTTTAAGCTCTAAAGATCTGTGCACACAAAGGCTACCTTTACGAAAACAACACAATGGCTCGTTTCCCAACACGCCCCGCAACTTTTGTATTGGAAGGTTTGTAAACAAATTAATATTAAAGAATGTGGCTCAAGATTACACCCGAATCAGCCAGTTTGGCCCATCATAAAAAAGTATCTCAACCTGCTCAATAGGACTGCGAACAGTGCTGCATTGGTTCAACACGCACAGCGTGCACCAGCTTTTTCTAAGTCCCGACAGAAGTTAGCCGAGAAGCCCAGTATGCCGAGATGTACGTATTAATGGGGTCCACATGAACCAGACGGGACTGTAGTTGCGAATAACGTACGGCAGTGAATTCGCAAAGCGACAGGAAACACTCACTAGAGGTGATGGTGACTTGAGAAGGTGATGAGGGGTATCCAACGATCACTACCCGCTCGATCCACGCCTTTGTCTTGAAGTTGCCTGGTCCTTCCAAGAGCCTAAAAAGCCAACAAACCCATATATAAACACTCCTAAAAATTTTTCCGCCCTTTTTCGTCCTATTTAGATGAAAATCTCGTACTGGCTCTAGTTTTGTATGCCAAGTACAAATCATTCCTTTGTTTTCCCCCATTTATCGCAGTTTACAAAAAAATTCTGACTTTACGCTAAATGTTTGTGCACAATTTTTTTACAATATCTTTATAAAAATGGTAAAACATGTGTCTAAATTTTCTGCAAGCAGTATAAAGGTCAATAAAAGCCGATTTTTATATATATCTTTTTTTATCCTAAATTAAACATTGAAATTCTCCCCCTGATAACTGATCCACAGTGTTAGTATTGATGCAACAATTGTAAATGAGTTGTGATTGCCAATTAGAAGATCTTATAATTGTATAAACTCTATAAAACTCTTAGTATTGTTGCAATCTCCAATGTATGAAGAACAAAACCTAAAAGAATCATGCAGATCCGAATTCAACACCTGAGGATACAAAGGCGAACCACTGCATCCCGACAAAAAAAAAAATTAATTCCCAGAACACACAGGTTTTATTTTAAACATTCCGAAACTTCAATACAAATCAATGTAACTAAATGAATGTACCCCTCCCGGCTGCAATATTTTAGAGAATAGGTAGTGTGTGATAGAAATAAATTGTTTTGCATGCCATAAACCCCACACTTCTTTCAGTATTCTTATAAGATTAGCTGCTACAAGGACATATCTACACAAATCAAGGATTGGAGTTTAAAACAAAAAAAACAGCTCGGTGAACCCTGCCCCCTGCTACAGAATCTACTATTAATATCTATACATAAAAACTGCAACACCAAAATACATACACTAAAAAATTCAAAGGGGGAGGAAAGACCCAATCAAAAATCTAGAACTCACTTAGACGTGAGCTTGTTGTCTGCGAAGCGATACTTGAGGTAGAGGAAATCGCCCTTCTTGTACTGGAAGCTGAGGCCATCGTCCACGTACAGCGTGCCCTCGGCAGACTTGCTCTGCGAAAAACATTGTCCATGGCAGTCAGCACTAGAGTTTTGCCAGGACAACAGCGTGCTAGCCCATGTCTTGCAGAGTAGAACATATTGCATGGACGACCTTCAATCAGTCACTGGCCATGGGCTAGCCACTGGCCATGGGCTAGTCACTGGCCACGGGCTAGTCACTGGCCACGGGCTAGTCACTGGCCACGGGCTAGTCACTGGCCACGGGCTAGTCACTGGCCACGGGCTAGTCACTGGCCACGGACTAGTCACTGGCCATGGCATAGTCACTGGTCAATGGCCAGTCACTGATTATCAGCTAGCAACTGGCCATCGGCTAGCAATCAATGAGTTACTGGCCATCAGCCATTAGCTAGTCATGTCATCAGCTACTCAATGGCCATTGGCTATTGGCTAGCTATTGGCCATCAGTAAACCATCAGCCATCAGCTAGTCACTGGCCAATGGCTAGTCATAAACCATCGGCCAGCAATTGGCTGTTGCCTAGCAATCAACGAGTCACTGGCCACCGGCCATTGTATGGTCATCAGTCATGAGCTACTCACAGTCTGACCGTTGGCTAGTCATCAGCCATCAGCTAATCACTGGCCATTGGCCATCGACCCTAGCCAATAGCGGTGAGCAGCTATTATCAATCCTTGGTATCTTATTCGAGGTCTCCCCCCTGTCACTACTGTGCTGCTTTCAATCCTCTCATCGACCAAGGTTGAAAAAGAATGTTTGCCTTCGCTTTCCCCTTGAATGGGGAAAACAGCAGAAGGGAAAGTTCCGGGAAGACCTGAGAACATCACACAGGTCCGTCTTTGCAAACATGACACGAGGATTGGGCTACCGGAAATTCCATACACAGCATAGGTTTCTTAAACTTTCCCTGTAATGATTTTCACTGTGCAGTAGATTAGTGCCTACAACGACAGTCCTACATCTAAAAAAAATCCCACCACAAAAAATTTTGAAGTTTTTCTGCAAAAGCTTGCATGCAATCGTCGCAGTTGGGGTTGGAAGAGCGGAACGATGGCATCTGCGCAGTGTCGCATGTGTGCTTTCGTGAAAAAAAAAAAAAGAAACGGAATCACGCTAAACAAACTCGAAAGACATTAAAAGCATCAAATTGCGTCACCAGCACAGGTAAAACGGCGACTCTCACCTCCTTGTCGAGGGCAATCTGTAGCGTGTACGGGTCGTCCTTGGTTAGAGACGAACACCTGCGTAGCCTTTCCTTCTTTGGAATCACAGTGCCTCCTCGCTGGTACACAGGTATCTGGAGGCAAGCAACATTGGCCTCAGATATGCCACGACCACTTGACCACTGCTCCGAGGACAGGCAGTCCAAGGACATCAAGCACAAGGACTACAGTTCTGAGGATTGCTTCTCATAGAATTACAGTGGAATCCCATCGATACAATCTTCAAAAGAGCCAAAAATAAAATGCATTATCCCAATATCACAATATTCTAAACGGACTCAAATAGGTCAGAAAATATGCCTACATGGCGAGGAACTTGCTTTAATCCTGGAAGCAGTGCATACTGCCTCCAGGATTGGACAGCCTGTTTTCTTCAAAAATTAGACTGAGGAGTTTTTATTATAGCTGTCCTTTAAACGTAGCTGTTTTAGCATAAACTGCTTTGGCTGGCCATGGTATTCATGGCCCAATATCGTGGGCCATGAATAGCACAGCCCATGGCACTCATGGGTCGTGTGATTATGGCAGCCATTGTGTGACCACAAGTCGCGCGGCGGCACAATGACAATGCGGCCGCGCAACAGGTCATTTGTGGCTTCTTGAAAAGCAACTTAAGCTGACACATTTAAATTTAATTCTATTTAATACCTATTAAAATTTATTTTTATGGTTATATTATCTAAAGTAAAAATATATGTTCCATATCAAAATACATTGCTCCTATGGAACATTGTCAAGAAATAAAAAATACATTAAAAAAACAATTAAAAAAAACATATGGGTACTTGTATAAAGATTCCACAGCATAACACACAGAATTTTGCTCTTCCAAGTCCCTCACTCAAAGCACTACTGTCTGAAGGATCAAAGTCCTACAAACCACTGTTAGAGAGCTTGTCCAAGTGCTGCTACAGTCTAAGCTCGTTATAACAGACCTTGATTGTGACCAAGATTTCGGATCGTTGTAAAAGGAGTATGTTGTATGCAGATATGAAGCTAAGTCAATGGTATGTAGAGGAAAAGCAACCAAACTTCACAAATTGGTATGTTATATCCAGGGTTCTCCCCAGGAATTTCTGAGGGGTGGACATTACCAGGGGGGGGCGGTCAATGGTATGTAGAGGAAAAGCAACCAAACTTCACAAATTGGTATGTTATATCCAGGGTTCTCCCCAGGAATTTCTGAGGGGTGGACATTACCAGGGGGGGGCGGGGGGGGGGGAGGGGCAGGGGGGAGGTTTTTTTGTTCTGCAAGCTCTTTAAGGGGCACCGACACCCCCCAAAGATTTTTTTTTTTATTCTTTGCCAGGCGATTCAATATGATGTCAGGAGACCACCCAAATCAAGATTTTGCTGCAGTCATGTACATTTTTAATAAAGCAAAAAAGCTACTGCTCGAAACCGAGACCCAAGCACAGAAGCTCATGACCAGCGATCATGCGGTAGCACACGACCACATTTTTCTTTTTCTTGCTCCGCCTCTACAGCCTCTGAAGCAGACGACGACGACAATGACGACAACGAACTTGCGCGAACCGTTGGCCGCGCGATAGTTTTGCACTTGTATCCCTTCTGCTCAACGTTTTGAACTCGAAGATGAATTGGCCAGTACCACGATTGACAGTTCCGAAGGTACGTCGCCATATCAAGGATGACGTGTACCTGTACTTCCCGTAATCTGTGCAACATTTTTTTTTTTTTTTTTGTGATTAGGGTATTTTTTTTTTTTTTTTTTTTTGGAGACCACAAAAATTATGTTTGTATTCTTTTCTATCTTTAACACTGAATGTGCGCCTTAGATGACCCACACTTCAAATATATTTGATAGACATAGTTTGAACACCATGTGACTATAGAAACAAGCGTGAGTGCGACTGGAACAGGCCGATTCTCGACCGCCTGTTCCCGGGCGGAAAAAAGAAAACAAATTTCAAGCCGCAAATTGTGTTTTGGGCAGTTGGACTCTCATGGGTCAGGTTCAAATACAAACCTCGGCGAGCGTAAATACCCCGTCAGTGTCCCTTCGACCTAAATTCAAAGCTCCGACCCTCCCGGCAGGCTGCATCCTGGAACCCCATTGTTTTATGCCATGGAAACCAATTATTCATAATTTTTTTTTTTTTCAATCAAACATCTGGAGCTACGTCGGTCCCAGATTCTCTTACAATTTCCCCATGCAAGATGGCACTTGGGGGCCAGCCTCACCTTCCTGAGCGTGACCGGTACAGTCACTGTGCTGAGGCCCTCGTGCTTCTCCCAAGTCTCCACGTCGTACCACACCTAAAAAGAAAATGAAAAGCACAATTAGTGTTTTTTAATTCTACGGGTAGAGTTGGAAAGAAAGAATGTTCAGTGTTTCGAGCTGCGCCAAGTTCGCGCGATATCGACACAGTGTCACGTGACGCGGCGTCGTAAAACGCCGCGATGTCGAAGCGTCACGTTCGTCGTGCGGCGCTTGACCTTCGCTAGGTTCGGCGGGCAGGCGACAATTTTTCGCAATGGTTCTTCACGGCTTCGCGGCACACTTTCCTCGAAAATCCCGGCTTGTAAACTTTTTCCAATTTGAAAATATGGAAACGTGGAGGGTCGCCAAGTCAAGAGCTCGGACAGACCTGCACCAAACACGTCGCCCCAACGCCCGGCGAGAGTCCGTTTTCGCCCCTATAATCGATCGCTCCGTCCGTGCGAGTTCGGATTTTTACGGGTCAATCCCAATTTCTCTGCCGAGAGCACCACACAGATGGATCGGTACCGTATACACGCAGTTGCCATGTACACGATCTATGCTTTTTCGCATTTCGCTCGCAAACCTAGGCAGGAAGTCGCTGCCAAATGCCGGATTCTACCTCATATAGGCCGATTGCGTTGCACCTCGGTTTCCAAAACTGGGTTCCTAGGGACCAAGGGGATCGCCCAAGAACCCTTTGCGATTCCCCACACACCCAAACGTTCATATGGCCTTCCCAGCCCCCGAGGAAAGTGTTCTCCCAGTTTAAGTGACACTAGGTGTTTTAAAAGATCTGAGGAAGTCTTTTGAAGCATAACCGTGTGACAAACATGCCCTAGTACAGTGGTTCTCAACCACTGATGTTTCAGGTACCCCTACTGGTTCGACAGAGGTGATGGGGGACCACATCCACCCGAGGGTGGGGGTAATAGACGATTACGATAACAAAGGTGTAAAAAAGAAAACTAAGTGCATGCAAGCCCACTTTGAAGCTCTGAGACAATGAGTAATCAATCCTACTTGCTAGGAACATATGGTTCGGTACATTTCAATTTGTGAGAATCAATAATTAACGAAGTTTTATTACTCGGCTTGACTGAAGTTCGGGGGCTCTGGGGACCGCAAGAAGGCCTTCAGGGGCCCCAAAGGGTCTGCAGACGCCCATTTGAGAACCACTGCCCTAGCATATGCATTAACGTTGAAAGATGTTTCTGCAGTGCTTTATTGCATCAATGCTAAGACCAAAACGGGTTCTTCGGTTGCCATCCAAAAAAGATGGTAGGCGTCCCTCTGCACTAAAGTTTGGGAACCCCTCCATTACACAAGAAATCATTTCACCCAAGCCATTGAGCCACACGATAAAAAAAGAAATGCTGGTTCCACAAAAACAGAAAGTCGAGCCCCCCCCCCACTGACCTGGTTCTGGCCTGGGAAGTAGACTGTCGCCTTGCTGGCCCCAGCCTCCACCACCGGACGGACCAGGAGCCTGTCGCCTGGAATACCATGGGAACCACAAGTTGGCCGGGAGGACACGGCACAAGGGAGACGAGGAGCTAAGCGGCGCAATGAGGGCGCCAATGCTGAATCTCGAGTTCTCAAAACGTGAGTCTGACATATCAAATCGCAGACGTAAAAGAGGAAAAGAAAAATCGCAAACTTTTGCCCTTTCCAGCGAAACTATGTCAGAGCATCGCGCGAGAGTGCGACACATTCGGGTCTATGGTCGCCGACAGGGTGAGAAGGGCAGGCAGTGTTTCAAATGCACCAGCCTCCGGTGCATGTTCCGTGCCTTCTGTTGTGCTTTGGCTGTGCGTGCGTGATCGAGGAGCACGAGACGCGGAGCGCTGTTAAAGGTAGGAAGCTTGCACCGGAGGCACAACAAATGAAGCCCCCACCCCCCGTTCCCACCTCAGCAGTAACTACCCAGGGGTCCTATTTTTGGTCAAAGCGAGAGCAAGAACTTTTTCGGCCTCCGATTGAACGCAGCGCCGTAGCTCGCGCGTAGTCAGTTGATGGAACTCTTTTTTTTTTACTCGTTCGCAAGTTCGATGTTGGGAGAAATTTTGACGAGACCTTTTTACCAACTCCCAAGTAGCGAGAGTGGTCTCGTGGCCTCTGATGTGCTTGTCCTTAGGACTTCACCTAGTGGTCGACGTCAGTCTGTGTATGACAGCAGAACACCTCGAGGTTTGCAAAAGGAGCGCAGGTTGTCAACGACTTCCAACGTAAAGGAGCGGACAATCGTATTTTCCACCCGCGTCTGATTACGGTGTGCCGCAACACTCAATTCGTAGCAAACAATCAAGGCTGGGCTTCACATCTGGTTGTTCAGTTTCCACGTGGCAACTTTAGACCTAAATTGCCAAAGTGCCAGGTTTATGCTTCGTCGCTAATTACTGGGTTTACGTCCGGCACTTTAGCAAGTATGTTGAGAGCCAGAGAAAAGTCACAAAAACACAGAAGAAAAGCACCCTGGCACTAACTAACGCCGTGGAGGAAAACTGCACCAGGTCCAAGTCAGGTTCCTAGGACTGCAAACTTGTGCCAAGCTCGAGTTTCTCTGGGTATACATCAACAGAAATGGAAAACACCGAGACCTGGCCCTATATATGTTGTGCACTCAAGGAAAAGACGGAATGCACCGCGTGCCCACCTATGAGGTGCTGGTTGTCGATGAGGAAGGTGTCCCTGTCGCCGGGGAAGTCGAACCAGAGGGGGCGGAAGGGGGGCAGGCCGGTCCTCTCGTTCTCCCAGAACAGGGTGTACCAAAGGGGCAGCAGGGCATAGCGCTGGCGCAGGGCGTCCCGCACGTGCTCCAGCGTCTCCTCCCCAAAGTGCCACGGCTCCCGCCGCTTGGTGTGGATGTGCGAGTGGGCCCGGAAGAAGGGCTGGTACGCCCCCGCCTGACGGAGGGGTTGGGGAGACCGTCAAACGTCATATTCCGACCGAAGCAAACGCGCATTGTGTGGCATGTCACAATAAAGAGGGGAAGGTAGAAGCGGAGAGGGGAGAGTTTCCCTTTCCACGTTTGTACCTGTCGCCCTCTATGTGCTCCACTGTATGTCCAGAAAGACATCAAGACGGGTTCAGAAAGGATCTACCCTACCGAAAAACCCAGTACAATGTTCCACTATCTGGATTATGAAAGTGCAAATTTAACTGGAATTGTTTCTTGAAATGGAAAATCCTGATTGCAGACAAAGGAATAATTTCTGAAAACCTACAATCCAGATAGATTTCCAGTTCCATAATACAAACTGCGAAAAGTTATCTGGATTTTTCGGTAGGGCAGACAGGTTTCGAACGACATCCAGACAGGTTCGGAGAGACTTTCTGACAGATTCAGAAAGACACTGAGACTGCTGCAGATCTCCGCTTCCTGTTCGAGCAAACCCACCTGGTACCAGCGCACACTGAGCTCTGCATCCGGGTTCTTGAAGAATCCACCAACGTCCGCGCCGGAGAAGGTGATGCCAGCCATGCTCAGGGAGAGGATCATGGGCACCGAGATGCGAAGGTGATTCCAGTCCGCTTCATTGTCGCCCGTCCACACGGCACCTGGTACAAATCAGAGCAAGGTAGCCCTTATGAGCCCGTCAGTCAAATCGGCCGAGCCACTTCTAAAAGTACAATGTTTTCTGGCCCATAAGTCGCACATATAAATTTTTTCCGGTTTATAAGTCGCACCTATAAATGTTTGTTTCCACAAAAATGTTTGTACAAGGGTCGCTCAAGGTTGAACGACACTTCTATTCATGCAGGGGAAATGTAAAATCCCCCAAGCACAAACCTATGCCAGTTTGCCAAAATATTCCCCGTGCGTATCCGGGCTCCGCTACCATCATTTCAACTGCTCCTCGATTCCTTCGTCACAAAAAGAACTGGGCTGCGTGAGTGTAGTTGGACGAGCGTGCGCTTCGTTTGTCACTAGCTCCATGTGCTTGTTCGTAACATTGTTTGCTTCTAATACTCCACTTGCAATCCTTAAAAAGTTTAGGCAAGTTTCACTGTCGCCTTTACTGCAAATTCGATTATGCACCAAGCTGCTCCATAGCTACAGACACAATGCTATCATGCTGGGCGCAGGATATTCAAGAAGGATGTCGTTAATGTCCTCCGCAAGTTTTCACCATTCTATACTTGTTCGGCAATTCCTTAAGGACAAAGTTCCCAGTCAACCCTGAACGAGCTTTGTGCGCAAGTTGCACTCACACATTTGTATGGTCGGCACAGCAAAACTCCACTGATAAGCCCGCATACATATATTTGATCGCAACATATATGAGGAAGCGACAGCCAGTTTCAATCCTCTCGCCAATGAATCAAACGAGAAGTAGAACCTCTGTGGCAAATTTGTGCAGTCAAGGTCCTTACTTACAGAATAGAAAAACCAATATAAATTGCATAGTTGTACAAAACACACCAAACGAAATGTTTAAAAAGAAAAAGGAAAAAAAAACTGCGACTCGTACATAGAAAAACATGCTACCATATTTTCCAGTCTAAGTTACGCAGTCATATAAATTGCATCTCCCTATAAACTGCTGTTCTCGTGAAAAGCTGGCGTCACACCTTTGTTAAAATCGTACTCCCTTGCATAGGCCCAACGCTGCATGAAGTTGCCATTGTCAGTGACCTCGGAGGGCACGCTTCGTTCAGACTTCGGATTGCCAGAAGAGCAAGCCATCGGCGGTTTCTCTGCAGTTCTTTTTTTGTCGTAAATGTCAATGTCGTAAATGTTGACCATGCACAGTTAAGGTCAATACTTATAACTAGGGTGTGTACTTTCCGGTGTTTATTTGTGAGAAAAATCGGCGGATGTTTTTCGGTGTTTATTTATTCTCAAAGCACCGGTGTATTTCGGTGGGACGTCTCACGACTAGGCTAAAATCGGTGATTATCAGTGGAAAAAAATGCGATGGATCACAGACAGAGTTCTAATTTTATTCACATATTTCATACACTTCTTCTCTAGGAAGAATCTATTTTCACACTTGGTTATTATAGTAGATGCAAGCATACTTCGAGAGGCTTGCATCCGTCATGGCAGCACGTTCCTTGCGGTTCTGAACCCGGAATTATGAAAACGCGTGCTCCTGTACGACACGGACGTTGGCAGTGTCTTCCAGGAACCACGGCAGCCTCTGAATACATGGCTTGCACCGACATCACTTGACCAGACACAATGGGGAAAGGGCACGTGAAAGCCTACCCTCCACTGTGTTAACTTTTCCACGAAAGGGGGCCATGGTAGACACAATAGGGGAAAGGCGTGTGAGAGCTTAGCTTCCACTGCGTTCACTAGACGCTTTTGACCCCCAGAAAGGAGGGCGGACTGACGCCACGTGCAAGGCATGTATAAACACTGGAAGAATGCAGGATCCACGAGATAACACGTTTGACGAACCTCTACGGGTAAAGGGTTTTGCTAGGTCGGAAACATGCAACAACCGGTGTTTTTTTGGTTTAAACCAGGGCGAAAATACCCAACCACCGGTGTTTTTCGGTTTTAACCGATTTTATATTTTTGTCACCGACGGATGTTTATCGGTGTTTTTCGGTTAAAACCGAAAAATACACACCCTACTTATAACAAAAGAATGCACATAAGTCGTACCATTGTACAAAACGCGTTATTGAAAACTTTGAAAAAAAACACTAATTACACTGCCTTGTGCGTGGCGAAGTGGTCAACGTACCGTATTTACTCGCAGAATGAACGCGCTTTTTTCTCCGAAAAATTGATGCAAAGTTGGGGGGGGGGGGGGGGGGGGGGGGGCGTTCATTAGGCGAAGTAAAATTTTTGCGTCCGTATTTACTCGCATAATGAACGGACCTTTTATCCTGAAAAATCGAACTTCTTATCTCTTTGCGCGCGGCGCCCGACCCACTAAGCTGTGCAAAAAAAAAAAAAACCCTCTTTGTTTGCTTTTTCTTTTAATTCCTTGGGTGTTTGTTTGTTTTTTTTGCCGCCTTTCGCAAGCTGTTTTGTATGCTTAGGCGAAGGCTCTCCGCTTATCTATCTTATCCCCTTGCGCGCGGCGCGCGACCCCCGTAACCAAACTGCGCTGTGCAAAAAGAAAAAAAAGCTCCTCTTTTTCTTTTGTTTTTTCCTCAGTTCCGCGTTTTTTTTTGTTTTTTTTTTTCTTTTTGCCGTTTTTCGCAAGCTGTTTCGTTTGCTTAGAGGGTTTCTCCGGTCCCCTTTCTTACCTCCTTGCGCGCGGCACGCGATCCCCCGTAACCAAACTACGCTGTGCAAAAAAAGAAGAAAAAAAAAGCTCTTAGTTTTTGTTTTCTCTTAGTTCCGTAGTTTTTTTGTTTTGTTTTTTTCCGCTTTTCTTCAGTTTCGTTCGCTTAGAGCGCTTCTCCGCTTCTCTTTCTTACCCCCTTGCGCGCGACGGCGCGCAAACCCGAAGTCCAGACTGCGCTGTGCAAAAAAAAAAAAAAAAAGCTCCTCTCCATGTTTCTTTTTCTTGCTTCTGTTGGATCTTTGCGAATTTTTTTAACGCCTTTTGCAAGGCGTTTTGTTCGCCCATGCTGCCCATGCATTCGCGACCTCGCTGCACCAGGATAAAAAAGTGCGTTCATTACGCGCGCGTGGGGGGAGGGGGTCAAAATTTTGACGTCGGAGTTAGGGGTGCGTTTATTACGCGAGTGACAATCAAAGTCGAAATTTTGAGAGCCGACTTGGGGGGTGCGTTCATTACGCGAGTGCGTTCATTGTGCGAGTAAATACGGTATGTGGCTGCCACACCTTTAAACCCCGCTTGGCAAAGTCCTTTTTTCTCATTAATCAATGCTCTTGAGGAAAGTTCCAGGCCATTCTTCGTTGCCATCGTGTGTTCTGGTTAGGAATGTTCCAGAACGTACCACACGTACAAAAGCGGTGGTAATGCGCTGCGTTTCAGGACGGTCGCCCATGCAGGATGTCCAGTGTCTTTTTTTTGTTTTAGTCTAAGGAACAAGTTGTGGGGGTTCCTCTGGTCTCTCTTCCCCGATGGCTGTGACAACAGCCGCGGGTCGGGACACTTGGCCTCCTTCGCTGTGAGCTCCGACCTGTCTGTGAGGTGGAGGGCCGCCTGGCTTGAGGGGCTCTCCTCTCTCTCTCTCTCTCTCTCTCTCTCTCGGGGGGACCAAATTCCGTTCCCCCGCTCGGATGCAGATCACTGGTGACAGGCGAGGAGGTTTCGCCTCGTTTTCCCGCTTTCGGGAAAGGGACTTGTCCGGGTGACCGCGAAGAGATAGGACCAGGGGTGGAACTCATGAAATGTACTTGGGAGCAGCCACGGGAGCAGCTGAAACAGCTGTTTTGGAGCAGGTTGGGAGCAGCTAAAACGATGTTCTGGAGCAGGCTAGGAGCAGCTCAGATCAGTTTTGATTGCACTTCAGCTTGCGTTTTAGACAAGCACGGGAGCAATTTCAGTTGTGCTTAGCAGCACAAAAGCACAACACAGATGGTGGTTAGGGACCTATGTAGGTGGGATAACAGTGTAACAGATGCGAAAACTTGAAACTTTGTGAGCCTTAATGAGAACCAAAAAGCAAGTACCTTATGTTTCTGCAGATAGTGTCCTTGATATTTTCTGAGTGGCTTTCAGCTGCTCAAAATGCAAACCAGCACTGCTTATGGCACAACTCACACCTGTTCGAGATGGTAATTATATGTGCGAACCACGTGACGTGCGTGAGAAAGGGACGTGCAGTTGCGCGGAGGAACAGGGCAACAAATTCCGAGATTATACTATTGTATAACTCAATATTGAAGCAGCAGACTACGATTAACGGAGTTATCGTGTTCTTAGCGATAAGCAGGAGCAAGGTTTGTCAAGCAAGATCTATCGCTCGCGTGAGAGCTGCTGGCCGGCAAGGTTTCGGATCGGACTGCGTTTCAGTTCTATCAAATCACGATTTATCTTGCAGGAATGCGGTTCCAACTTCTAAAGAAGTACTAAAAGGAATCGTTTGCTAATGTGTTTTCAACTGGCTGACGTCCGGAACCCGGGCCGCAGAGCCTTAGGTAATCTGACGCTTAACGGCTCTACCTCTTCTCGGCCGACTTGCTTAGCCGCTTATGGTTGAAGAACAACAATCCAGTCGCAGGTGGTGTAGCACTTGGAATTGGAACCCCGAGTTTTTTCGCGCGCTTCCGACTCGGGAATTGGGATACAAAGCAAGAATAAACAGAACAAAGGATTGCAAGGCCGACCAAGCTAAACGCGCTCATTGTTGCCAATCGAGTCGATAAAAACCGAAACCAAGACAAAATTTAAAAAAAAATTGGGCGCACGTTCAGCGATTTGGAGCACAATGGCGCGATGCATTGGCTGTGGCGCAGTTTCCGCGAAATGGCGCAGGATGGCGCAGATAAATGCGTCTGGCGCAAAATGGCGCAAATGGCGCAGCCGTTCCACCCCTGTAGGACGTGTGTCGGCGACTTCTCCGACGCTTCCCCAGTCTTGGCTCTCCGGAACCCTGCGTCCTAGCAGGTAAGGACCTTTCCTTACCTTGCCGGCGCGGGAGGCATTTTGGATAAGGACATTCTAGTTCATTTGAAGAGTGTTCTAATAAATGCTCTTGGACTCTGTCCTTACTCTGGTACGTGTGTCTTCCACTATATTCGAGAGAGAGACAAGGTAGATGATCATTGGCACCGACGGAGGTAAGTAATCGAACCAACCCGCGGTAATGTAGTCCTAAACGTTGTCTATATTACCGCGGAGATGTGGGGACCGAGGGCTACTAGGTTGGACGGCTCCTTCGAGATCGCCGCCGCTGTTGAGACAACCCTTTGGTTACTCTATCGGTATTTGTGTTAGTTGGTAGCTAGCAAGATCCCACAAAGTTTGCCCCACTAAGAGTATTTTCAGTTCCGAATACGGCTGTTTTTACGGCAACAGCCGATAGTGAGGATCTTCATGGGAAACTGCGAGGGCATCTCCCGCGGAAACCCTTGGTGACGTTGTCGATCGCACGATCGCCCCCGGCTGCCGCATCCGAGGCTCCAAATTTATGAGAAAACGGGGGCGATCGCACGATCGCCCCCGGCTGCCAAATTTACGAGAAAACGAAAATTCGGTCTCCCTAGCCGGATTCGAACCGGCGATATAGAGATGACAGCAATTGTTTCCACTAGAGTCAACTGCTCTAACCACTGAGCTATCGAAGGAGCATAATTTAGAGAACTTACGGTGGCATACATCACATTTCTGTCTCGCTTCCATGTCTCTCGAGCATGCACATGCAGCCCGAGCACGGGGAAAGCAGACGAGTATGTGCTGGAGGCTGGGGCGTTTGAAACAACCCACCAAACTCTCATCTTGTAGACCAGGGGTCTCAAACACGCGACCCGCACACCGCATCGTGTGCTGTTTGATACCTCTGGTCTCAAACACGTGGCCCGCGACTCGCTGGGACGCGGCCCAGCTACGAGTCTCCGTTCCCATGTCTCCAGCGCTAGGAATGGCATGCACCATCCTGATCTCATCTCGCCGATTCATTTTCACTTGAAAAGTCACTCCACTCTTTTAACATATTCATGTAGTTGTTACTTATCTGTGTTCATTAGCCCTTTGATTCGCTAATATTTTGCTTCCCAGCTTTTTGTAATGTACAATTCCACTACTAGGCTGCAAGCGCGAGCTCTTTGTTGAAGGATGCATCCCAGCAGCGCAAACTTTCGATCAGCAGGAGTAACCGCCAAAGATAAAGCTACGAACTTGGGATTCCATTAAAAGACAAGTATACGTGTTGCAATAGAAATCGTCAGAAAACCATGAACTGTAAAAAACCTGATTGTCTTTTAAAGACATGTTGAGCCAGGTTTAATTCCTGAGTAAATTGAGCAACTGGAGCGACGGTGTACTTGCTGTCTTGTTTTATTAAAAACGCGCACAAGTTGGCGGGGCGGTGTCATTTTGAATGTTCTTATCACGTCAGGTCAGGACCCAAAGTAGTCATATAAACAAATCAAACCTAAAAATTCCACTGGCAAAACTGAGTTTATAAAAAGCGTAGATCACGATGTCTCTTCTCTTTAAATCTTCAAATTGCTTACTCTCGTAACAATAGCTGCGTGGACAGCCAAGGGGTATTTCGCGCATCTCTGAGGGGGATCGGTGGCCGAGTGGGCTAGCGCACTCCAGCTCTGGGCATGTGCAGTGAAAGTTCACGCTGCAGAACCCAAGATCCTGGGCTCAATCCCCACCCCTGCCCATTTCGATCTGGATGAGCATCGTACCGGCTTGCAGTCGTGTATCACTACTGCGTGGTGCACGTTAAAAACCCCTGGCTGGCGGTTGTACTGCACTGGACAAATTTCTCATCTACAGCTGGGAGACAGGTCGCTCGTTGAGGCAGACTAAGTTCTAGGCTGTATAAACATACACACACCCCAATTTTCGTGAGTCTCCGTCGATCGGCGCTCGTGCGGTATTGGTCGTGACTTGGAAAACTTTAGGGCGCCGAATACAACAGAATTGGCCTTACCGTAACGCTGGGAGCCAATGAAGAAAGACCTCGAGAGGACAAAGGGTCGCAGCTTGTTGTCCGAACGCATCAGGTGGCCCATGTAGGTTGACATGGGCTGGGGGAGAGAAGGAGGGAGACGTCACGTCCGGTGCCATTTTACGCGTTTCGTGCCATCCCCCCCCCCCCCGTCACACACTGTTTCGACGTAACTTGACAAACGGCGCCAGAATGCTGCGCGACGTAAATATTACAAGATATGGTTGTTAGAGAAAAGAAGTTGTACTTTTTATGTCCTAACCGCACATGTTTTGATACGACAACAAGTCAGTGATCTCAAATGCATAGAAACTGTTCTAAATTCATCCCATCACAGAGAGGAATGAGTACTGTTCCACAAGAAACTAAACTTTTTTTTTTCCTACAGTCTTCAAGGTGAAAACAAGTACAAGCCTTTCAAGATTTCAAGAATGTTTTATTCCACAGCAGCAAAAAAGAAGAAATTATTATATTTGGAAAACAATGCTCAACTCAGAATTTGAAAGAAAAAAAATATTGGAACAAAAAATTGGTTGAACTTGTTTGCTTATCTAAAAACAAGAAAAAGTAGAAGTTCCAATTCTGAAGCCTACTCCTGACATTAAAGTGTCACATCGCCAGCCATTACAACTACTCAAATTCAAGAGTGTCAGAAGCCATCAAAGTAATCATTTCACTGTCGAGTGACTTCAGAAAGTTTTCAGTAGGGGAGTGCAAATATCAAAATTTTCAAAAATCACTCAAATATTACAAAAACTATTCTAGTGTAAGAAATTACACATAAAAAGTACCGCATTTACTCACGAAATGAGCACACTCGCATAATGAATGCACCCCCTCCAACATTAAACTAAAATTTTTAATTTTAGTCCCACAAATACCGATTGTGCCCTCAATTTTCACTCAGCGAGCGTCGAACTCTGTTCGCTCCGTCCACTCGTTCCTGCTCCCACCCATTCTCTCTGAACGCCCTCATACCTATACTCTCGGCTATTCGAAACAGATCAGAGTTCCCTTTTTCTAATTTTCGGATAGCCAGAAGGCAAAGAATCCGCATCATGCTGCGGATCTTTCAAAGAAGCTCAAGCAGTCCTGACCGTTTCTCCCGTTAGTAAAGCTTGTTCGTGTGCCTCCACTATACTCCAAATATAACACTGTCATTTGCCGATTTCGGCAAACGACAATGTTACATTAGTAGTAATATTAGTATGTTGTATTAGACAATGTTATATCAGAAGGTGGCAAAACCGCCAGGCGAGGTGGCAACTCCAAGTTGGGAGTTTCAAGTGTGGGCACTCACCAGGAACATGCCGTACATGTTGTGGACGTCCCGGTGCTCCCAGCCGCCTGTGTGCAGGCAGTCCTTATGCATGGTCACCTCGGGCCCATTGAACACAGACGGCTCGTTCATGTCGTTCCAGGTGAACAGGTGCTCCGTCGAGCCCTTGTACTGGTCCAGGGCAAACTTGCCCGCCCACCAGTGCCGCACCTGGGGACGACACCACCACTTTCGAGGGACTCTGACTTGGAGGAGGCAACCATCCGGGGCCACTCATAAAAAATTTCTGCTGTAACTAACCTCTGTTGAAAGCAACTCAATTCTGGGATAACAAGCATCAGCAATGACAAACTTCAGCAATAACGAACTCCTGTTGTAGGCAACTTCTGTTATAAAAAAATTTCGTTAAGATAAACTTTCGTTAAGATAAACTTTCGTTACGACGAGCTTTCGTTACGACGAGCTTTCGTTACGACAAGCTTTCGTTACGACAAGCTTTCGTTACGAAAAGCTTTCGTTACGAAAAGCTTTCGTTACGAAAAGCTTTCGTTACGACGAACTTGAGCTCCGGCGAACTTGAGCTCCGGCGAACTTGAGCTCCGGCGAACTTGAGCTCCGGCGAACTTGAGCTCCGGCGAACTTGAGCTCCGACGAACTTGAGCTCCGACGAACTTGAGCTCCGACGAACTTGAGCTCCGACAAACTTGAGCTCCGACGAACTTCAGCTCCGACAAACTTGAGCTCCGACGAACTTGAGCTCCGACAAACTTGAGCTCCGACGAACTTGAGCTCCGACAAACTTGAGCTCCGACGAACTTGAGCTCCGACGAACTTGAGCTCCGACGAACTTGAGCTCCGACGAACTTGAGCTCCGACGAACTTGAGCTCCGGCGAACTTGAGCTCCGGCGAACTTGAGCTCCGGCGAACTTGAGCTCCGGCGAACTTGAGCTCCGGCGAACTTGAGCTCCGGCGAACTTGAGCTCCGGCGAACTTGAGCTCCGGCGAACTTGAGCTCCGGCGAACTTGAGCTCCGGCGAACTTGAGCTCCGGCGAACTTGAGCTCCGGCGAACTTGAGCTCCGGCGAACTTGAGCTCCGGCGAACTTGAGCTCCGGCGAACTTGAGCTCCGGCGAACTTGAGCTCCGGCGAACTTGAGCTCCGGCGAACTTGAGCTCCGGCGAACTTGAGCTCCGGCGAACTTGAGCTCCGGCGAACTTGAGCTCCGGCGAACTTGAGCTCCGGCGAACTTGAGCTCCGGCGAACTTGAGCTCCGGCGAACTTGAGCTCCGGCGAACTTGAGCTCCGGCGAACTTGAGCTCCGGCGAACTTGAGCTCCGGCGAACTTGAGCTCCGGCGAACTTGAGCTCCGGCGAACTTGAGCTCCGGCGAACTTGAGCTCCGGCGAGCTTGAGCTCCGGCGAACTTGAGCTCCGGCGAACTTGAGCTCCGGCGAACTCGAGCTCCGGCGAACTCGAGCTCCGGCGAACTCGAGCTCCGGCGAACTCGAGCTCCGGCGAACTCGAGCTCCGGCGAACTCGAGCTCCGGCGAACTCGAGCTCCGGCGAACTCGAGCTCCGGCGAACTCGAGCTCCGGCGAACTCGAGCTCCGGCGAACTTGAGCTCCGGCGAACTCGAGCTCCGGCGAACTCGAGCTCCGGCGAACTCGAGCTCCGGCGAACTCGAGCTCCGGCGAACTCGAGCTCCGACGAACTCGAGCTCCGACGAACTCGAGCTCCGACGAACTCGAGCTCCGACGAACTCGAGCTCCGACGAACTCGAGCTCCGACGAACTCGAGCTCCGACGAACTCCAGCTCCGACAAACTTCAGCTCCGACAAACTTCAGCTCCGAAAAACTTCAGCTCCGACAAACTTCAGCTTCGACAAACTTCAGCTTCGACAAACTTCAGCTTCGACAAACTTCAGCTTCGACAAACTTCAGCTTCGACAAACTTCAGCTTCGACAAACTTCAGCTTCGACAAACTTCAGCTTCGACAAACTTCAGCTTCGACAAACTTCAGCTTCGACAAACTTCAGCTTCGACAAACTTCAGCTTCGACAAACTTCAGCTGCAGAAGACATCAGCTGTAGCAAACCTCAGCCGTAGCAAACCTCTCGTAATGTATACAAAACCATGAAACAAATTCAACAGGAGCCAGGGTCAAAGAGAAACAATGCAATGACTGAAACATCCCATTCCCACCTAAAAGAAAGAAGAAAAAAAAAACTCAAGACTTACCAGCCGAACGCATCATCACCGGCTGTGCAAAACCACTTTCTTATCCTCAGTCTCTGGGGCTTAACGGTATTGCTGCAAGTATTATGTTACACACACGAGGAATAGGCAAACAGACGGGACAATTGCAAGGAACCGGAGGAAAAATGGGAGGAACGGGAGAACAGACACTCAAGGCGCAAAGGACAAACACAAGAATGCGGGAGCTTGCCTCGGGATTCAGGAAGTCGAGGTAGGAGGAGGAGCCGGGCCAGCACCAGCCTTCGAAGTCGTTGCCGTCCTTGTTCTTCACATAGAAGCCCTTGTCCGTGGCCTCCGAGTGGATGTGGTAGCCGGACTCCCGCTTGATGTGGGGGTCGATGATGGTCACCATCCGACGGCCCTGCAGGGTGGGTGCTCACTGTTCCTCATTCTCGTACAGTTGAACCGGGTCGGAACAAAGTCGGCGGGAACCAAAAGTACTTTGTCACAGAGTACAAAACCCACTATGGCAACTTGAGAACTGCCGGAGTAGGGGTCGGGCAACACCGCTTAAGGGGGGACGCGGGCTTTGAAAACCGGAAAATCGCGAAAAAGTCGACTTTTAGAAAACCTTATTTTTCGGTTGTATATCTCATAAACTACCTTCTCTGTAATTATCAGCACCAAATACAACGGGGAAATATTTAAAAACAATTATTTACGAGGCCTGAATAGCATCCAAGTGACGGTCAAACGTCAAAATCAACCCCAACTTCGCGCGCTCGCCATTTTCGACGCGGTGGGCCAACGGCCGCCATTTTAGTCTTGTTTTGAACGTGAATTCTTTCTCTTTTTTTTGCCAGCTCCCAAAACGGCGTCGGCCGCGTGGTTACGGCGTGGTCGCCGTTCTTCCATGTCGCAATCGCAAGAACGCGATTGGACAGAGCGCGCGCTCGAGGAGCGTGCGGGGGAGCGCGCGACTGCTATTGGCTGGGACGCGATTTCTCCGCGCGCAGAGCGCTCCTCCTCCGTTTCTCCTGCTGTTGCCGCTTACGTCGTCTGCTTTTGGTAGTGGTCTGCTTGCACGCGCTCTTGCTTCGTCAGCTCCACTTCGTTTTTCGCCATCTTTACAATCGTTTTCCGAACTTTCTTTGAGTAGTTTCGTGTAGCGTGCCCGTCTGTTTCGTGGTCGCACACGATGCGGGGTTCGAAGTACAAGACGGTGCACGCGTTTGGCGCGCGGAAGCGGTCCATGAAGTTAGTGCGGATGGCGAAGTTGGAAGTTTCTGCACGGCGTGCCGTCAATGATGATCGCGTCAACACTTCCAGTGATGGATTTTCTGTGCCATCGGCTGTCGTCGAGGAAGAACGCATCGCCCCGCTCATGCCTGGAGTACCGAGCATGCCGACCGTTGTGGTTCCTCCCGAGATCGCGGGTCCCAGCGCCCGTCTTCCGCCTGCCGCGACAAGTAGGAGCGCGTCTTCTAGCACCCATCTGCGGACGCATTTCCTCACACGTGAGGAGATCGAAGCAGAAGCTAGACATTGTGATATTGCTCAAGCCGAACTTGGAGCTATGCCAGCAAACTGCACTGCATGAAGCGGTGTTGATGTTCAACGCCGGCTGCTACAAAGCAACTGCAGAAATATCGGTTGCAGTGGGACTTCAGCCGACCCATCTAGCCCTCCAACGAGCTGCTGAGAAAGATGCCCTACGTCTGCATAAGGCCAGCAAACGACATCAAGAGTATTTGGAAAGGCGGAACAAGAAGAAAGTGCGCAAGAACACTTCTGACTATTCTGCAGGGTCATTCTAGAGCTGAAAATCTGCGTGCAACTTTCAAGTGCTGTTTTCTCAGAATGGATTTTTTCACTGTCGTGGCTGCTCGTCCCAGCGATATCTCAGGAACTGATGAATGGATTTTTGTGCTGTCTTTTTTATTCTGTTCTCTAATAACTTTGTGAGGGCATAACAGAGCCCTTTTTTTAGAAAACTGTACTAAAAATTTATAATAAAAAAATAAAATTTGGTGAATGTGGGTTTCATTGACCACACAAGATTCAAAGTTGCGTTAAAATTTTTCAACAAAGAAATTTAAAAAAATGGCTCTGTTATGCCCTGGGGAATGTATCTAGGGGTCATCATAACAAATTTTACGCCGCTACTACCTTTTTCAAATTCTCCAGACCTGGGATAAGGAATGCATATGGACGATTTTGATAAATATATGTAACTTGAGAAATAATATGCACAGCTCCATGAAACTTTGCAGTTACTCTTATGTCTGTGCTATAAACACATTCTGTAAATTTCGTTCAGATATCTCTAGAAATAAGAAATTTCATATTTATTCCCCACCTCCTCCCTTAAGGGGGCAACATTTTCGAACTATGGTCAATTAATTGCGGGAATCAACGTACGTTATTTGTACAATGAAAAGCAGAAAACCATTTTTTTTCTAGCGTGCACTACAAAAAAATTAAACAAATCAAAAGTTTGAGTACCCCTTAACTCGCACTATCTTTCGAATGGGGTGTGCAGTGACATCAGATATCAGGTTCGGTACTATCTATTCCTCCCCCACAATCATTGACATTTCAAGGTCTTACTCTGTTACAATAGAACACTGCACCCTCCTAGCATTGTTGAAGGTCACGGCGAGCTGTCGAGAAAAAAGGTGGTTCGCCACGGGAAAGAGGGGGAGGGTGGTGGCGGAGAGGAAATGGTTTTGTTTACTTCCAGTAGATGGCACCACGAACGCTTGCGTACCGATAGCTGATCACCACGCGCAACTTCGGATCTAAAAAAATTGTGACTTTTTCTTTGCAATTATGCAGCGAAATCGCAGTATTTTAGGGGAAGGTGGCACATTTTCTCTCACCTGTGCCAAGGTAAACGGTATAAAAAATACATGCTGCAGATTCTGTGGACATTAAATTCGTCAAACTGCCCGTTTAGAAGGAACACTACTTCAAAATTGCCATTTGTTTTTAAAAGTCAAGTCTTTAATGAGTAGTTTTGTCAGCTTTTAAATATCCCGATAGATACTATCAGAAATGTCAATTCCTGTAACTGAAGTATCTTTTCCGTAATAAATAATTTTAGACATGCTGGCACCATCCAAGCGCAGCTTTCTAAACTTTAAAAAAAGTATACTAGCTTAGTTTCCCTTTTTGCCATCAAATCTTGCTTCACAAAAACCATCATTTGATCATGAATTAACGCGTAGAATCAGTTCTTTAAATTTCTGTACTAAATTTTTTTAAGGAACGCTACTACAAGCTTACTTTCTGCATTTTCTCAGTCGTTACGAAAAGCACGCAAGAAAAAATTAACTTTTTATAAATATTTTTGTTTTTATTAAAAATGGTATATTTGGGATTTCTCTTCATGGCCACGTGACACTACTGTTATACGGTATATTTCACCAAAAAGAACTGGCCATTACCATTACCTTTTGTAAACGGCAGTTTTTCTCAGGGGATGCAGTGTTTATTTGATGTACTTTTACACAAATCTTTGAGAGACAAACTTAAACCTAAAACTTTGCACGTCGTCCTTTCCCAGCTATAAATATGCCCCGCAAATTTCATACAAATAAGACTACAGTTTAAAAATTCGCCTTCCTAATGAGCGTCCCCCCTGAACCCTTTGACGGACGCACTTTCAAATATGATTACATATTTGAAAGTGCCCACCTAAACGCGAAAGCATGGCAGGTGTTACTATTTGTTTTGTCTTCGGCGAACTATAAACATTACGTTAGCATGGTGTTCCACTTTTCTGGGGCTAATTAGTTTTAAAATTAGACACTCCGTGCAAAATGGCTGCTTCGCATAACGACTGTTCTAAGGGCAGTGGCAATTGGAGCACTGCCCTTCTGATCCAGACTTCTAACGGTTCTCAGAATTGAATTCAGAGGACAAGAGCTCACCACCCGTGGAAAAGCTCTGTTAAGTACCTCCAGTTCGGGACCCAAAACCGCCAAAACATTGCGCAAGCGGACACGCCAAAATGAAACCGTACAAAAAAGAGGAAACAACTTTTCGCCTTCAATATTTTCTTTTGCAGCATCTAAACCAAAAGAGTTTGCAAGATCTGTAAGTGCTCTTGTTAGATAATTGAGAAAAATAAACCGCATGCTGAACCCTTCTTTGTACTATTCCTTTGAAAACAAAACCCAACCACTGGGAAACATTTTTGGGGAAAAAAGCTCGACCGTCAAAGGGTTAAGAAGTTGAACTTTGTCAAATTTGTGCCCAAAGCTTGGAGGTTGGTCGAAAGTCGGCAATGTCCCAAGCAAAAAGCGTCGACACTCTGAGCAACCTTGGGCCCCACCTTGGCCGTTAGGTTGCGGATCATGGCCTCCGGCTGAGAGAACTTGAAGGGGTCCCAGGTGAAGTACTTCTTGCCGTCGGTGTGCTCGATGTCCAGCCAGATCACGTCGTAGGGCAGGTTGCGCTCGTCGAAGCCCAGGTCCACGCTACGCACGTCATCCTGGTCGTTGTAGTTCCACCGGCTCTGGTGGTAGGCCAGCGCAAACAGCTGCGGACGAAGAACAGGTTCGATTCGTTACCGATTTATGGCAGAACCACGTTGATATGCTTTCCAAAAAAAACTTAGGCAAAAAAAAAATATGAAAATAAAACGCAGCCACATAGTTACTTTTTGTTTGGTTGGGGGGTTGTGTCCTTGTAATAGTGTCCATGGAAGCCGATGTTCCTTCTTTTGGTAGTTCCCTTTTTTTATTTTTTTATTTATTTCGTGTTAACTTAAGGAGTGTACTTTGGCCAGTCACTCTATTTAAGGACGTCATGGTGCAATCAAATTTGAGCTGAAAACTAGGGGTTGACCTATCATCGTAATTGAAGGGTGTCAACCTATGAGGTAGGGAAATATTTCTAAACTGATCGAAGCTCCCTCGTCTCGGCCGCCGCTCCTAGCCCGCCGGTGCAAAGCGGCAGAGCTCACCGCATGCCGGTGCAACGCAGCAAAGCGCAATGCACTTGCACCGCTATGGTCGCCACCAGCATGAGATCAGCAGGGCATCTCTTTACAATTCCAGACCCCTGGCGCATGCCCGCTGCCTTCTGCCACACTCCAGCTGCGGGTGCAAGCTCAAAGTTTGGACTCCGAAGCGTCATCGAAGATAGGAAGCTCACGCCTAAGGCGGGATGACCGAAAGACCCTCCTGCCATTTTCATCTTCTTGGCGACCGCAGCGGGCTGGTCATGATGGTCGATCATGAATTCCAAACTCTACATGAAATTAAACTCTAACCAAGAGAACCAGACAAAACAGAAGCATGTGTGCTAGTGTTGCGCAAATATTCAAATTTTTAAATAGTAGTTTCGAATACGCTATTCAATGTTCGCTTAGAGATGAACTACGAAGTTTATACTCTTCGAAGCATTCGATTGCGGCGAGTTAGCCCCGTCGGGTGCACTTTCCGTCAAGCACACGTGCACTGCGGGGAAGCAATACCCGCAAAGCTCGCAGGCTCTGCATTTATTGGTTCCGTGCACTGCACTGGCGCTCCGTAGAGAGGCACATTTAATGGAGGCTAATCTACCGCAATTAAGCGAGAGCATGTGTTAGGCAGCAATGTCTAGACAACCCAGGCTCATTGTTTGTGTTTTGTTGTTTTTTTGTGCCAAATTTGAAGCTGATGAAAGAATATTGGCATTTAGCGAGCAGATTTACAAATACTCACGGTTAAAATAGCTGTGACAATTTTGTTGCTTGCATGCCATAGTTCATAAATATAGCTATGTTAAAATTAACTGAGCTTAGAAGTGGCCAAGTGGAAGGTTGGGAACAATCTGCACAAGTTCAGATGAATTTTCGTTCAAGCATGGAACATGGTAGCGAAAGGCTCAAAAAAATTATTCAATATTCAATTCTAAAAAATTTGGCCAAAACCACTAAAGTCAAACTTCGATGTAACGAACTTGTATGTAACAAAACCCTCGATCTAACGAAGTATACAACTTTTTCTAACCACAAGTGTATGCACGCCATGTATTTTCGACCTCTATGTAACGAAGTTCCGTTCGCCGATATTTCGATGTAACAAAAACGAAGTTTCATGGACAATTCGGCACAAAACTTTTGGTTCCCAAATGAGATTTTGGGAAGCACACGCGCTGAAACGGGCTCCCGATAAAGCGCAAAGGGTGAAACGTGCCTCCCAACTGGCACATCTGGCCCTATGCACCCAATGCTGCGGAGGGTGCCCTCTGGGGAGAAGTCGGCGAATCTGGCGAGTGTGGTGTACAGAACGGCCAATAGAGGACACTAGATCCGCCGCCGTTTCGTCTCCATCGGCTTCATTCTCTCTGCGTAGTGCGTTCCGAGGCATAACTAAAAGCGTGCGTTTCTCATTGTACTGGTCAGCCCATACTTTCTATACTTCTGAAACCTAGTGACACTTCTACGTGCATTAGTGCTCCAGCACTATGAGCTCCGGCAAGCGAAAGGTGTTGTTGTTTGAGCAGAAAGCAAAGATTGTGCAAGCAGTCGCCAATGGTGAGAAGAAGAACGATGTCGCAGCTCGCTTTGGAATTCTTCTGAGTTTGCTGTCGACGATTTTGAAGGCAAAGGAGCCGACCCTGCTGTCATAGCGACGGAGGAGGTGGCCGACGAGCCGATAGCTAGCAATCTATTTACATACATGGGAACTCGCAAGACGGGGACGACAGCGAGCCTGATGAGCAAGATACCTGCGATGTGCCCAATAACCATGAAGTGGTGTACGCGATCGATGTCTTGAGGCGGTTTGCGAGTGCACAGCAAGACGAAGATGCGATGCAGGCCGTCTGGCTATGCGAATGTCGTGTGATGCCAATAATAATGTCAACAGTGGCCCAGAAAAAGGTGACGGACAACTTGCAACTGAAATAAAGGCATCATAGGTGAGCTTTATGCAACTGAAAAACATTTGTGAAAACTTTCTTCGACGTAGGCTCCGAATTTCTATATAGCGAAATTTCAATGTGACGAAACAAATTCCGAATTTTACCGACTTCGTTACATCGAGGTTTGACTGTATTCACTTTGAACTCCAAATCTACGATTCACGCACGACTAATGTGCCCAATTCGAGGAAAAAAGACGGCAATAGAAATGAATTACTGCGAAAGTGCGCACTTACGGGGGGTAGCGGCGTGGCGCCCGTGAGGTAGCGGTACTGCCGGGCCACCTCCCCAGGGCCAGGGCCCAGCAGGAAGAAGACGTCGATGAGGCCGTTCTCCGAGAACCAATGGGTCTCCCGGTGGTTGGGGGGAGGGCTCCGCTTCACGAAGTCCACCACCGACGACAGCACGCCCTGGGGAGACGGGCACCACTAAATCGCTTCGAGACACAACAATGTAACGGCAGCGCCGACGGAGCACCCAAGCTGTGTCCCCCAACCGGCATGTTTAACGTCATGTCCCGCCCATACATCAAAAGTGGTCTCCAAGTGGCATCAAACGACGTCGCAGAAGAAGAGCGACCCGCAGCGGCAGAACGGGTGTCTGCCCCACCCGCCACAGCTGCTGCGACGCCGCCAGGATTGCAGCTCTTGACACCACACTTCTACGGTGGTGTCACGCGGAAGTCGAGTGGCTGCTTCTTAAGACACGACAGACACACCAATTGGAGACATATTCTGGGCACCCAATTACTACGCAGTGATATAAAAAAGAAGAAAAGTTTAACAAAAAAAAGCAAGTCTTTGGCTGAGCAAGCAAAACGACAACGACGACATTACGAGCGTCCCGACTAGTGGCACGGTTCCGATAACAAGAATTGTGTGAACAGCAGTAGATTTTGTGTCCGGCCATTTACACCGCTACGATCCACTGCACAAGACTTACCTGCTTTGAGTTGGGCTCAATGTCCACCCAGGTTTCGGCAGCATTCAGCCACAACAGTCCAACCGTCCTGGTCTCGCTGCAAGGAGACCAATACTTGGAGATTGTCCCAACAATCTAGCACGTAAAACTCTATTTTAACATCCCAGTGGCCTAACATTCCAGCGCTGTACGCAAACGTTGCAAACAAAAACACCGCTAAACAGGAAGCTTTTGTTGGAACCTTGTGCTGTTTCCTCGTAACCTGCGTAGATTACACCTGCATCCACAAAACCAAACCGACGACTGTTCTTCGACAGACATGAAACTCGGAATTGAGATGACACTATTGTCCAGTTAACCACTGTTTGTGAACACTTAAGAAAAATATAAAAAGCAATTAAGCGAGCACTTTCATAGAAACTTGTTTTTGATGGCATATTGTTTGTTGAGCTTTAGTCAATAAAAATGACCAGTTCTAGATTGTAAAATGTCCAATAGCAATGCAGAGGCACTATTTTCTGTTGGGGTGGCCATCGTCAGGTCCCCACCACCTCCATACAACTTGACAAACGAAAAAAGTTAATTGTGTGGAAACTCCGAACCCCGCTATGGTTGCTCTTTTCAGGTGCGTTCTGCATTACATTTTGGCAAAACTGTCAAATCTTTGGGGGTAGGAGACGTAATACAGATATTTTTTTTGCAAATGCCATCTGATGGCGCCCTTTGGTGTGTTCCAAGGTGCAGGAAGAACAGCGTGTCATGATCTTTGATTAGATGTCCAATGGAGATATCTGCCTCCCACGAGCGTAATTTCATTTTTTAAGGACGCCTAGAGCCTGTAGATTGAGTTATCACTGTAAATAGATGATGTTAGAAAATACAATTGAGTGCCCCTTTAAAGGGGGACACCACCCAGAAAAAAAAATTCTGCAAAAAAAGTTGATTTTGGAAAAGGACCTATTTACATCCACCAACATCTAGACTTGTCCCAGAAAGTTTCATTAATTTACACTGCATAGTTAATTTTTTATAAATGATTTTCTGTCCACCGAAGCTAAAGAAAAAGTAGGGTTAGGAGTACTTTGAATGCATTTTTCTCCATTCCACTTTTTGGCATAAATTCAATTTTAGTCAATTTATTCTTTGTTAATGGCAATATAGGGAAGGCTCGTTCTTCACTTTTTCTGACTGAAATTAAATAAGGAATGCGGCTAAGGAATTTTTTTGTCACTTTACGAATGTCTTTTATAAAAAAGATGTTGACTTTTTGTCGGCAACACAGAAAACCAAAAAGTTGACCAATTTTTCAGAAGAGAACATTTAAGGAAATAAATGTCTTTTTACAAAAACTTCATAGCCGCATTCCCTAGGCATCCTGCTACATACCTAGCGAATAAAAATCTTGAATATTGTGATAGTTTTCTGACGATAGATCGACTAAACAATGTAGGCATGCTGCTGATAGAAGCTGCTCTATTTTCCTTCCCATTTACCCTTGACAGACCTGAAATTTTGTTATGCACCGTCTAGCATGACCTCCAGCCTACCTCCTGTAAATTTCATTCATTTTAAGCTAAGGGTTCAAAAGTTGACCCTCCCAGGGGGTGTGTCCCCGGGGAGGGTCGACGTAACTTGTCACAATGTTAGAAGAACGAAGTTGCCTTAAACGTAATTTAGTCCGATGTTTACAGGAACCTGTTACTACTTGGTTTAATTACAATCAAGGCTCTGTAACTTCGATAAATACCAATAGACCCCTGAAAGTGACCTCCTCCAGGGACAGAGAGACAGTCTGCAAACCACAGTTTGTTTCTTTTTAGGAACCATGACTTTCATCTTGTTTCGTGTACTACGACACCTTCCAAGCATTTGGGCCACGCCCATCTCCACTCGCGGCTAAGGAATCTCACGAACGTGTCCCGTTTTCAACGTATGCCCAGAGGAACGCCGATTTCTCGTTCAACGCCAAACGACGAAACCGAAAGACCCCGAATCTGCACAAAAAAATAAACGCCGAAAATTCGGAACCCTCGTCGTAATTACCGTATTCGCACGAATATAACGCGACTATGAACATAACGCGAGGGCAAGTTTTGATGCCCTCAAAAAAAAAAAAATTATTACTATTATATTGCGAACCGAGGCCGCGTCAATTTCTCACACTCGGGGACATAGCAGATGTGAAAAGTCAATGGAAATAAAAGAAATATCAGTTTGTTTTGACTACACTCATCCTCACTGCTCAGGTCCTTCCGTCTACAATCCACTTGGCGACTACACAGATAAGCAGCAGCATGGCACCTGCTTGTCTGGTAGTTCCTTTTTCTTCCCTGCGAGCTCCTAGGCAGCCCACAATCCAAACAAGGCACGAAGCAGAAGCACCAACACACAAACACCAGATCACTCTGGAGCAGAAACTAAACGATGCGCAGGCAGAAAGAAGACTGCTGAATATGATACACGACGATCACACTTCTTGTTCTGGTCCCTCTGCATAAACAAATGCCTCCTGTTGCACGATTGCGTAAACGCGGTTCGTGGTCTTGGCTTTGTGTTGACTTGACTTGACTTGGCCTGGCTTGGCTCGAATTGGCCAGTGCCCGCATTCCCGCATGGCGCGCGCGTGCGCTGAGTTTCTGTGGCGTGCGCGCGTTGTACAAACACAAAAGCGATAAAAAGGCTTTCTTATGTTTTCTATTCGCCCCTTCACGTAATAAATTCCCTTCCACACCCCCACTTCTTTTAATACCGGATATTTTGCATTGAGCCGGAGGGATGGCTTTCTTTTCTGGCTTTCTCGAGACTCGCGCGCCTCGTGGCTGAACTCGATTCCGAATATAACGCGAGGTGCGTTTTGGAGCTTGTAATTTCGAAAAAAAACTAGCGTTATATTCGTGCAAATACGGTACTCCTCAAAATAACGTATGTATATACAAACATAGTAAATTCCTGTCGACTAAGCCTCAATGTCAGCCTAAGGTTGCAGTGCGCACCTTGAAGGAGCCGACAGGACTCACCTGTGCGCCACCATGTAGGGCACGGCCCCGTAAAGCGCCATGTTGCTGTCCACCTCGTACTCGAACACGTCCAGGTTGTAGAGCCGGAACGGGTCCGTGGAACCCCTGCAAGAAGGAAATGATTGCTCGTGAGACGAACAGAAGTCTGGTCCCAATCTACCACGCTCGGTCAATTCTGATGCACACCTCTTGCTTACTAAAGGAGGGCTCTGATGGTCTTTATAGCTACCCAAACCACGCGCATTTTCGGAATGCTCTTTCCCGGCACGCTATTTGTCATACCTAAATTTGAAATGGCTGCCGAGAAGACGGCAAAGGAAGGTAACGCAAAAACCGAAGTTTGAATTTTCCCGCGCTCTCCAGTGAGGCTGCGTTGCGCGTTGTGTGACCCACGAGCCGAGCGGGCAATCTCAAAATTAACATCTTCTTCGCGTGCCGATTTTTGTTTGTTTCAGCGAAGTGGGCTTATCCAGCATTCGTCTCACACCATCAAACTTCTCGTAACCCGTCGAGAAAAAGCCACACTGCCTCCGTATCGCCCCAAGTTATATCTGACGTCACGTTTCCGGCGTTGTCGGCAGAGCCTTTCAGCCTCTCTGACCAAATTTGTGACACCAAACCTTAAAACACTAGCAGTAACCTTTACCTTCGAAGGCCTATACCGTATTTATTCTAATATAAGGCAAGGTTTTTTTCCAAAATCCATAGTCTCAAAGTCATACCCCACCTTATATTCGAAGCTCAAAATAGCAATGACAATTTCTTTCTTTTTCTTGGGTCCTTCAACTGCCCCCTCGCCTTATAATCGTGACCGCCTTATATTCGAATAAATACGGTAATACAGGAAATGCACATGCATTATAGGCAACTAGTGAGGAAATTGGCGAGAATTGGTGTGTCACATGAAGTTTATTATGGCAGACATAGCGGTGAATTGGTGCACAAGTAGACATCCTTTGTTTGTGCAAAGCATTTTCGCAACTCATTTTTATAACATCGGAGAGTGCCCAGTCTTCTATAATGTATTCTACGTCAAAATGGCAGATAAAAAATGAAATTCCAAAAAGTCGCCACTCCAGAAAAGCCAGGTGTCACGGGCAGAATAACTAGTCCAAGGATTTGCCGAAAGGTGAGAGAACACTCACACGGTGGACTTGAGGGCGAAGGAGTCCGCATGCTCCGGAAGTCCGTACACGTGGTCGAATCCCTCAAAGGTGAAGTCCATTCCCACGGACATGGGCCCTGCGATGCATAAAGACGCGAGACGAGTGAAGTACAGCACGGGAACGTACAGTCGGTGACAGGTCAAGAACAAACTGGAAGCTCCTCCCACTTCTTTCCACTTCAGTAGAGCGAACGGTGAAGAGAAGGTCATCTCCTCTCCACCGTTTGCTCCACTGAAGTGGAAAGGGGTGGGAGGAGCTTCCACACCCAGCATACGGGGTGTTTCCGAGCGCTCGCCGGCGCGAAAAAAGGTTCTTAAAAATAAACCAATGAACGGGGTGCACTGAATCCTTTCACAAAGGCGTCTTTAGCAGTTCATTTATTGTGCTCAAATTTCACGAGTGTGGGCACCGAGGAAAAAAATTTAAGCCGAAAAAATCCCGTCTTTTCCCATGCACGGGAACGAGAGCATTAAAAACCTTCGGTAGATGCTGCGACTTGCAGATGGCACCACACATGCTCAGATCTGCCGGATCTACCTTTAGGTGTGTGTCTCAAAGAAGCTTTCATGCCTTTAACCCAGAATGTGCTTTATGGGGCGCCCCTGACGAGAAAATTGCCGTGAACGAGCATCATAACGACCGTTGCAGCAAGCGTCGTGAACGAGTGACACGCCAAGATTTTATATAAAGTTAATATATGAATATATAACCTGGGTCAATACAGTGGCAGTCGGATATCATAGTTGCTGAGCTATTAGTACAGCTGGTCTAAAAATTTCTTTTTTCTTTTCTCTTTTTTTATTTGAATGCAAACGTCTAGAGTGGCAGGTTTTGGGTGAAAATAATACCTAGAACAAATTAAAACTCATAACAAAAGTCAATCAATAAAAAAAAAACATTGAAATAAAAATAAAATACAACAATAAAACTAGAAAACAAATAAAAAATGCTTGCAAAAAAAATGAACAGATGGAAAGATTGAAAAATTTTGCAGGGACACACGAAATGAGGCTTGTGCACGAAACATTCTGTGCTCCATCATCACCACCATCAGCAGCATCATTGAGCCTGTATTTTTGGCTTTAGGTTTCGTCCTCTGCGAGTAGCGGCGTCAAACCAAACGGATTTTACCATTTTCCTCTCTGTGCATAGGAAAAAAACTGGAATCTTTAGGTTTCATCTTTTTCATAAAACCTACAGTCATGAAATTTCAGTACGATAAGTACACCACCAAAGGACAACTTTGTCAAATGTTTGATCACACTCGGTACATTGGTTTACTTATAAGAATTGTTTCACACCTCGACGGCGCTCGGAAACACCCCGTAGAAGGCCACATACGGCGAGCGCCTTGCATGGCACAAATGTTTTACAAATACAACAGAACCTCGCTGATATACTTTCAGTTGACACATGTTTCTGGCTCTCGCACCTCCCAAACGTGCGCATTTTCCATTTACCACGATTGCCTTCCCGGTTGTTGCTTCCAAAAAATGTTGCCTTTGCTTAGTAAAGACTAAGTGTGCAGGCGAGCTGGTGGCAGCTAATCTTGTCGTTTAACACTTGCACCACTGTCTTGGGTGTTAAACGACACGACAGCCTTTGCTTCTCCGTTCTGCACTTCTTGCATTGCCTGGGCGGGCACGAGCTTGGCCCATACTCGGATCCACTGTTTGATCCCAGCAGACGCGACAGTCAAATGGCACCAAAAGTGCGCCGTCACGGCACTCGTAGTGTTTGTGTGTTTGCCATTGCCAGGGAAACTGAACGCGTTGGGCAAATGCACCGTGATCCCGCGCTTTCTTCGTGTGCAATTGGTTTAGCCAGTAATGGCAGACGCACAAAGGCGACGAGCGCCGCGACGACGTGCATTTGGCGGCAGTCGATTGCGGCGTCGGTTGCCGTCGGACTTAGAGTGAAACGGAGCGTAGGCTCGAGAAGGATTCAAGCTTTTCCGACGGACCGTTCCTCTTTCCACATGTTTCCCCGTCGCACACGCTGGTGTTCTGTCTGGCGGCCCGGTTTCCCCAATTCTGCTTGGTTCATTTCGCTCAGAGTTAAGAGTTTGTAACCGTGCACCAAACGAGTCATGTTCTGCGTTGGGTTGGCCTGCATGTTGAGCTCCAGTGCCTTCCACCAGTGCACGAAGTGCGGCAGATGACACAAGTGAGTGTCTGGGTCGACTGAATGGACTCGGAAATTTTGCTCAGTCTTATAGGTTGACGTTCTTTGGTTACAGGGTTCCAGTTTTAACAAACGTTTTTAAAAAATATTTCTAAAAAAACAAGTCGAACTTTGTTGGAGTAAATGGTCTAGTTTCCCACACCCTTGAAAGTCCATGAAGGTCACTTGCTACGCGAGAGTTTCTCGCCGCCTCGTCTTTCTTCGTTCGTACGAGAGAGGCGAGGCAGTAGCTGCGCACTTTGTCCACAGATGGGTGCGGCAGCGTTGGCATGGAGATGCAATTAGAAAACCCAAGCCAAGAAACGAGTCTAAATTTAGCTTTTTTTCCCTGCCAAGAATGTTGTAAATGCTGCATGTGCCACATTTTTCCCTAAAGTTGACAGATTTGCTGGTTATTAATGACGCCGACAAGGTTTGTAATTAAAACCATGCCTTTAACTTTATTGACTAAAAAGTTAATTATTGAAAAGTAATAAATAACCTACTTAACCTACAAATTTTTCTTAAATGGGTCCTTTGGCAGAGGCTAATAGCACATGAACCTTCTGAGCGATGCATGTTTTTTGCGAGAACGATTTGGCCCCGCGTTTCCATGAAACTCCACGTGTATGAATGAATGAGAAAATGGGTTAGTTTGTGTCCCACACCATGCTTATCACAATTGCATGATGAACGTCAAACACCCCGGGCTAGCGGCGGTACCGCACTGGCTAAATTTCTCACTTACGGCGTAAATCAGTATTGCCGTACCTCAAAGACAGACCGACCTTATGCCACCTAAACACAAATGTCAAATTGTTAACTTTTTTTTACCGTTCTTTTTGCTGTCCTTGTGGCCCTTGAAGGTCTCCTCCCAGGCGCCATCCATGTTGTCCTCCTCGACCGCCTTTGCTGCCTCCTCCACCTGCCGACAGAAAACCACAGTTTTCAGTAACCAGCAATTCAGCCGGGCCATAGCCCCGTATGAGAAGAGGTCGGCAAAGTCCTGCTGAATGCTCACAAACTACCGAACCTTGGAGGTGCGCCTCGAAAGTGGTACGTTGACAAAACTATGAAATAACTGGCGCAAAGCAGCTCGTGACTCCAACAACATTTGACGCTGCGCCTTTAATATGTAACCACCAGAGTCGCTAATTAAGGGGGAACACTACTCCGGAAGGCTAACTTTTGCACCGTCTGTCTTATTTGCATGAAATTTGCAGGGTGTACACATAGCACTGGACAAGGATGCTGTGGAAATTTTCAACCCTATAAATTTATCCCACGATGAGTTACATAAAAGTTCATAATAAAAAAGTGTATCTGCTGAGGAAAGCTATCGTTTAGAAAGGGCAATGAAAATGGCCGGTTTTTTTGCTGGAACATACACCAGAATACTTGCTTCAGACGACTATGAAAAGTAATTTCATAAATTATAAAAATTTATTCACAAAAACAAAATATGGAAAAAAGTTTTTTTTTTGGTGTACATTTGATTTAAAGGAAATATAAACTTTTTATAACAAAAGAGCATAAAAATGAAGAAAGTAAGTTCACAGTCGTGTTCTCCAGAAAATTTCAATATACAGAAACCAAAATATATCTGCACGCATAATTTTATTATGAAATGATAGCTTCCCTGAACTGATATTTGACACTAAAAAGTGAAGCTGAGATAAATGCACTTGAAGTTTCATGATGAAGTTTTAAAAATTTATTTTTATGTCTTAAATGTCAAAAATTCTTTCCACCAGTGTAGGTGATGTCTTCCTCAAACTTCTTCTGATATACTGACATTCCTTCAGCTATTTTCACTTGTGGATGACGAGTGCTATGCAGTGCAACACACCTCACCAACATATAAATAATAATTATTTTTGACATCATTTGTCAGTGCACATTGACAAGACTTTGTGAGAGCGTTCTTTGTTATCCATACATGCCAAAACTTTGCAGTTCTGAATATGCATTTTTTTTTTAAAAGAGGTGCAATTCAAGGTAGTGTCCCCCCTTAAGTAAGGGAGTTTCAGAGAAAAGAAAAGTGTGTTTTTTCAGCCCGGTTAAATGAACTATGCATTGCAGGAAGTTCAAACTGTGAAAATGTGACGCTAGCGGTTAGGATAGAATGCGAAAGTCTGAGAACACAACGTTATCTGGACCAAATGATAATTGAGAAAGACGAAATTTCTTTAGGAGCAGATATCCACCCAAGCCTGACATCGTCAAAACAAGGACTGACATTCTGGACGCTCGTGCTACTTACTACACATATCAGTGAAAAACACTTGTCAGGAAGAACAAGGATATTGTTTTCTTTTTCGGCAATAGGTATTTTTTGCCAAAATAGATGTTTCAGGCACCCACAATGTTGTTTCTTGTTGTGACAACATTGGGCTTGCTCATAAAGAAATTTAGTTTTTTTTCTCAATTATCTCTTGATCCAGGTAACGTAATGTCATCACAAATTTTGTGTTCCATACCAACTGCTATCATCACATTCTCAAAGGTTTGAACATTCTGCGGTGCATAGTTTATATAGCTGAGCCAAAAAAAAGTGGTTCTCTTTTCTCAGGAACAGCCCGTATATCGACACTTTACTCCCCATGTCCCCGTAGGCGCCGCCATTTTGGTGCTTAGTGCGAAGCGGGTGGAATTGGCAATCGTTAACACTTGTAAATACGCCTCCTCCAGCTCTAGATACAATCTCAAGAACTTCGGGCGGCAATGTTTGGCTCCGTCGCAGACTGTTTTTAACATTTCTGGAAGACGGAAACCAACTTCCTGTGAGTTCGGCTGAGGCTTCAGACAACATGCAACCACGATTTTAAGCAACAAGATGGCCGAAGCGTCGCTTCTCTGAAGCAGAGCTCACTCAGCGACTAGGCCACGAAGGAGATGGCTCTTTGCGCCACGCTTTCGACGGAGCCGGAAATCGGACGCCTAGAGATGCGGTGGGAAAAGCAACCCTGAAGCCTCCGAAACCTCAATGGAGACGTGATCAGTTAAGTTCCGAAACACAGTAGTTTTCCTCGTTTCTGTTTCTTTGCAGTTGCGCCAGCGGCAGCGGTGTGACCTTCGGGGTGGAGAGGTGACGCAGGGAGTGCCCCAGAGACTGAAGCGGCTCGTCACGGATATCACATTCTAGCCCGACGTTTTCTTTTCTGTTTATCGTCTAGCACAGGGGACAGTACCACAAGCCTGGTCTGGCACCTCTCTGTCGCACCAGATTAAGCGAAAAGTGCAAACTTTAGGGAGTTTAGAGTATGCGGTCCGTTAGATTAGTAGTTGAAGGTCTTCACCGGTGACATGACAAAGCCACATTTGAACTGATTGGTCGCTGTCGGTGAGAGTGTGAAAGGTTGAATGTCGAAGGAAAAAACGGTGGAAGATTTTGAGGGACTTGGGCTGAGACTCTGGACGAGTAAGGATGGTCTCCCAAGTTTGGAGATGTAACCTCAACGTGTAAGTAAATGTACACAGTTAAATACAAGCAGCGAGTCGACGCATCGCTCAAAGACATTCCAGCCACCACGCCCCAGACCGTCGGAGCGAAACCTGCCTCCCACAACACCAGGAGGAGCAATAACTTAACTCGCTCTACGACCTCCCTTCTTGAGGGGGCAGCGCAATGATATTGTGTTGGAATGCTTCTTGCATTAACGCAAGCTTACCGGCACTATGCGTGCAACGCCACCAACTGAGAAGCTTCTTCGTCGCATATAATTTCGAGGTTAAGAACAGACCTCTTTCGGTCTCTTTCGCGGAACTAGGATCATGGTTGTAGTAGGGGGGAATTAGCCTATAACGACGACGTTCAAATGGAGCTCGTAGATTGGGCATAAGTGCCGTGTGAACGCTTGGCTTGGGCTCAGTGCAATGCCTAATTGAGCATTTGGGTTGCGACTCGTGCCAAGCTGCTGCAGGGACAGAAAGAGCCAAACCCCGACTATGTCTGGAACTCAGGACCTGCCCCGTGCCTTGCCAATCCCAGCGCATGGTTAAGATCTCCAATGGCGGCATATAACTGGCATCACGTAACTGTTTATTCTGTCTGCAAGTTGAGGGGGACAATGCTGCTCATTTTTCTTTATTTTCTCCCAAAACTGCAATTGTGTGAAGAAAAAGACTAAGGCATGTTTCGTAGGTTAAAGACGTCGAGAATTTATTCTATGCGGAATTTAGTAAAGGTACAAAAAGTGTTGCACCACCCCTCTAGCCTCACCTGAGACACCTCATATTTGGCGGGGTTATCTCCTTCAACCGATCCTCGCTCCTCGGCGGGAAAGTCTACGTTTTGAGAGTCTTCGCGTTCGTCCTGCTCCTCCTCATCCCCATCACGATCCGGATCCTGAAGGCGAACGGCGGATCTCGGTCGCCAGCGGCAGCAAAACGGCGCTTTTTGCGGGAGGAACTTACGTCTTCGTCGTCATAGTCATTATCGTCCTCGAGGTCCTAAAATGAACAGCCAAAACCTAAAGGACCCTTAGCAGCCCCCAAACATTTTAGGGTAGGACGCGGACGTTACATGTGCCCTTTGTCGAAGAAGGAAAGTTTAAACTTGGCTAGCAGTACTCACATAATAGTCTTCGCTTGGCTAAAAAGTAAAGAACAGTCGCATTACGATCAGGGTCCGGTTACATCGAAAGAAAACTAAAAACGTTACGGCGAAATTCTTAACAAAGTCTCGCGCAACACTGAGTACATCAGCAATGTCCTTTTGGGATGATAGCAGACTATCGTCACGCCTAGACCATCACCTGTAAAGTTTACATATTCACACATAGCACTGTGATAGGGACCACCCTCCCCTTCAATGGCGACAGTCGAAGATTTTGATAGGTTTAAGGTTGCACTAACTAATCGTTGCTCTTGTTTAGGGCCGCTACAATAACTTTTAATCACATTTCTAATCCCGAATTCCCAACCCCTCTGTAACGCTTCGGCCATGGGGGTATAAAAAATAAAACAAACGCGAGAGAATTAAAAATTGCCAGTAATCTTCGCATCAATCGTCACTAAAAATCTCTATATGGAATCATTAACGTCTGATCTCGCTTTTGCGGTAGTTACGATAGACTGCCGTTAGAATGTTAGCAGTCGATGGCGACTGCTAACATCCGTTTGGTCAACTGACTGCCTGGTTAGCTCAGTTGACAGAATGCTGCGCTAGTCTTGGAGAGGTCCCGGGATCTATTCCCAGACCGGGCACATTTTTCCAGCGGCCACTGGTGGCCTAAGGGGCGCGAGTTGTGCCGCACTTCATGTGGAAGTCAATTTATTTCTGCGTTAATTTTAGTCGCCAAGCTTTTCTCATAACTTGGCAAGTTACAATATATTTAACCCACTAGATAAACCTACATTCTCCAGTTAGATGGAAGCTGAAAAGGTTCTTGAAAAAAAAAAATGAGTTAGAGGTGAATTATAGCGCATTTTTGTACTGTGAATTTCAGTATCCGAACGCATCAATAGACCCGAGAGAAACCGAAAAACCAATCACTGGGTGCGAAGTCATCGCAAGAGGTTTCAACTGCCTCGCAAATTCCACCTGCGCGGGAACGTGTGCAGCGTTTTTGAATGCCTGGGTAAGGCTTGCGGAGGGCACGGAAATGTTAAGATCTCTGCATATTATTTTATTTATTTATTTATTTGAACATACTATTGATTGCTTACGGGCCAAGATAGGAGTAGGCTACATAATTGAGGTTAACGTGGTATGTGTAACAACCCAACAATCGCATTCCGCACTGCCCTGCACTGAAACATGCAGGATTCACGATTCGGTCTTCCAACTGAACGGGTTGAAAAAAGAGCGGCTTCAACCCTTTTTTAATGTGCTGTTTTGCAGCTACATGGCATATAAATCTGAAATCTAATTTAAATATCCGTGATCCTGGAGGCCGAATGAAGATGAATCAAGTGTTTTTTTTTTTATACAGAACCGTTGCAGTTTCCTTCTAGTAAACATTCCTCCCGGCTACACACGGCTGCACGCTGGCACTGGGATACACCTCATGCGACATGCCTGTTGGGTTACTACGTCTCCATTCATCTTCCCCAATATTCCACGAACATCGAGCCACAACGTTACCTATTTTGCAAGCGCTCACATTAACCCTTTAACCACCCGGCCCGGGCTGTACTCGTCGTGGAAGGTTGTACTAATATCGCCGATGACGAGTCAAACTCGTCCAGCCAAAATGATGGTTTGCTTTCACTGCCAAACACAAGACAGGGTTGTAATTCAGCTTTAGTTTCAATTTTCAACACTGGAGGGCAGGAGAGGTTGCACAAGTACATAGCGTGTTTCGGGCTTTGGAGCGTATTTAGCCTTGCAGCAGTGATCAGAAATGGCAGCACGCTTGAGTGATGCCGGTGACGGCCCTCGGAAACGAGCTCTCTCTTGCGGCAGTTCGAACAGTAGCGACGATGAAGACATCGAATTTGTCTCTAAAAATGAGTCGGACATAGATTTTGAACACAAAACGGACTTAGACGACGACCACAGTGTTGAAGAAGACGACACGCTGGGTAGTGTTAGAGTGTGGCAACGCGTAAACACTGAAAACCCGCCACCCGCGCCTCCAAGGTTCCCGTTTTGTGCAGTGCCTGGGATTCTGCGGGAACCCACTGACGAAAGAGACATTCTTGGCTAATTCGGTTTTTTTTTTTTTTTTTTTTTTTTAGCTTCATTGTGATAGAGACAAACTGCTACGCGGTCCCGTATTTAGTAGCGCAGGGTTCTTCATGGAAACCGGTTGACCGCGAAGAGATGATAGTGTTCCTTGCACTAATAATTTTGCTAGTACGGAGAGACGTCTAGGCGCTTTATCTTTTGTTACAATGCATATGTTCAAATAAATACTGCGCATTTCAGCATGTGTTATTCTATTACTCATACATACACTGAGGGAAAGCTTCCATAAAAATCAACTTTTTGTTTTGAACGTTTTGTGTTAATACCAATCAGAAACCACTCAAGTAATGCACTTGCAAAATCAAAACAAAAAAAAATATGCGCAAACAAAAACATTGGGGAAAGTTTGTACATTTTTTTTTTTTTTTCAATAACTTGGTGGTTAAAGGGTTAAACTTCATACCTGAACTTGGGTCATTTATGGCGTTGCTGTTTCATAAAACAGTCTTTCTTTTCCCATCAGTTTCCTAAATTTTATTTTCTTATTCCTGATGCCGGTCACTTCCTTACCGTATCGGTCGAGACGACCAGGCGAGCGAGACGGAACCACATCCAACGTGGTGCACTCAAGACCGTACGCAGTGCACAACGACACAAAGCAAGGGCCAGACTTACGGAGTCAAGCTCCTATTGGAGAGAGAGAGAGAGAGCAAGAGACGAGAGAAGCATGCTGGGGTTACGAAGCCGACAGGAGCAAAAAAAGTCGAGATCCGACGGAACGGCGTACGGTACGCGTGTCCAACCGGTGCATCTAGGGTCTCATTCTGCCCGTGTTTCGAAAGTAGTCCAGTCCCGAAGTGCCAACAAACGACGTCGCAAAAGCCGGAGTGTCACGCCGTCGGACGTAGCAATACCGGTGGTTGGTTGCAGAAGTTCTGGCAAAATGCAAAGAAAAAGCGAGGCTGAAACACCACGGCGACGCAAACGTCGCCGTCACTGCAGCGTTTTGGCCCCTGGCTGCCGAAGCCTCCGTGGTCCGTATAGCTGGAGAGCGACCTGCAGTGTATGCCACGTTACCGAAAGGATCGCAGTCGGCGACGGCGCGACACTTCTACAACGTCGTTGGGCGGAAATCGAGAGACCACTTTTTTGTATGCGGTAAAAACACGCCAGTCTGAAACACCAACAGTGCCGGAGCTATTCCAAGACTGGACGTTGTCTTTGCTGCGGATTGCGACTTTCGGTTGATGCGCGATCCAAGGAATTTTGCGTGAACAATTGGAAAATAGAACCGACATAAAGAGACGCATCGAAAAAGTGTAGACGTAATAAAAAAGAAACAGCGTACAGGAACGAAGAGACAGAAAAGGGACGTGAAAGCGTGAAAGACATGCACGAGTGCCGACTCTCAACTAAGTTACCGTACGAAAAGAAAGAAGAGGAAAACGAAGAACGGTGCTCGAGGGGACGGGACAAAAGGAAGGAATGCTGGAGAAATGGCACACGTTTGTCCCGTCCGACTAAGCACCTTTTTTCGCCGCGTTTAACGTTCATCAACTAATCACCCGGGGTCAGATTTTGGTTGCCACGAGAGCAAGAGCTAATTTGCCTCTCGCAGAGCAAGAAAAGATTGCGTTCTTAGATGGTTTATCTGCTACAAAGTGCTATTTGAAGAACATAAATAAAATGTGAAAACAACGAAAGTCGTCTGCTGAGATCAGGAAAATGTTGATATTCCGCTATGAACCAAGCGCCTCGACGAAGTGAAATCTGACCCAGGCCACAGCTGTAATGGTCTGCCGTTTGAGGCTGAATACATTCACACAGTCACGCTGTTTTCTCCTCATACACTAGGAACGCATAGAGAGAAGAGACATCCTTTCATAAATAGCCTGTCAATAAAGAAAAAGTGAATCAGAAATACCAGAGACCAAATTTCACCTTTTCAAAGATAATCTTTGGACAAAGAAAAAAAAAAGGAATGCAGGGCAGACTTTACTTTATCAGCCTTTGTTGTAAGATTATACTCAACCGCAACGAGAAGTCCGCTAAATTATGCAAATGGTCTAAAGGCCACCAACCAGCGGATGAGAAACAGAATTTCCACAAATTCAAGACAACCCGAGGCATGGAACTCAAAAAGGGACGTCTTACATTAATGGAAGTACACTGATGGCAACGATGAGAAAGACGGTGGGTGGGCTTACCTCGTTTTCAGGTGCGTCAGCTTCTGGAGCCTGGTTCTCCTTGCTGGAAGCACGGCAAAACGGGAGACAATCAAACAACAATGCTCCCTCACCTTTTAAGAGCTTGATGTTATATGATTATTAATAATTATAATAAAAATAAAATAATCATAATCATCATCATCAAAACATTTAGACAACACAATTCTAGTGCCTTAGTTTTATTGTCTGAACGTCAACCACGTTCTGGCCACACCCAGAGACACCAATTTGTTGTTTGAAAAGACCCCAAAACATAAAAAGTGCCCCAAAACCGCCGACTAAGAAGTTATAAGCGATTTTCATTTTTCAAAGAGGAAAAAGGTGGCCAATGAAGCTCAAGAATACATGAAGATGTACGATGCCGGCTCACGGGTATGGGCCCCATCTTGTCATTGGAAACAATTTTGAAAATCGCAATGGCCTTCGAAACTTTGGTATCTAATCCGGGCTGCTAGCGGCCTGTTTTGGCGGAGACCGGGTGTCTGGTTATGCATAGTTTATTCTTGCTTTGAAACTAAACACTAGTAAATGTTATTTTCAGAGGCAGGCAGTAGAGCATTTTTCGTATTCTTGATTGACAAGATTTGCTAATCTGCTAGTTTCTTGCAAATCATGCATGTCACCGCAATCTATGATAAGGCAGAGACAACACTCTCAAGTAGACCCAGATCCTAATTTAACCCAGATCTTAATTTTGAGGAGAAACACCCCCAGAACTTATCACGCGGTAAGCTCATTCAGGCAAGGATACTAATAGGCCGCAAGTTTGCTCTGCAGAAAAGTAGCGAACTTGTAAAAATTACCTTTTAAAAGTGATATAGAGTAATGAAGGCGGAAATTTAAGTTATAAACAATTCATGCCTCTCAAAAAAAGAAAAACAACATATTTGCCATTTGCATTTAAATGGTGTAAGGTTGATCTGCTTTTGAGGCATGGCGACAGTGGTTTGCGGTTTAGGTGAGAAATTTAGCCGGCGTAGCACAACTGCTTCCCTGGGGTCTCTAACATGCATCACACAGTTGTGATGCGCGATCGCATGCCGGTACAATGCTCACCCAGATTAAAACGGGCGGGCAGGGGTGGAAATTGAACCCAGGACCCCCGGTTCTGCAGTGTAAGCTTTCGCCCCACATTCTTACGAGCCGCAATGTGCCAGCACTCTTTACCACCGATCCCCCTAACCCATGCTTACAAAATGTGCCTCTGTAGTCACAGTTACTCACAAAAGAAAACTAAGCAATTAGAAGAGGAGGAAGGAACGCCAACCAAAAATAAAAAGGAGCCCAACGTTTCGAAACCTGCTTGGTTTCTTCTTCAGGGGCGACTGTGTGCGCGAGGAGCAAGTGGTCTTCTTTTACGGCGGTGGACGTGATGTTTTCGCGATCGTAATGTGGCTGAGCCCGCTGACGTAAGCCGAAAACTAAGCAGCACTGCAATTACTCGTACAAACTTCCACGATGTCCAGTCTGTGATGAAGCCATTTGAGGTTCTGATGTAGTAAAATTGATGCACATTGTGATTTGGCTTTGCAACTAACAATGAAAACCCACATTCCTCCTTTTATCTACTCTCTTCTGCATATAAAACCTGCATAAAATTTTCTCAAAGCGCTCATAATTTTTTCAGAAAGATCTCTACTATGTCACTGTCTTCAAAATACTAGTATCGGTATCTTCACCAAAGCAGCGTGTTAAATGCCTATACACCAGAATTACGAGCGCCACTTTAACATTGCTTCACACTACCTATATCTTTGCCATATCGGTCATCTTAGCTATATATATTAGTATTACTATTGCTACACCGGTACATTAAGTGCCTAAGCCAGTATTTAAAGAGCACCTCAACATTCCTTCAAAATATCTGGAGCTTTGTTATATGAGCACCTTCACCATATTCAGTACCTCCACTACATCAATCCCATTGCTCTATCGGTACATTAAATGTCGCTATTAAAAGCATACATCTTCATTGCATTATTACATCAAGAACAGGGGCTCTTTTGAGTCTCGAGAAACCTTTTCCCACCTCGACTGAGAACCGAGGATCTCCCTCCCGGCCTCAGCATTCACGCAAAGCTCTTCGAGAGGCTACAGAGCTTGTGAACAATGAAGAACATACTACTAAGGAATGTTTGACTCATAGACATGCAATGTTGGACTCCACTAAAATAGTGGAACTAAAAGAACACTTTACTTCGGGGCAAAGATGGTCAAGGAGATTTGGAGAACTTAAGAGGGTGTACTGGGGTTCTTCAAAGTACCCTTTCCCCGAATTTCCTATCCTGTCCCCAAGTAAAGTGTTCTCCCGATTTAAGCACTATTTTCAATGATCTGAGCCATGCAGTGATACGCATGACAATCTGCAAGATATTCTCTAGTATACGTGCATTATAATTTGCAAGGTTTGTAGGCTTTCGCAGGAGGGCTTCGTCGGCTATCAGTCAGGAGAGATTTCCCCGAAATCGAAAACTTTGACGACCCCGATCTCCACTAATTGTGTCACTATTTTCACTATAAAGAGGCTCGACCGTAATCGTACAGTAAGGCGAGTTCACTCACGAGAATCGGCTTCCAGCCGCTCTTTCCTGCCGTTTGAGAGCAAGCAAAGGTGCAATGAGGTGGTGTACCAATTACCGAAATTCAGAGAAACTCCTCCATCAGTTGGTTGAACCAATAGAAAAAAAAGAAGCGACGAAGATTTAATTTTATGCACTGCCGCACCGGATTTTCCCAATCCACAGCCGGCAACCCTACAAGGAAACCGAAGCTCCCCAGCATCTAGAAAACGACATCGTCTGCGGCACTTTGTTCCTTCGTAACTTGGCAAGCAGCAAACGCTACGGCCACGCCAAGCCAATTGGAGCGACGGAGACAAAGAATCTGAAGGCTCTTGCCAAAGCTAAAGGGGCAAGAACGCAGCCTAAGCGGTTGAAGAAACGGCGAAGGAGGAACTCTCCTCTTACCCGGACCATCTTTTGCTATACCCCAGACATCGCTCTTCTCCCAATAAGACAGCGGTTCTCAAATGGGGGTCCGCGGACCCTCAGAGGTCCCAAAGACCTTCTTTGGGTCCCCGAAGCTCTTATTTGTTAGCCGAGCCAAGCAATACAACATTTCTTTTCAAAGCAGCTTTCCCTTCCCTCCCGCCCGCCCATGGTTTTGACAGCACTGCACGCATCTAGTGAAATAGAGTATAGTTTTGTCTCTCCCTCCGACGTACCAACTAGCTCACTAGAACTGTAGCCTTTACCATTTGCCAAGTTACGAGGAGATGGAGTATAGACTCAATAAGAAGCTACGCTTCAGCATGTCGGCACTCCTTCCCCCACCCCTTCCATGTGCACTTTGCTTAGGTTGACGTCTGTTGATTTAGCTCGCAACATGAATCTTTTCTGCTTTGTGTTGTTCTAAAACACGTGAAAGGATGCATCCCAGACGAACTCTTGGCACCGATGTTGCTAAAGCAGTATTTTTCTGCCATTCCGTTGCCTGGTGCAGATCGGGCGCAAGTGGTGGCAGACACGTTTAGAAACTGCTACATTCTGGGCTTTGGAAACAGTGTTGGGTGGCTCAAGCGATGTTGCTTTGCTCTGCCGTGGACAGATGTGTCTGAAAATTTCCGGAGTACAGAAAACCATTTCTTGCAGATTTCGGATAAAGCTTCTCGTAACCGGCAACAGGGATTTTAAGCACCGAGATAACTAGTGTCGTTACTCTGGGGCGTAGCTTACCTAGTGGCTCAACTGTACTCTCTGTCTACAAATGGTGTCGTCTGTGTCTACAAATGGCGCCGTCTATGTCTGCAAACGGCGCCGTCGTTGTTTACAAATGGCGCCGTCTGCGTTTACAAACGGCGCCGTCTGCGTTTACAAACGGCGCCGTCTGCGTCTACACATGGTGTCGTCTTACGGGGCATCCCGGGTCCGGTGGTGCTCGAAGCGCATCAGTCCACGGGCATTGGCGACAATGACCAGCTGGTCCCCAGAGTACACCTCCACGGAGAACGGACTGGCATGCACGACCGCACGGTTGCCGCCACCGAATGCCACGCTGAATGACTGCGCATCCTGACCCGTGAGCTTGATGCTGAACAAACAAGAAAACAGAAACGAACCACAATCTGTGAACAAGAATCAAACAACTTGGGGCAAAGTGAAAGCTTTGTCCCCCAGGTTGCAGGCTCTCCACTCAAGCACTCACATGCTTTAGTGGGCTGAATAATGTATAACACAAATGCTTGCAATAAAAACTATTATTACTATTATCATCTACCAAAGAAGAAATGTACAGGAAAGGAAGCCTTCATGTTTTACCTCGGGAAACAGAAGTAAGGTTCCTTCCAAGTTCAATGGAACTTTTGTTGAGTAATCGAAATATCGAGGAACAAGCTGGATCTGCAGGTAGTACATACACTGCACTTGCTAGTGTGCACGGTAGTAATTGTAGTAAGCGAAGCCCGTAAAAGATGGCACTTTGAATGTGCATTTGTCCATTCCCTTATTTTAGTCAGTCACTTCGAGTCTTTCCCACGGGATGGTTGAGCATGTGCAGAGTGTGTACCAACAAACCCAACATGTTCCTTGGCGTTTCAGTCATCTCACACAGTAATAGTCAAATGCAGTAAAAGTATGGTTTCAATATCTTCACTGCATTTCAATTGGGGCTGTACTACACTTACTGTAAAGTTCCCAAAGAACATCTACCAAAAATGAAGAGATAAATGGGGAAAAAAATGGGGTGGGCTATCTTTGGGGATGCCACAGCAAAACTTTATCAAAAATAAATGATGAACACTGGGTCACCCGCTACTAACCACGTGACGTGGGAACTGATACTCCAGATTGTGGACACCGCGAATTTGCATTTCACGATGCGATAAACACGCCGGAATTTGCGACAAACTCCTGTGTCACGCGAAAAAATACCACAGGTCGCGAACGTAGCAGATTCGCATTTTACTGTGTGAAGGACCCGTGGAAACCCGCCAAGAACTCTCATTTCACGGAAACAAATACCACAAATCGCAGACGCAGCAAATTCCCATTCCACGAAGCAATATACACGCGGGAACAACTCGCGTGTTACGGCAGTCAATATTGCGCACGCAGATCGCGGACAGAATTGCGGAAACCCGCTATAGACTCGCTTGTCAGATGTACCTGTACAGCAGATCACGCGGCAATTGTGAGTCCCGTCGGACATCGCGTGACGTTCGACAGGAATCGGGGGGGTGAGCTACGTTTCGGAATTTTTATGTTGCACATATTTAGCCAGAAAAACAGGACGGGCAATCTCTCAAGGGTGGGCGTTCTCTTGGAACGCCCACCCCCGAGAGATTGGAACGACAGGAAATGATAATTAAAATACACCAAAGATCGACAGATCAGGGGCACTCCGGTGATAGCATTAACACTCACCAAGAGAATCAGTACACCGCAAAGAGAGTACCGATACACCACGAAAAGATTACTACTGTATAAAGGGAGTACTAATTAATACACCATAAAGTACCAATACTTAGAAAAGAGAGCAGTGATACTCGTGGAGGGAAGTACCGATATTCCATGAAGGGAATACCAGTACTCCACAACTGTACACCAATACTCCACAAAAGGAGTATTTATACTCCGCAAAGCTGCACGCCCTCCGTGGGAGCACCGATACTGCACAAAGGAAGAGCCTGCACTCCGCAAGGGAACATAAACACCACGGCTGCCGAGGAACAGAAGGAGTCCCCACCTGTCCTCCCGGATGTTGTCCGCGAGGGCTTCTTTGGGCTCAAACCTCGCCACCTGGGCATTGGGCTCGTCCAGTCGCATGCGCAGCACGCCCTCCTCCAGCGCGATCAGCTGCAGCCGGAGCACCACCCCGTTGCGGGAGTTGACCACGTCCGCCTCCACGCGACCGCCGAGCACCTTGATCGTCGACAGCTGCACCTGGTATGGACTCTCGCCCGGCTTCATGTTGCGGTTACGTCTGAAATTGCGTGCAACGCGACGAACGGCTGGGTTGGGACGTCCATGCTAATCGAGGAACTTGGTTAGGCCCGCTTCAGACTGGGCAACTTTTCCAGCAATTTTGAGGTTGCTGGCGGGTTGTTCCCTAGCTTTCCCTAGATCGGCGTGAATTGCCGAGATCGGGTCCAGCTCGAACAAGCGAGCAACTCGGAGCAATTCGAAGACGGTTGAAGCGGCTGCAGCCAATCAGAGACGCGATATTTTCACGTGACACCCCTGTGGTGGTGATGATGACAGCTAAAGACTTAGTTCTGGTTTGGAATGGATCGTTTTCGGAAATAAACAGTTTCAGAAAAATGAGTTAGTATTCTCAATGCCATTCAAAGATAAAAGAATGCGTTTTTAGCGCGTAGCTGGGCGTCTAAATAGTGAAATAAAAATCAAATTTAATGATGATGATGGCAAGTCGGAGCAATTCGGTTGCTGAGTGTGAACGCGGGCGGCCGGTGTTGCTGGTGTTGCGACGTCCAATTGCTGGGTGAAATTGCTCCGTCTGAAGCGGGCCTTACAGGTTCCAGTTGAGCTAGTTTGCACATATCGGTGAAGGGTCAGGTTGAACTCTCACAGGAATGGATGAAGAAAGGACGGAACATGACAAAACAGCTGACTCACAACTTTGCTTCAGTACACTTGTTTATATGCATAATCACCTTCAGAGGCTGTCCACATACGTCAGTTACTTTGTGTATATGCAGACATCCTCTGGAAAATATGATTACGCATATGAAGAAGTGTACGAAAGCAAAGTTGTTAGCTGTTTTGTCATACTTGTCCTCTCCTCTATCGTTTCTGCAACTTCAAACTGACCCTTTACCACCACTAACCAAGGAAATGTATACTAAATACGTGCGCTAAAGAAGAGCACAAATTAATTATTCCCATGATCTTTTTTTTTTCACCAACAGGTAAGAAGATATTTTTTATAATTAATAATTGTGTTCTACTAAGCTCCTGTTAACATACTAAGTTCTTTTGCTTTAGTAATATGCCATTATGTAAGGACTCTGGGCCGTTAAGGTGTATAACAATTAAGTAAATAAATGAATGAAACCCAAGTGATGGAGAATGTGGCCTTCGACTGCCTTCGATACACACTTACAAACCCAACAAGCTCCTTGGTGTTTCAATGACCTATCATGGTAGAAGTCGACACAAAGTAAAATCATGGTTTTAGTATCCTCATTGCATTCTAATTGGAGCTGTACTACACTCAGATTAAAAAAATAAATAAATAAAGATTACAGAAAAAGGTGATAACTAGCCTACACCAAAGATAGACACAGGAGTGTCAGTACGCACTCCAATGATAGCATTGACACTCACTGTGAGTATCAATAGTCCAGAAAGAGAGTATTGGTATTCTCAATGGGGGTACCTATACACCAGAGATTACTACTCCCATATAAAGGGGGTACTAATACTCCATAAAGGGAGTAATAATACACCATAAAAGCACCGATACCCTATGATGGGAGCACCGATACTTGACAAAGGGGCACCATACAGGCTGCGCTACCTGGAGGCCCCTGGAAAATGATAAAACTGCGGGGTGAAAAGGGGAGCTGCGAGGGTGTGAGCGTTGGAGTAGGCACACACCCTCGCAGCCTCCCTTTCCACTCCACAGTTGTTTTCAGGCGCCTCCAGCTGGTGCAGCATGCATCCAAGGCCGCATGCTCTGCCGCATGGGTTTAAACTGTACCTGACAGTACACGCAGAAATGATACGTCAAAAAGATGAGCTCCTGTTTTTCGGCAACAAACTCTGGGTTGCTGTCGCAGGGATAAGAAACAATAATGAATATTGTACAAAAGAACAAGGTATAATGTGATACACAGCTGAACACACGATGGTAAGAACTGATAAATGCAGACCCTCAATGGAACAGCATTGATAAATACAAATGAGCACCTAAAGGCCATGCACAAGGACTATTTTAGTATTGTCGGTCAACAAGTGGTCTATGCAACTCCTCAAAATGTTAAAAAATATGTACAAGTATGGGACCTGAACTAAAAAATATAAACCCAAACATCAAGAACATGCATTCCTATTATTCGCTATTAAAATGCCAGTGGGAAACTCCCTCGATAATAAAAGGTGATCGTAGCGTTGTTTGAGTCTGACGCGCACCCAGGGGAGAAAAGTGCACGTCTTTTCATGGCTCTCCTCTCCGTACAAACCAAATGTTCATACCCATCACGTTCAGTAAACAACTCCAAGATAAAACATATATAACGAAATAACAAATATTCCGAACACCTGTAACGAAAAAATATTTTTGTTAACCACTTCGACTTTTACACGGAGGCAGCACTACTCACTTGCAAAAGCCGCTGTCGTTGCACGTCTTGAAGTTGCTCCTATCCACTAGTGAAACGTGCCCCAGCACAACGAAGAGGACCAAGAGTTTGAACATGGTTCTCCTGCAAAGTTACGCCAAAAAAAAGTGGAGACGCGGTCAGCACGTCGTCATGGCATCCGTAGACGCTAGCGAAAGCCCTCGACCGGAGATGAACAAATACTTACGGCGACATTATCGCAATAAAACCAATCAGAACGACGTGAAAATTTCGGAGAAACGTATTCGCGAAGGGTCACGGGCGCGTTTCGTTCGTTCAAACCCGCCTTATCAGCAACCACACAGACAATGAAAAAAAAAAAGAGGAGGCATGTAATGTCAGGTGGTTCGGCGATAACGTCAGACTCCGCAGGACACCTTTCGTAATTTTCACAAAGCTCACATCGAGGACCGCGAGTATGTAACTTTGCGGTACGCGGACGTCATGTTTCTAAGATATAAGCCCTATTACACTGAGTGCTGCTCCTTAAACGTGTATTAACTTAGCTTCGGCGTCACAAAGCGAGGTTCTCGGTCAACTTGTAAGCCCGCTACGCGTTGGTTCCGCTAAGTTCCTCACTTCGTTCTGTGCCTCCCAAACTCGGTTAGAGGAAACGTCGACCCATTTTAAGAGTCCAGTTACAATTGTGTAACCTTTCACAGGGTGCAAAAGAGGGTCTATTGAGGCACAGCTCAATCGGGAAAAGAAGCAAATATCGGACTGCTAAAGACAACTCACCGGTCGCACGTGGCCATTTTTGTTTCTACTGACGCGACGCGGAGCGGCGCGTGAAGGAAGTCGCGAAACTCGACAAATGGTTGAATGACACGTAATATTTACAAATGCGGGCAACTGCATGACGCTTTTCTTTAGTGGATTAATTTTAAAGGGATTACGTAAATTAAGCTTTCCAAAAGTATCCGAACCGTTTTTTTTTTTAGCCTCGCGCAATTGTTTTGTTGAGACGTCATCAATTTTTGTTGTTTTTTTCTGGCGCAGGCCGCCCAGCTGCAGCATTTTGCCCCCACCCCCACCACCACCCCCCTGTTTTTTGTTAACTTGAGGTCAATGCTCGAGCAGCTCGAGGTTTACGTGGCTTGCTGTCCCCGCCGTATTTTACCCCCCCCCCCCCCCCCCCCCCCCCCTTTCGTGCTTTCGTGTCAAACCTGATAGTTTTTGTAATCCATTGTCAAAAGGACATTAACACGTGTTCCTCAAAGGGGCGTGGCACTTTTGTTTACTTTGAAAAATAACGAGAAAAAAAGAAAGACGTCAGCGCAGCTCTTGAGGAGGAGGAGGGGGTATGCCCCTTTTCCTCCATATTCTGTTCCTCCACCTCTCCTCCTGTCACTGAATTTGTTCATGGGTGATGTACCATGACACGAAGTCGTGACGTCCTTTTCCCCCCTAAATTTAGCGGGGAAACCGAATTGGTGTTGAGGTCACGCAACATCAATTTCTTCGTTAACTTTAGCAAGAAAATTTTTCCGCTAAATTTAGCAGGGAAGCGTCCCATAATGCAACGCGCACGGTTCCGCCAATGGCGACACCGCTCAAGCCGGAAACGGGCACCTAACCGCTGCACTCTAAAAAATGAGCCTCAGAAATGCTGTTTTCTGGAAATACCAGCATACACACACAAAAAATAGACACGAGTTACACCACTGGATGACCATCTTGCATGCAGTGAAATCGCGTTTGTGCAACCGTTGCAGAGGCTGGCTGAAGCGTGCTGAAGACGTTTTCTACTTGTTTGTCGCTATTCGACCAAGAAGTTTCTTAAACCCCGTGAAAACAATGAGACTTGCCTTTGAGAACAGGTGGAAATTTTTACGAAAGCACAGCACCACAGGAGAAAGGCACAACTCGTAGAAAACAAGTTTCGCCGGTCGCACGGCGTGATCAAAGCTTCCTTGGCATTCCAGTTGCTGGCAGGAGCTTCCTAACCTTGATGACGCCTTCGTAGCTCAAGAGCAGAAGGCAATGAGCGCATACTGCAGACAGGTACCCTGCACTTCTTGTTCTGTCAGCTATGGCCAGTAAAAGCCTGTTCACACATACACCACAGCACTAGCTCAGCACTAATAGTCGGCGCTGGAAATAATGCCAACCTCACTGAAGCCACACCGACTCCGCACTAGTAGACTCATTAATTCAAACTCCTTGGAAGACACAAATTTTGTTTGGACTACCAAAAATTCATTGAAATACGATGCAGGATAAAATTACGATTTGCAACCTAATACGCCACGTAAATACACTGAAAACGCAGTAGGACAACCAATATTTTGAATTTTGTTTGAATTAACCGGAAGTACAAAATGTTCAGCTTCAATTATCATGAGCCTACTCTATTTATGTACAACACTGCATCGTTGCTTAGTTGCATTCGAGCCAGTGCTTCGTCGGCGCCAATTTAGTGCCGCGACGCAACTGTGAAACGTCCTTAAAGGGACACTGACGGGGTATTTATGCTTGCCAAGGTTTTTACTTGCACATAACATACAAAAGCACATCTACCCAGAACAGAATTTGTGACTCGAAATTTGTTTTCTTTCCGCCCGAAAGCCACCGATCAAAAATTGGCCGGTTTCAGCCGTGCTCACTCTCTTTTCCGTGGTCACGTACCGTTTTCTATGGTTAAAACACAACCAGCAAAGATATTCAAAGTTGTGGGTCATCGAAGGCACACACTAAATACTATAAATAGACAAAAATATGATACCCATCTTTTGTGGCCTCGTAAAAGACTGCAAATACGTCGATTTAAAAAGAAAAAAGTTGCACAGCCCCATGACTTCTGGCAACTTTCTCCTCCTATATTTTTTCTTCCTCCCCAGTCCAGTTTCGGTTTCGAGCAGTTTCGTTTTTTTTTAATTCATTAAAAATATATATGAGGCTGTAGCGAAATATTGATTGGGTAGTCTTTTGAGACCATAACAGATCGACTGGAAAAAAAAATTGTGTCCCTTTAAAAGTGGGAGGGAAGAAAGAGGGGTCGTTCAACCACAAAAACACGAAAAGACACGCAAAACGACGAGCTCGTATTCGAAAAGCGCTTTATTACGACTCCGTCCGTGGCACTCAGTCGCACTCTGGGAGCCCCTCTTCCTTGGCCAGCGAGACGCTGAACACGTCGGCCAGCATGTGGCTGGGGATCTCGGAGCCACGCACCCGTATGGCGTAGCAGGCGTTCTCCACCTTGCGCACGCTCTGGAACAGGGTCCACACCTTGCGGCTCGCCTCCCGCCCCGCCGTGTTGCCGAAGCCCAGGAAGGCCGAGTAGACGTCCCGTAGGAAGCGGCAGAGCACGAAGGGCTCCTCCAGGTTGCCCTGCCCCACCGCGTTGATGCACTTGCGCATCAGCTCCCCGGTCAGGTCTGCCACCCCCAGCATGTAGTCCGTGGGGGTCACCTCCAGCCGCAACTGGGCGGGGGAACCACCGGGGGCTGCTTCCCCTTCGCCGGAGGCCGCCAGGTCGCTCTCTGCCTCCTTGGTGGCGCGAGAGTGGTGTTGAACGAGCAAAAGGTTAAAAAGCATGAGGACAGGTAGAAAACACAAACGACACGACGGGTGCCGACTCGGACTTCTATCATTGCCTAAACATCCGGTGGCGTGCGCTTCCTCTTCGTGCACGAGAAAAGAATTCAGAATTGTCACGTCGGCAAGCAGTTAGTGCGACTGATGGCGGGATCTTGCTTTACACGTTGATAAAGGGAAGAGCCCAGCATACAAGAAATATGTTGAATTAAAACTTTGGTTTTGGGCCAGTGGGTCGATAATGCTAAAAGGCACAAAAGAAATGAGGACAAGTAGAGACTTTAAAAGCATCATGAAACATTTTTTTAATTTTTTTTAATTCTGAGTTATAGGTTATTTTGGAATCCTGGTTCTTTATTATATATACAACTTACATTCATTAATTTGATTGTCCGGATTCAATTACTGGTGTAAAAACTATAATCCCAGTTTCCTGGGGAGCTTCCCTCTCAGATCTACAAACATGTCATGATGGGGAACTTGCGTTGCCTGCGCAAGGTGGCTACGTAGACCAGACTTGATGTGCGAAGACAGAGCGTCAGATATCGCTCCGACGGCGGTGCCATAATGACGCCATGCACGCCAGTCAACGGATGACATCTGACATCCGATATTACTTATGCTCAGATACTCCCAAGACGGCTGACCTCATTGACCTCTAGCAGTGCCTATTAACTACACCAAGGTCAGCTTTTAGGTTTCGAGCCGTATGCCGTCAACGTATGTTGTTTGTGCTACTGCATGTTGTGCTACAAAGGTGAGCTTGAGGCGTGGAAGTACGAAGCTTCTGGAGGCAACATGGGTGGGAGGTCTAGAAAACACGGTGTTTGGCACGTCTCTCATTTCTCTGTTTTTCTGGCGCGAGCTTTTCCCGCTTTTACTTCACACCGTCAGACTTCTTTCAACCGATCGGAAACGAGCAGTACTGGCCCCGTATTACAACATCTGGCGTCAGATTTTCGGTGTTGCCCCTCGGCGCCTCGGATCGAATTAAAAAATTCAATAACTTAAAAAAAGAGATTATCGTGACCTGCAATTTTGGTTGCTAGTTTAGATGTGTCCAATAACATGTTGAACCAATTTGAGGCAAATCAGTTGCTATGAAAATTTTGCTGGATATCCCCTTAAGGGCAAGGGATTTGTTAAATCTTAAATTAAGCATGAGCAGAAATCAAAACCAAAACTTCGGCTTCGTCTGGCAACATTGCCCTCGGGCCGCCAAAAACATGGCTATCACGTGGTACGAGATGTCACGTGATCCCCTACGCAACAACAGGTGGGATTGGGGTGGGCCGATAGGCCACCATTGGGGCGGGTGTGTGTCAGGCACAAGTGTCGTCTGCATCGCACTCTTCACCACGTTTTGGTGTCTACGACTGTCGACGATGCTCACATACTGTCCAGTGTGAACAAAACTCCAAGACAATAATCACAAACGGTGAGACGACGACGGGGGATGTGACGCGATAGATGGCAGTAACAGCGGGACGGCCGGACGGCTCCCAAGAAGCGCGCTGCGACACCAAGCGCGCCGCAAGAAAACATTGCTGACGTCGCCAGTTACGCTTGCCCAGAGAAGTAAATACAAACAATGGTGATGATGTTGAGCTCAATGTTCGCTACGCCCACACCGTAGCCTTGACTGCGCTGTTGGTTGCACCTCAGTTCGCCTGCTAGAGTCAGCCAATTTCGGCAACCTGGCAAATTTCAAATGCTGTTGAATCATTTAAGAAACACCTAGACAGAGCTAGGTCGTAATATTTGACGTGCGGTCTCCCTAGGTGATACTGAAGAGGACTGCATTGTTTTTTCAAAAACAAAACAAAGTGGAGCTGTCGTTTAAGGGGTAAAGAATCGAAACTTGAAATATCCCCGAAACACTTCGAAACGGGTGAAATATGACCCATGATATCCACAAATGATAATCACACGCCTGTATCTGCAGCGGATGGCTATATTTTTCATTCAACCGACCGATTCTGGTAAGCACTTCAAAATTGGCCATCGAGGCGCCGCAATGCGTCTCGGGGCCAATTTGCACGTGACGTCCCGCTCGTGACGTCACGGACCCATAAACGGCCCAGGGTACTGTAATTACGATGGTCGTCACAGGTGGCGCCAGCTTTATCGTCAACGCGTTACGATCCTGCCAAATGGGAATACCCGTGCACCCGCATGGGACACTGCCGCGCCGCGGCGCTGCTACTATTGGATCCATGACGTCAGACATTCCAACGAGGCTTGACCAACCCAACCACCAGCTGGTATTGAAAAACTGTTTTACTCGTTTTAAGATTGCTTTTCTCGCGTCTACGAACGAAAGACCAGTGTTTCTGAGCTGCTGTCGTAAAAAAGACAGCCTCTGCACAAAGAAATAGATACTAAAATGTTGCTTCCATTTCCCTTTAAGGATTAACGCCGACGAACGGCCAGCCGTAAGAGACATGCCCTCTCACCTCAGGCTGCTCATCGTAGACCAGCGGTTGGCAGATCTCCTCAAGACTGACCAGGCGCCCGTCCTTGATGTAGTGGTAGAAGGTCACCGCCTCCACATACTCCTGGACCCCTGCACACGTGGAGGGCGACGTTCGTCAAGAGAACGACGCCAAACTTACGAGAGGTCGATGCACAGTCCGAGGACGTTGCTTCTCTACTGCGGGTCCTCGACATGGCGCCCCAAGTAGCACACTTATCGGTGCGCGAGTCACACTTTTCTTCCAAAATTTGTGGCGGTATGTCTTGTAGAACGGTGCAGCTTCTATGCCCTTTGATTCTACAAGCATGGACCTCAACCGCAAAAATTTGGCCCGAAGGTTAATATTTTTCGTTCGATTCGTCGACGTGAATATTGAAACTCGCTCTCAGTTGCACACATACTGCAATCGCAATAAGATACACGGTCTTTTCATTGCAGCTCCGTCGTGCCGACCGTACAAATACTTAGGCGCGACTCATAAGGCGATGCGAGCTATAGGCCGGAAAATATGGTGCCCCAGAGACATACAACATTAGTCGACTGAATCATTGGCCCTTTGAAGGGAACACGCAAACTGGTTTCTAAAAGTAACAAGCTAAGATCTCTTACATGGGGACCCCGAAGGCTGTGCATTTTGTGAAGCAAAATTTCGAAGAATGAGCATCCCTGGGCAAACAGCAAAGTGTTAAGAGAGTGAATTCGCTATCCACGGTGGCCAACGAAAGATGCAACACCAAAAAGATGGTGGTAGTTGTTGACATGTCGCCAAAGTAGCCTGACAAAGAATCTTTCTTGTTGGTTTTGTATCCACCCAACAAGATCATGCACTACACTGAAATAGCCCGAAACGCATTTGATTCATAAACATTGTCCGCCGTCGAAGATTGCTGCCTACGTCCTCGCTCTCACCTGCATCCATCTGCTGGATGTTGCGCCAATCGAACGCTTTTCGTTGGCGCACTGGTGCCACAGGCAGCGAAACCGGGCTCCAAATTGTTTACTCTTTACTCTGGCACGTTCATTCTTTGAGATTCTGACGCACGAAACGCACCATCTTCGGCCATTTCGGCGCAACGTCTTAGCGCGATCCGTTTAAACTGATTTATGTGGTCCCTTCAAAAGGCCAATGATCTGTTTGACTTGTGAGCTAAGTAGCGGAAGAGTATGGCCAACTGGCGTGGCCTGCTTGGCGGCTTTTCCGCTATACAACTGATGCGTTCCGCAAACGTCGGCCCTTTAGCCACTACCCAATATTGACTCTTTTTGTGTTTACAGACGCAAGCAGTCTTCGGTGCTCCAAGAGACTTCTGGTCGCCGTTCTGTTAAATGCTCTGAGCTTGTTTACATTGCAATTTCTAAAATGCGCTAAGGAAACAACGAAGTTTAAGATTTAGAAGGGTCCCTCTGCTGCGTCACTAAACATATTATGGGCAACTGGTTGTCTTATAGGAGTAAGCAAATCTCTCCAACGAGTCTCTCGCTAAACAATCCTTTAGCTAAGCACCAGTAGAATTGGTGAGAAAATATTTTTTGGTCGACACAAAGGGCAGTTTTGTGGCGGAGACCGTTTCTCCTCTAGTTTGACCGGAAGTTTGCAGGTACGTAAGACGCAACAGCGCCTACTTGGAGCATTTTTATGAAAAGGGTCTATGCAGATGGGCTTCACGAAGGGCTAGAGAACATATATTTTAGAGAGTTTTTAACCACCTGATCAAAGTCGCATGGTTTATGGGTGGTATTCGCAGTAGGAGCCGAGGGTGTGGCAAAAGTGCGGATCGTCTGCAAGCGTCTCGGCCTTTCCCCTCGCACCCCAACAATGCAGCGCACATGCACTCGCGACCAATTGGCGCAGGAGGCGCCTACCATTAAATCGCAAACACTCTCTCCTAGGCCCTCTGGGCAGGGCGGCGGGAAGTGGCATCACCTGGGGAGTATGCCCTGAGGTACAGGTAAGGGCACTGGTCCCTCAGCTCTGTGGCAATTTCCCTCAGCTGGGAGTTCTGCAGCTCGGAGAGCTTGCCGTGGGCTTCCGCCAGGGTCTTGTCCTTCTGCTGCTCCCTGCGATTCCACGACATTCCCCTCCGAGAACGATCGTTGTCGAAAACCATGCACGATGCGACCACCGCAAGCATTCCCGGTCAAAGTTTGATTACCCCGGCAGAACCAAATTTGCATCGTTGAGTTTCGTTGTATACAAGGTGTTTCACAAAACGTGGGCCAAATCGTTCCTTGCGAAAAGTATGAGTTGCACTGAAAAGAGGTCCATGTCGTAACAATCCCTGCCAAAGGGTCAATTTAAGAAAATTATTAATGTTTGGTATAATCAGTGTATTAATTACTTTTAAGTAATTAACTTTGTAATTAGTGAATTTATAGGTAGGGTTTCGATTAGAAACTTGCTGAGGATTATTGAAAACCACTCAATCAACCTATTCTAGAGGTATAGAAGGCACATTCAGGATTTTACCGTGCTCCAAAAAAATGCCCTATATATTATCGAGGTGCATATCTGCACGAGTGGTCCTGCCTCCCTTTCGCAGCTGAGGCGAGCAGCTATCATTTCGCCACCTTTGTAAGGAAAAAAGGAAGATGTGGTGCACTTGCATTGTGCACCTCGGCGGGAAGGGGGGGGGCAGGACTGCAGGCACAAAGATGCGCTCCGACAAGCCGAATCCTTGAAACGCATCCAAAGTGAGCGTTTTCTTTGGATTACAGTAAAATTCTGCGTGTGCCTTCTATTTTTCTACAATAAATTGATTAAAGGAATACTTCAACAAAATTTGAAATATATCTGCCGTGTTCAAAAATAGGTTGGATATGATCTACAATATCCGTAAACGACAATCGCACGTTTGTATTTTGAGCCTGGTAGCTGTATTTTTTGTTATAAACGGCCCACTCTAGCAAGCACTCGGAGAAGGCCCAGCCTAGAGCACGTAACATCCGACGCAATCGTGACGTAGGTTGTCTCGGGACGAGCAAAGCTACAGCGAGGCTGACGTCGAGGGGTGGTGGCAAAAGCAGCCACCGAAGCGGCTGCTTTTGCACAAATTTTGAGTGACGGGTTAATCTTTTATAATCTTGTAGGGGGACAATAGCCACTTCTGGAACACACAAAAGGGAATCTCGGGAAGACGGGAGTTCCTCGTTCCCCTCTTTTCGCAGGAACGACTTGGCCCACATTTCAAGAAACGTTCTGCATGCATATAGTGCTTGTACGAGCAAATGCAAGTGTTGCTGTCATCGTGACATCCCAACCACCAACTGCCGAAGCTTCCGGCAACTGCCAAGCTGGCGAGGAACCGGCAGTAGAACGGGTGTCTGTAACATTTAGCACTGCTGCTGCAACATAGCCAGGATCGCGGAAATCGGGTTGAAAATAAAAAGCATCAAATTAAAAAGCATGGCAAAAGAGCTTAAGTAGGCACCTGATCTTGCCTCCTCCCGCACGAAAAAGTCCGTCCGCTATGGTCAGCGTCACCATGGCAACAAAGAGTCTTCTTTATGAAGGAAAGCGCGAACACAGCATCTAAAGCCAGCAATGAGAGACACAAAGTTGCGATTGTCTACTAACGCAAACGCCGTAACGCGAGCAAAGTGGGCTGCGCCTTTGAAAAGCTCGACGCCGAGAGCGCAAAGCAGCTGCCCAGCACCCCCTAAGCCCAAGTTCCGACGACGCTTGGTGCACGCTCGGGCCCGAGATTACGTTAAAGTTTCCCCCGAGTAAAGTGAGGGGTGATCGCGCGCAGCACAGTCTGTCAGGCAGCTTAGCTTGAAGCCCAAGTTAGCATTGCCACATTGGTAGTAGACGGCATTTGGAAGATGGCAATGCTGTGGCCGGCTTCATATGCTACGTTTGCGAGCGCGTCTATTGACATTCGGTCATCATGGCGGACGGACTTTATTGTGCAGAAGGAGATGGCGGGATGGGGAGATCACTCGCATACTAGGGCTCTTTCGCTGCGCTTTGGGCAGAACAGGAAAAAAAAGAGTTAGAAATGAGGACTTAATGAAGATGCCAATTTTCTCCAGCTTCCAACGTTTAGACGAGCCATACGCGAAAAGCACGCTCCTTTGGCCATCTGACGGCTGGTTCTGTTCCCCTCGAACATGGGGCTAAAGCATCAAACTGCCACCACTTTTCCGGATGAGGAAAACACAACAGTCTCAGATGCGTTCCAGGTACCGTAACAGGGGTTAAATGAAACAAGGTTAGCAGCACCCACCCCATGATGCGGTGGAGGAGGAAGATGGTGCGCTTGCTCTCTATGGTCACGTCCCTGCTGAGCTTGACCAGGCGCTCGTGGCGGTCGTGCCGGTCGTCCAGCTCCACCTGAAAGGCCCGGAACATCTGCACCACGGGCAGGGACTCGTCCACCTCGGGCCCAGCCCCGCCGTCTGCTCCCTTGCGCTGGCCCCCTCCTCCTCTCCTCCAAGAGCCTCTGTCGTGTCCTGCATGCGTACGGAGGTCGAATTTCGGTCGACGTGAGGGCGTCCTCGGCCGCACCTCGGACGCGGTGCCACGACTTGGGCGTAAGCGACCGACAAGACATTTGTGACACACCCTCCAGTTCCCAACCGGGTAGTGTTTTGGTGAGAATGTCTCGGCGACGTGCGAATGGCGAGCGAGGTCTCACAACCTCCTTTGTGCCTGTCCATAGTATTCCTTCGTCCATCGGTCGACGTCGGCGGTGTAAATCAAGGTTTGCGAACAAAGCATGGGTTGTCAGTGGCTTCAAACACGAGATAGCGGACAATCACAATTCCAGCCAGCATCCAATCTTGCTTCACTGCGGTGCTCGGTTCGTAGCGGACAAACTTTTCTTTTTTCAGTCCGGAAGCAAAAGTTGTACGGCGTTTCATTTTACTTTTGTCTGCGTACGGTGCTCCATAGCAGACGAACTGCATTCTTCACTCCCGTTAGCGGACAAACCGTCGACAAACACAGTCTTCACTCGCGCTGCGAGAGGCAACTTAGGTATCCCTCTCACCCTCATCTTGATCAAAATCGGACCCTAGAAGAGGCGAGTCGGGCCAAAGAAAACAAGTGAGGCTATAGAGTCCATAAAGTTAATATGTTAATCTAGAGAGGACAATGCCATTGGTCCCACGCATTTTGGTCACTTTTGAATAATGGCACAAAGAATCAGACATCACTGGTCTTGATGGGGCATCTCCGCCGACATTTTGATATGCACAGAAGAAAAACGTCACTTGCAGGGTCTACATTTCTTTTTTGTTTTCCTAGCTTCATTTTGGAAGAAAACAACTGTGTCACGCATCGCATAAAAACAAATAAAAGTTAACAAATGCTCGAAGAACCTCAACTCGTCGCGACCAAACGAACACGCCTAGCTTACCATACGGTTTCTTTCTCAACTTTTCTGTTGCTTCCTTTCTCATTCTTCCTATTGGGACTACCGATGTCAGCGTTTACGATTTGCCACATTTTGCTCCCGTCTTTACCCCCCCATTACAGACAGCAAGATTGTTTGCTCCTAATACAGGGGCTATGGTGACATCAAGTTGCCAAGCTCTACCCCTTTTACCCAAGTTGCCAAGCTCTACCCAGATTTCCCCCCCTCCCCCCCAAAAAAAGTTTCTTGTTGCAAAATTGAACTATGCCCAAATGTAGCACTAGCAGCCCGGACCAGATGTCAAAATTTCATGGGAAAACAGGGCGCCTCCCAGTAGCCGATGCCACAGAACTCCATGTATGTGTGGACCTTGATGGCCGTCATTTCCCCAATGAAAATTTCCAAATATTTTCAATAACTCTTGAACCCGATAATGAAAGTTCTGAAGCTACGACATCTGGTCCGGACCTCTAGCGCAACATTTGAGCAGAGGCGGAGCGTTTGGTGATGCGTCATTTATATCTGTAATGAAAAAAACTAACGCTGTAATTTTTTTTTTTCGGGGTGCCCCATGTATTTTTATGTTTTCGGAAGTGTGACTTGGGCTTAAATTCTTCCCTATGCATACTTATTCGTTGTAGGTTTGTTCAAACAGCAGGGGGTTGGTCAGCCCCAATGGGTGCCCGGTGTTTCCGCTATGAGGAGCACAAGCTTGTCTGCTTCATTTGCAGGGGTTGTGGTGACAACAGAATGCAGAGCTCTGATTGGCTCTGACTGAAGGATTGTGGGTAGACATCAAGGCAGCTTGCTTTGACGTCTACCCACTATCCTTCAAACAGAGCCAATCAGAGCTCGACGTTCTGACGTCATCACAACCCCTGCAGAAGAAACGAAAAACTTGCGCTCCCCTCGCCGAAAAAAAAAAAATGTAGATTCCAAAGTCACGCTCTCGTGCCTCTCATAACCCTAATTTTATAAAGAAGGAAACTACAGTTAGTTTCACTTTCTGAGCGAGCAAAGCTTTGGCAGGGACGCTGAAAGCCTGGAGCTCGCTCTCGTAGCTCCTGCTGCGCTCGCACTTTAAGGTGAACGTGAAGCAAAAGCTCGCGCTGCAGAAACCATGGATCCCGAGTTCAATTCTTACCCCTGCCCGTTTCGATCCGAATGAGCATCGTACCGCCGTGCGGTAGATCATGCAAGCAACGGCCGTTTTGACACTAACCTCTTTGGCCGTGGCTCTTGTCATACCGTTTCCCTGGCTCCTTCATAGCTGTGACCCTTTGTTGTAATGCGAAACAAGCGATGGACGACCTAACTCAAATGTATTAACTTGATCAGTTTGTTTACGCGAAATACTGCAAGTTGTCAAACGGACGCGGACGAGGGATATCCAAACAAGCTTCTCGGCGTTTCTTCGGGGCCGCCGACTGGATTGTCTTGTTTTGATGGATTGCGACAAACAGAAAAGTCTATTCTGAAAATAATAAAAAAAAGGTCATGTGAATATATTGTATGTTATAAAATTATTGGTACAGCAATATTTTCGCACAAACAAGCAAATTTATGCTACACACGCAAATAGAGACAACATCACATTTTAAGATCAACAGTTGTTTCGGTTTCGTTTTGACAAACGATTTGCCGTTTTCATTTTTCTTTTAGGCTTGACGTGTACGCGCTTATTGCCATTCGCCGTGCTTTGGCTGGGCGTCGAGGCTCACGAAATTTCAAGCGTTATTGAAGATAGTAAGCTGCGTCTATCTTACAAGTAGCGCCAAATGCGCCATTAATGCACGTGCAGCCCCTGAAAGCGAACGGCGTCGAAGCATTCCCAGCACTCCTACCTCGTTGGAGCACCCGCTCGTGGCACGCGCACCATCTCACCTGAACTTGGCAAACGGAAAAGGCTACGATTCCCAGTGAGCCAATCAGCGCGTCGGACCAACTAGGTGGTGTTGGTCGACGAAGACACACGTGACTATGTTTTATCTCACTAAACGCAATGCTAACAACGCTAGGGAGCATCGATCAAGAGTGCATTCAACTGCTCGCCCGCGCGGTTGCGTGTTTATAAGCGCCCTTAAATTGAAAAAAAAAAAAAAAAAATTGTTGTAGAGCGGGAAGTTACATTTATACGAATTTTGAGTGACGGGCTGATTTTTTCGTGGTAAAAAAGCGACGCTTGGTACAGAGTAAAAAGGGTTTAAGTAAAAGCTGGGTGCTCCTTTCCCTCTGTTCCAATCGCTTCTGCTCTTCTACTGCACTCTCGCCCCTGTACCTTTGGTGGGCTTTCACCACTGATCATAGAGATCAGTGGCTGTCACGATCAGGGGCTTTACGTCCAGGCTCACAACTATAAAAAGTTACCCATAAAACATACGTTTGAGGAAAAAAAGAAAAAGGATAACCGCACGGCTTAATGACATTTGGGTGAGCATCTGCATCGACTGTCAGAAATGCAAACGAAGGGTCGCCAGATACTCGCTTCAAAACACCATAGAGAGACCTCCAACATTCAAAATGTAAAGCAGAAAATTTTCATGCAAGGTGCAGTACGGTGTCGAGACACTTGCAATCTTGCTCTGGCAACTTTTTTCTCTCTCTCTCTTTATTTCAGGGGCCTTATACGGAGACCAAATTCTGGAGCTCATTTCTTTGCCTAGTGACGTAGGTGGCAGCAGGACCTCAGAAATATCAATATTTTGTTGGAAAATACAAGAAAAAACATATTCTAGACTGAATGAAACAATAACAAAAAACCATGCACTTAGGTTTTGGTTAGTATGCGGGAAGTACGCTCACTGATACAGATTGCCTATGCCAGAACGTAATACCAAACGTGTGTAGAAGAAAGCCAAAGCACAGTTGGCCGCCTAGCTTCAAGTCACTCCGCCAGCCTATCATTTCCGCCAAATCTTTGACGTCACCGACGTCAAGGGTTAACGTTGTCAGGGGATGATGAACCATCTTCATCAACACGGCATGCGCTGCTTTCAACGTTGTTTTTGCCGAGGTCCTAAATCAAGACTGCCGGCTTATACATAACCGCTTGCTTACTACTGGAAATAACACCCACCAAAAGACAAAGTGAGCACAGTAGCTAGCAGAGACCCCGGTTTTAACTCTGGCGGCCCAAGAAAGGCGCCATAGCCAAAATCAGTGGTGTACCAACTTGTTTTTGAGTGGGGGGGCAAACCAGACCCCACCACCCAGGGTCAGGGCCCTCGGTATCCCTTGGGTGCCGCCGGACAGTGTTTGCCCTGCCCAGTGGCGGCTCTTTCAGGGGGAAGGGGGGGGGGGGGGGGGGGGGGGGGGCCAAAACACATGCCTTGCCCCCCACTCTAAAAACTGGGGGGCAAGCACCCTCCTTTCCGCCCCCCCCCCCCCCCCCCCCTCGTTGGTACGCCCATGGCCAGAACGATTCTGCAGTAAATACAGATTTTTCTTGATATCGGCACATTGATTTATAATTTGGTTTATGAGTGATTATAAATAGGTTTATTTTGTAATTTTTAACATTTAGGGTCTGTGTGTTTAATTTTTATTACACATTGATTTATAACATAGTTTACAACTGATTATCAAATATTTTAAAATTTATTTTGTAATATTTTTACATTTAAGGTTTACGTGTTTAATATTTATTATTTTCATTTACGGAAGAGATGCATTTCTCTCCTGGCCACTGGAAGGTTGGCCACAGGTGCCATGGACGTCAGGAGACAGGGATCTGCAGCTTTCACATTTTCCTCCTTTCATCACGTAGACATGGCAGAGCCCTGTTTACGTAGGGTTCTTCGTTTTCGTGCTTTATTTTTGTCAACAACTATTTTAATGTCTGCTAAGTTTGTTCTTGCTGTTATGGCTGTATCCCCATTGTCCTGTGTGTGTCCTCGTTGAGGGTTGCCCTCCCTTTTTTGTGCCCCCTAGTTTAAGGGCTCAAAGCTCCCAAAGTCTTCAATGGGTTTCCCCCATTCCGGAAGTGATGTCATGGACATGACAACAAAAATAAAACTTGAAAACAAAGAACACTATGTATACTGAAAGGGTTTGGCCGATGGGCAGAGCCTAACGTCTGCTACAAGAGGACTGTATGTAGGCTTTTTGCCTTTGGCCACTCCTCACGGTGTGTGCTAGTCCAAATGTGTGGTTAGTAGTTAGTAGTAAACACACATTCTTGTACTCCAATATTTTGTTATGCCTGCACCATCCTTAAGGTCGCGATCGGTGGCCGAGTGGGCTAGCTCACACCAGCTCGGAGCACATGGAGCGAAAGCTCGCGCTGCAGAACCCAGCGACCCTGAGCTCAATCGCCACCCCTGCCCATTTCAATCTGGATGAGCATCATGCTGGCGTGTGGCTGTGTACCACCCAGCTGAAAATTCCAATTAGATCCAATTGGAATTCTAACTGGTTTTAATTGGGACCAATTGGTTTTAGTGGGTTCCAATTGGAAGCACACTGGCCAATGGGTCTCACCAATTGGAAACAATTTTCCAGTTGGAATTTTAATGGGTTCCAATTGGTTCCCATTGCAGTGACCAATTGGTTGTCCCAAAACCTAGCTGGTACCAATTGGAAATTCCAATTGGAATCTAATGGGAATTTTCAACTGGGCACTACTGCTTGGTCAGCAAGCGGTTGTACTGCACTGCCTAAATTTCTCATCTACAGCTGGGAAACTAGCCGCCTGTTGAGGCAGACAAAGTTCTAGGCTGTATAAACATACCTATACACACCCCAAGTTTTGGCCATCCTTAATTATCTCCAGAAACAGAACTTACAAATAAGCTTTATTCTTTTCGGGTCTAAAACAAAATGCTTTCTCAAACAAAAAGGACTCTGGCAATTGAGTGCACGGGTACACAGCACCTCTCCTATATGGCACCCATTGTGGCACTCAAGTTGAGCAGTGGTCATCTTTTTGAAGTTAAAGCAAGGGTGCACGCGAGCTGGTTGAGTGTAGACATAACTTTAATAGAGTGGGGACCAGGAGGACAGCACAAACACAAATCCTACAACACAGCTAACATTTATTCCACGCTCCACTACCTTAAATAGGTACGTACATAAAGGAAGTCTGAAAGACCAGAAAGCAACACGTCGACCCAAGCACACTTAAACAAAGCGAAAAAACCTTGAAACTCGGGCGAGGAGGCAACAAAGCAAAACAAGTTCATACCTCGAAACCCGGGCAAAGAGGCCAAATCTCACAAGCGACAGAGAACAGAACCTTCTACGGGGCAATTCACACGATATACGAGCTGCTATCTGTATCGCAAAAATAAATAAAATGTTTATATAGAGAAACAACATTGTCCTTTATTTTCACATACCATATAATCATATTAGCTGTCGACTCATTAGAGAGTTTCAGTATATCATTCCAATGACTCCAATAGCGATACCCAATACTCCGCCGCTGCCTCGACGCATGCACCATATCATTATTGGGTGTCGGTGTCGGATACGCACATCATCTTACAGCCACCCAAGATTCCTTACAGTGAAGGGGTCCTTGGTGTACAATACATGATGCGTTGTATGTGTTTTGCCAAATCGGTAGCCATCACGAGCACAGACTATGGTAAGTTACTTGTCTACAGCCTTAATTCCAGCTTCATTATGCCTCAAGGCTGTAGTGGTCATGAAAGGCCCCTATGAAGGAGTGGGAAGGGACATGAAAGCTTACGAGGTTTACGTTGCGTAGTTTGTGGGACGCGAGATGCTGGCGACCCGGGACCCAAGCGGGCACACCAGGTAAAGGAAGACATGTCAGATGAGCTCAGAGTTTGAATGAAAACTGCATCTATTTACAATATCTACCTGCATCCAGAGACGGCGGGTGCCGCTGTCGGGCATCTCGCGCTATCTCGTTGTAACAACACAGACTGTAACTTATAGCGCCATCTGGTATATAGATGGCATGCTATAAAGGCCTACCTCACATGCTCGCATACACTCAACGGACAGCCTGTGGTTTTTTATACTCGTTACACGGGCACCCTTAACAATCGGCTTTAACTGCCATTATGCAACAACACAGTTATTGCGCTATACTCTCGGACAGCTATTTCAGAAGAAGTGAAGAGCGCGAGTGCACTGCTTTGATGGGTGCTCAAGATGCTCAAGCGCATGTTCACCTACAGCTTTGACTGCCTAGCCGCAAAATGTCTGCAAGCATCAGGGGCACATTCAGAACAATGTTTTGGGGGGGGGGAAATATTTGTAAGGACACTATTCTCCCATTCTTTCGTGTGCACCAGGGAGTCCACCCACGTCAAATTGAATGGAAAGCGCCGAATAAACAAGGACCAAGAAGGGGACAGAGACGAAGCGCACTCACAACTGAAGGTCTCTGTCCCCTTCTTGGTCCTTGTTTATTCGGCACTTTCCATTCAATGATGTACCAACTAGCCCATTTATCTATTTTACTACGTCAAATTGCCCTCCGAAAAGGGGGAAGGGGGGGGCGGCCGCTCCCGTCGCCCCCCCCTTGGATCCGCCCCTGGCAAGTATTGTGTGCTAACTGTGGCTTAGCGTAATTGCAGTTCAGTGTGCCCATGTAACAAGGGTATTACATGGTTCTTTGCTAGTCTTTAGGCAGGATACACAAAGGTCTTAAAACACAAGTCGTAGATGAAATAGGATATTGCAGGACACATGAACCAAATCGTAGGCTCCATACATATCCTCCCAATGGCTTTCATTCTCTTTCATAGCATATTCTAAAGATAGGTAGGTATAAGGCACCACAACACTCTGCAAACCTAAAAACTAAGTCTCACAAAAAAAAAAAGGTATATTTACTTTCTGATTATGCATAGTCTAGAAGAACAAAACATAGAGACTCTATTGGTACTTACTTGATGACAATGGCCTTTAAAGAAGAGGCAATTATTGTCTGTGCTTATCTTGTTGAGGTTGGCTTGTGACTTGCACATATCCTTATAAACTTTCCTTCTATTAACCACCACCAATTGAAATGCAATAATGGTACAAGTTGACTTGTACTATCGTTGTTCTTACATTTCCGTTTCTAGAGGTGCAGATTGTAATTGTGCCACTTTACTTTTGCTGACACAACATTCCATATACTCAATCCTGTCAACCTAAATAAATCTTGACCAGCATAGGACTAAAGACAGACCCTCTTTGGGAGCTGCCCTTTTGAACCTGTACCACTATTGCATGTAACTACTAAATTTTAGATTCTATTCCTCCGTTTATACCAGCGAATCCCAAGACTACACGAAAATCGATTGCAAACTTACAACAAATCACCCTGTTGGAATATCCTTGGGCCATTGGGGTTCAATGACAAATAGTTTTAATGACTGCTAGAGAGCAGACAGCTACAGTTTCTCATGGAAGGCAGATATGCAGAGGAGGGGCTGAAAACAAATGCACTAAATTTATTGAATCATCTCTGTAACATACATGCAAACATACCAATGACTTTGTAGTCTCTTGAATATTCAAGCTACCAAAAGGAATCCACTTGGGCCAGGTTAAGCACTTCAACGTCTTCAGTCCTGCAAGACGAGCCCGGTGCATAAGTCCTCATTCTGTCTGAATGCTTCACAACCACTTATACATTTGTTAGGTCTTTCAGTTTTGGAATATTATTGCATGCTTAGTATTCAAGCTACATTTTCATCTTTCCGGCTTTGGGTATGTGGGTATGTTGGGCATTCAAAGAAATCTTCACCGCTGTGAATAATCAAGTGTCCATCTAAGTCCCGTTTCCATCTTTGCATTTGTAAAGCATCTTGCGAGTATTCAGGCTATTTTGCACCATACTCTTGGGAATGTGAAGTACTTAAATGGCTCTTAGGCTGTGCAAGTATTCAGGTGCAAAAATACATTGGGTCTCATTTCTGCGAGAATGCTTTGCCACAGCTTTTACATGATTAACATTTATGGTTTTTCATGAATATTCATGCTCAATTTCCAACAAAACGCGTCTGAGCATGTAAGGTATTTGAAAGGCTTTAGGCCTATTGGCGACGTGCGCGACCGAAAGCGTCGCTGTGGTCGGCCTTCCACGATTGGCCCAAAAGCTGACTATGACGTCGGAAAGGGTATACCATCGACGGAAATAAGAGGAATGAAAGAACTTTAATTTCGACGGTGTTGGCAGTGCTGCTTTGAGAGCGCTATGATTTCAAGCTTCCACTATGCTATTTACAAACACCATCGAACTTGTTGTTTACAAGGTAATGACGTCACAAAGGGGAACCGCAGGAGGGCGCCACTAAAACATCTCGCCGCTAATGGGAGTAGTGGTGGTAGTTAGTGAAGCACTATCATTGCGAATAGTGTCAAATTCCATATTTAAAGGTCATTACACTGTTTTGAATACATGCTCAAAGCAGACTTTAAATTAATTTGAACAGGTAGGAAATTTCAAGAGCCCTTTACATTCATGTCAGGTCCTGTAGGAGCAGTCAATTCGCCCCTTGTTAGAAATGTTAGGGCCTTTTACATCCGAGTTCTTTTAAGATCGGTCATGCACAGATATACCAACCTGCAACATCTCTAAATTTCTAAAAAAATGCCTTCGCTTACTACGTTATCACAAAAAAGAAGCAAGGGAAAGCCTGGTGGGGGAGGAAAATGTGGAATTTCGACATGCTTTTTCGATTGTCGGTGGCCTTTTAAAGAGCTTATCATCCACGTGAGGTCTTTCATGAACAGTCAATTGGCTCTTTGCTTGAAAAGTTTGGGTCTTTCACTGCTGTCAGTCCTTTCATGATCAATCAGGTGATTCTAAAACTTCCTAGGGCAGGTGAATCACTTGAAGGATCTTGGACAGGTGGACACCTGTCCAAGATCCTTCAAGTGATGTGTGAACTCTATGAGCAACCAAGTTAAAATTCTTTTTTCAAAGGATTTGTCAAATAATACATTAAAAGAGCTCTTCATCCATGTGAACAGTCTCATGATGAGCCAAATGAGTTTTTCGTCGAAAAGCTTTAGGACATATGCCACATTTAAAGGGTCTTTCATCTGTGTGGATCATTTCATGGTTCTTTAAGCCACTCTTTTTTGGAAATGATTTAAGGCAGGTGGAGCATTTAAAGGGCCTTTCATCTGTGTGGACCACCTCATGAGTAGACAAACTAGACTTTGTTCGAAATGATTTAGCGCAAGTGGAACATTCAAAGGGCTTTTCGTTTGTGTGAATTCTTTCATGATTTGTCAAGCCACTCTTATTTTGAAATGATTTAGGGCAGGTGGTGCACTTAAAAGGCCTCTTATCTGTGTGAATCATCTCATGAGAAATAAAATTATGCCTTGTTCGAAATGCCTTGGGGCACATAGGGCATTTAAAGGGCTTCTCATTCATGTGAATTCTTTCATGAGCTGTCAAAATAAACTTTAAATGAAAAGCTTTAGTACAGATGAGGCATTTAAAAGGCCTCGCCATCTCATGAGCAGTCAAATGAGACTCCGTTTCAAATGCTTTAGGGCATTTGGAGCATTTAAAGGGCCTTTCAATTATGTGAGCCCTTTGATGAGCAGCCAAGTGAGATTTTTCTTTATAGGATTTGGGACATTTGGAACATTTAAAAGTCTTTTCATCCTTGTCGGCGCTTTCACAAACATCTGCTTTCTTGCAGATGTTGCGGCTGAGGTGCTTCTTTAAGTTATGTCTTGACTGAAATGTCAGTGGACAAGTGGCACACTTGAAGCGATTTGTGTCCATGTGTACATTTTGGTGACTTGTGAAGCTTTTTCTCCTCAAGAAGGCTTTGACACAAATGTCACATTTGTAGGACTTTTGGTGTGCGTGAATCTTTTCGTGGACAAACAGGTGATCTTTTCGTAAAAAAACTTCTGAACAAGCAAAGCATTTGAAGCGTGCTTTGTCTTTGTGAGTGCTTGCATGAGCGTTGAATCTCTGCTTGGTGGTGAACATCATCTGGCAGTGGTTGCAGCTGAAAGGTGGATCTCTTGTCTGTATGCACTCGTGCATGGCGAGCTTGCTTTTGGAGACACTGGAGAAAGAACAGAAGCGGCAGCCGTGGCCGTTGGGCTCGTCATGTTCCTCCTGCTGTCCTTGATCCCACTCTTGCGCACAAAGGGAGCTACTGCTCTCCTCAGGGTCAGAACTCTGCCACACCACATCAGCTGGCTCTGTGGAGAGACATGCCAGATAAGTTTAACTTTCTCAACATGTGCAGGAAACACTCGCCAGTAAAATTTCCTTAGATTCAAATTTATCCAAAAAAAACAAAGAAATTTAAGGTAACAATAGCAAAAAAAAATAAAAGCATAATGTGGTATCTTATTTGAAGGTAAAAAACAGTTCTGTGCAAGTGAATTTCAAATGAAAAAAGACACTCACTGGAGACTTTATATATTAGTGGGAAACTAAGAGGAAGAAGCATAAATTTTGTTTTTATTGACTGGTTTGGATGGGCCATGCTAAGCATACCCCATGTAGCAGACAATATGCCCAGTGTCGTCACCAACAAAGACGACGCAAGTTTTTTTTTTATGCAAGTTTAGATGTATATTTATTTATTTTTGTTAAAGTGTATGTTTTGTTTTTTACATTGTGATTTCCAGCCCTGTAATAGCCTTCACGGGCTGACAGTATTAATAAATAAAACGAGATCTAGTGTCATTAGTGCCACATTTTTTTACTTCTTTTTAACTTAAAAATTTGCAATCAAATATGCATAATAAAATCCCTAGTGGTAACCTGAAGATGTGTGACAAATACAGCTGCTACAAGCCAAGCAAGAAACACTTAACATGTTCCCCAAATGCCTCAACCGTCCCATTAAAAGAGACGGCACTTAATTCTGCTTCAAGTTGAGGCAGATTATTAAAGACAACCCGCATGACATCTAGAGTGGGGCTGCGAGAACAACTTGCCTTCTTTCACAACAGTGGCTCTATGGACATCGCTCACAGGCTGGCAAAAAACAGAAAGGCCGAGCGCATCTTCATTATCCAAGTCCTCGTAGGCAGGAGTGGCTCTTTCTTCAACTACCTCTGTCGAAACAAATGTGCAAGAATTATATCTATAGAGTAGGTGAAGTACAAAACATGTAAAAACATGGAAGTGGTTTAATATGGTGTCAGGAGACTACCCAATCAATATTTTGAATAAAGCAAAAAAACTCAACTGCTCGAAACGGAAACATGAGCACGGAAGCTCATGGCTGGAAAACACGTGGCTACACCCGACCACAGATTTTTTTTTCTCCGCTTCTCCGGTTTTTGAAACAGACAAAGACGACGACGACTAACTTGCGTGAACTGTTTGTCGTGCAATCGTTTTGCGCTTGTATCCCCTCCGCTCAATGTTCTGCACTTGAAGATCGACTGGCCGGTACCAGAAACGACAGTTCCGAAGTAGCGACCCCACGTTCGCAACGTCAATCCGTCGTGCGCCGCCATTGCATCATCTATTTAATATGGACGACGATTTAATATGGACGTAATAATGCGTCGCCATATTGAGAATGACATGTACATGTACCTACTGTAATCTGTGCAACATTTTTTTTGTTTTTTTGGATGAATGTATTTGCAGTTTTTTGGAGGCCACAAAAGATGGGGTTCATATTTTTTTCTATTTTTAATACTGAATGTGTGTCTTAGATGACCCACAACTTTAAATATATTTGGTACAGATAGTTTGAATGCCACGTGAAACAAGAGTGAGCGCGACTGGCCCCGGCCCATTCTCGACTAGCTGTTTTCGGGTGGAAAGAAAACAAACTTCGAGCCGCAAATTGCGTTCTGAGTAGTCGGGCTCTTATAGGTCATGCTCAAATAAAATCCTCGGCGAGCATAAATACCCTGTCAGTGTCTCGTTAAGTCCTTTCCTTGACTCAAAGAAAAGCGATACAGCTTTGGCCACTTTAGTCTTATGAGAGTAACAAGAAGGTCCCGCAAACTAATGCTTATCGAACAGAAGGTATCCAGCACAAACTGCCGCATTAGCGATTGCAATGGCAGCGAAGCTTCCCGAGCTTCATGAGCACAAGCGTGGTGGGCAGGAGTACAGTACCCCACGCTTGTGACATTTTTTGGAGGTCACCGCCCAGTTACCAAAAGGTGAAGAATAAATTAAAAACTCCCACTGGCTCACGACTGCATGATCTTATATGAAAACAATGTTCTGTAACGTTTTGGACACCGTATTTAAAAGCCTATGTAAACTTCACGCTTTGCACTTTCACTTCCCTCTTCCTCTCCTATATTCTCTCCTCTTTTCGCCCTTCTCGCAGTTTAAAAAGGGGAGGATGCTAAAAGGGTCATGTTCCCTGCAGGAGACAGTGGTTACACGTCGGCCTTTGAGAGGTCAGGACACGAAAATTAAACAGATAAATCACTCTTTGTATGCTATACGGATAGGTTACTTAGTATACACATTAAGAAATGTTTAGAGCCTTAATAGTTACAACAATTAACTTCATAACGTCTATCATTTGCATCTGGCGACCAAGCAACCCTGACCTACCCAGGTTGGACATATCATGGTATCCACGAACCGGACGATTGTAATCATGCAGCCAAAAGCCCTCGTTCTAGGTTTACCCAAGCTCGCCATGTTTGCACAATATGCAGCTACTCTCATTAACTGACCCTAAGATGTCAAAACAAGAGATACCAAAGACGCAAGCGATGCTATTGAGTTGATCGACTTCAAACGTGGGACAGAAACGAAGAAGCAAAAGGCCAGAGAAGTTCAAGCGCCGAGAGAACCAGGTCCGCAGGTGCAAGCAAGAGGACGGTCGGAGTTGCACCACTGTACTCTATGCCAACTATTCTGCGGTATGCTGTAAAGCCTAGCATAGCTTCCACACTGCTGCACGTCCCACGATGCTGTGCAGGCATGTGCATGTAACTTTTTTTACATTCAAACATGCTCGTGGAAGTAGCTTGGACACCTGTGGAGCATTGCAGAAGCTACACTAGACAATGTGGCACAAAATATGGCAGGCAAGTTCATCTGGCTCTTTGTGCACCTCCTGCATTTATTGCAGGTGATGCCGAGTATAGGGACACTTATAGATACACAAAGAGACGATGTAGATTGTCATTGAGCTTTAAAATATGACGACTATCCTAAATGGGTGGATCCGAGCGTCCCGCGATTAAATCTAATTAGGCCAAGGCACTGTTTACGAAACATATTTAGCACAAAAATGCCGGGGTCTCCAACACGTGGCCTTGAGCAGCTGCGAGCACCCATCCCCATGTCTCGAGCACCAGAAATGGCTCGTGTTATCGTATTTTTGGGATATCTTTTTTCTTCTTTTTTTGTACATACGAAAGGAAGTGGTGTCCTCCATAATCCTCAGGTTAAGATTCAAGGCATAGCACTGCCTGGTGCATTGCTCATCACTATTTTGCACTATTCTTTTTTTCTTCTTTTGGATTTCATTATGTTTCACATTCATCTATGCTTTCAGGGCTGTTTCTCGCGTTCAGCACCCATTCAACAGTACCCGTGGCCAGCATTAGAAGGGGAAACAGTATGAAATGCTGTTACAATATTTGACATAAAATCGAAAGACGTCAAATAGAATCCTTCACAAGATGTGCTAAACTCAACCTGGGTAAGTTGAGCATTTTGTTTTGACTCTAGTCATCAAGTATAAGCTCAGAGTAGGTACCGTAGTCAAAAGTCAAAGCTTAATATGCCACCGGTAGAAATCACAAGTTTCTAAGGCACAAGAAGCACGATGCCTCGTCATCAGGGAGTCTCGAGGATGTCTCTCAAACCCTCCACTACTTGCTACGCAAAAATTATTTCCTTTGCCTCAACTAATAGACCCTTTCCGAAATTCAGTCCGGCCACTTCAATAGCTATCATCATTGTCATCTTGACGGGGCTCAAAAGTGCGGCTGGCCACATTGTACGAGGGAGACGCTGCCAACGCCGCCATGAGCCTGTACGGCATCGCGAGTACAAGCTTTGCTGCTGCTGGCAGTCTAACAGTCTCGTGGACAAGACGTTTGTCGCCCATTTCAGACTTTCAGCCCGGTCGAGGACTGCGCCTGTGGCAGCATTAACGCAGTCGTCGATGTTACAATCGTTCACTATGCTGTCTTCAGTTGCGACTGCGTGGCACATGAAGTCAGCGGTTAAGTCTTCCATAGCGCTGACAGTGACGATTTCACCGCTTGCATTCTTTTGGCTCGATGCCCCAGGTGCCGCGTGTCCACCGGTCAGATCGGCGAATGCGTAGCTTGTTTCTTCACTAACGGGTTCGCTCACCGCGCCTTGACTGCTCGGATCGGCGATTGCGTCATTCGTCACTCCGGCATCAGCGGCGGAAAACTTCGGCGTTGACGGCGGCGCCTGTCGTACTCGTGGTTTCTTTCTGGGCGGCCTTTTCGCGACGTTGAAAGCGAAGATGCTTGGCACTGCTTCCTGTCTGAGGTAGCGATGTCTACTAGCGACGTTCGGAATGTAGTCACCCTCTCAAAAGTGTCCTGAGCAAATCTTAGTGTACTTCGTAATGGAGAAGTGCTTGCTTTCGTCACGTTTTATCGCAACAATCCATTTTTTTTCGGAGAGCGGGGTCGAATGGGATGGGGAACAAAGATACCTGTAAAAAAAAAAATATACAAATTCGCAAAAGGTCACACGAAATGCCCGAATGTTAACGTTCTCTCAATACCCCAAGCCCAGCAACATCGCTTCTGTTTACAAAAAGAAAAGGGTGCAGGTGCATGCTCCCTTCCGTCATGCTAGTGCTTGAGAAGCAGCACGAGACGGCTTATATCATTCTATGCTACTAATCTGGCGAGATCTCTTTCGTTTCGATTGTCGCAGCGGTCGCGTGCGTGCACCGCCCAACCGCAAGCCAGAGGCATCCTTGAGTCCTTTTTGCTTACACAGCGGCACACAGCAATGAAAAGGCATCGCAGAAGCAGCGTGTGGCGAAGTATCGGCCGCGCAACACCTTCTGTGGCCGCAGTGGTGTCGGTGATGTAGCGCACGTTGAGCAAGCGCCGATGCGACCATACATGCTTATGGCGGACGCACGCCACGCCACGCCCACCTGCGAAGTTTTGCAACCGTTCCGGTAGATGGCGCTGAATTTGTAAAAGGGTCTATTCCCCCCCCCCCCTCTAAAACACTGACCCTCAATGCCTACAAAGCCTACCTCTTGCTACCCAGCCCTCGGAGGAGGACGAGTCAAGACCGATAATGAAACTGGCTCTAAAAATGGCTACCTCAGATTTTGTCTTTAACACAAAACCTGCTTTATCAGCCGAATTTTATGAAAAGGCTCTTGCGAAGAACTGTCATGATGAACGCTCATAAAGGGGTATTCACGCAAAGGAGAAATCCGCTACTTTCCTCCACGGAGCATGCATCACATGAGACATACATCATCCCTTCTTGACACCTTGTGGTGCCGTCCTCCTCCTTGGCAGAGGAGCGGAGGGTTCGTGCTGTCAGCATGAACGCTTCGCAGGTGGGTGGCAGAGCAGTTCACTCTTCACTGTTTTTGGCAATACTCTTTGGCCTCGTCTGGCCACAAAAGTCTTTGCGCACTTCAGAAGGAATCGCCTGTGCCATTACTGTTGTTTCCGTTGTTGTAGTCCCACGTGAAATGGCAAACTTAAATGACAATGCCTCATTCTTTTTTATTTCCCTCGCTGAGCAGTTCCCGGCATTGTGGGACACAAGCAGCAATCTCTACTCAAACACAAACATCAAGGTGTCAATATGGGGAAAAGATTACCGGATAGATTATCGCCTGGTTCCCGCAATTTGCGGCGTACGCAGTGGATCAGTGATGTTTTCGTTCAATGCATATATGCGCTCTGCGGCTGCTGACATTAAAAACACTGTCAGAACCTCACAGGACACCTGATGTTTGTTGCCTGCTTCTTGTACTTGAGGGCCGACGCAGGCCAGTGGTTCGACGAAGACGTCATGGGGCACTCAAAGGAGTCTTCGATACTCGGCGGTGTCGCTTTCAAGAAGCTCCTCATACAACTGGTTCTGTATCCCAAGTTCTTTGCTCTGCACCCAACCTTTCTCACAGCATCTTCTTTTACCAGGAAGAATGTCTTCGCTGTCCCTTTCTAGCAGCACTGCTGCCATACTGGCGTACCGCCGCATCGTTGTCGAGAAAGCAATCGCTAAATTCGTCAGGTAACACTGATATTCTTCACGGCTCCCCGCGACTCGCCGCCCTCTGTGTGACTGCTAGAGCTGCAGACAAAGTTTCGCGGGCTGCTGACGTCGTGACATCTGTCCGCACAGTTCTCCTTCGTGTGAATACCCAAAGAACCATACCGAAAAAATGTGACATTATGCAACACCATGATGTCACAATGAATATGACAACACATGACGTGACGCCACCGTGGTACCACGAGATCCCACGACATCACCTGGATGTCGTGTTACACGATCATGATGCCCTGGTGTCATGGACACAATGAGGTCATACCACTCCAACATCACATGACACCATAACATAGTGTAATGTCAATCATGTGACCCCATGATGTCGCATGACGTTGCACACGCATAGGATGTGTCCAGCTCGTTCACTACAAATTCTGTGATCCCCGGTTTTTGTCAGCATGATCAAGCTTGTGTATTTTTATGCGTGCCTCTGAAGCACTAACCTGTGCAAGTAAAAAAGAAAGGGGCTGCAGTCACAGTTGAACTTGCCTTCCTCAATCACACAGTTCCAGTGTCCCTCAGGGCCCAGGGGGGAGGGCGATGCTCTGCTGCTTGCTTCTGTCTGGAAGCTGGCTCCCGTCAGAGTGGGCAGTACCTCTGTAGGAGATTACAGCACACCAATACCATTGATGATCCAGGATAGCATAAGGCATAGATGACAGGATTGACAGTAAGGGGAGGGGGGGGGGGGGGGGGGGCGTAACTTTGGGGTAAGTGCTAACATTTGCATTGAGCTGTCATAAAACGACAGATCAACATTGAGGAGGGCTGTAGCTATGTTAGCGCTAACTCTAGACACGCAAGTACCCAGCGATGCCATGGGATGGTTTGCCCAGACTGGCTTGCCATGGCTCGCAAGCTAAGGCGGCTAATGGCTAAAGGTCCCCGCAGTCAGTCAGCCAGCCAACGCCGGCCGTTGCAATGGTCGCTGTTTCAGTTTATTGCCCTGTCGGCATGATAAAGCTTGTGTATTTTTACGCGTGCCTCCAAAGCCCTAACCTGTGCAAGTAAAAAAGAAAGGGGTGGCAGTCACAGTTGAACTTGCCTTCCTTAATCACACAGTTGTTCCAGTGTCCCTCAAGGCCCCGGGGGGAGGGCGATGCTCTGCTGCTTTTTTCCATCTGGAAGCTGGCTCCCGTCGGAGTAGGCAGTATCTCTGTCGGACAGAATGGTACACCAATGCCGTTGATGTCCTAGGATACCATATGACCGCAGCCAGTCAGCCAAAAAGACCAAAAAACTTACAATATTGATCAACTTTGATTTTTGTTATTTTAAAAAAAGACATGAGGCTAACGAAACAAAGCTACAAAAAGGTATTTGGAACAGTACACATGTCAACAATGATTTTCTTTATAAAAGCATTAGCTTTAGGTTTCAATAGTAAAACCAACCGGCGGACACTTAGAGCGCCTTCCGGTTAGCTATTTCAGCGCCATCTCTTATCCGTTGGTATTCTATTAAGTCTTTCCGGTTTACGCCGGGAACTTTATTTAATAGGATGAGATACATATTATTGTTGCTATTTACAAATTTCAAAAATTATCCTGGTAAGATGAAACAAATATCTTGGTTAGCTAAAGTTTCGCCCTCATACTTTGCTCTCATTGGCCGGTTGTTTTTTGTATTTTGACCGTTGAGAACAGTTGCGCGTCGGCTGCCGCGCTCGCGGATGCGTCGGCTGCTCGGCGGCGCCTGTGCCAGCGGTACGGTGGTGGTTTTCGTTTGCGGCAGCGGGCAGTGGCATTGACCTATTGGTTATCGGTCTATTTCTGCTACCAGTACACAGAGCAAACGAAACCTTGTTCATTGCTCGACTCAGTGGTGCTCTAATTCCAGTGGCAACAGCTCTGCCAAGTTCTTTGGGTTCCCGATCGAGTGACGAAAGGTAAAGACGGGCTGCTATACTTTTGGTTATACAGTTTCGGATTGTCGAAAACTTGCTGGTGCATGTTTCTTTATAGAAGAGTTATTGTAAAGGGTCACAAGGGACAGCGCATGTATCTTAAAATGAGCGGTGTGGGCGGTGTCGGTGTTAGAGCACCGCAGCTCGGTAGCTCGTGCGTGGAGCAGCTCGCTGCAGAAGGAACCTGCGAGAAACCCCGGCGATCGAATCACTGTCGCTAACTACCGCAAAGTTAAATGTGTGATTGCAGGTCTGTGAATACTTGAATAGTAGTTTCGTGTAGATTTTGTTACTTTGTTGTGCTGTGCAGTGAACGTTTTTTTTTTTCTTTGTATAATGAGCGTGCCTAATAAAAAGAGAACTTGCAAAAGAAGTTTGGACTTGTGCTCAGACTGGCGATGTGCGCCCATCTTAAGCCGCTAAACAGCAGCGGCTGGGCGTGCTTTGCATTCATTCATTGACAATTTTATGAGAACTGGCTGTCACTGAACATGCACTGTTGCTAAGCCGATCTCAATCAGGCGAGGCAAAGTCAAGTGCAATTGTTTCGGAAGCGTCGGACATTCGCAAAAAAAGGTAAACACACTTTTTTTGTTCTAAAAAAGATTACATTGTATTGTAGAAGAACGAGACGGCGGCAATGGGAGCAGTTCCCTCTTCTCTCAACATCAGCGACAATAAGATGCAAATTCGTTCGGAGTTCGGAGGCTGCTCCGAACTCCGAACGAACTCGCATCTTTTTGTCGCCGAGGGTGAGAGAGAGGGAGAGGAGGGAACACACTTCTCTCACCCTCTCCCATAACCAAGCGGTTGCCATGACGACGGTGCGCGTATTGTTTTGTCTATTTGTTATTTCTTTTGGAGAAACCCAACGCCCGTTAGGGGAGATTTGGCGCTGCCGTCTGCAATTGGAGTCCCAATGGGAGGTATACGAAGAGTCCGCCGGTTGGTAAAACCTCCTGCTGCTATGAACTAAGATTGGTTGTTGAGACCGAACTGGACCGTGGAACGGGCATCTTTGCGGCTTACCTTCCTTGACTCTAACGACATTGTCCCCGTGTCCCTCCAGTTGTGGCGGACATTCGGAAATAATGACGTTACCACCGGAGGGCACGCTTTCACCTGCTGAAGTAGGCGCCGCATCCTCTGGCTCTGGTGAGGAAGACGGCACACAAATGTCGCTGCGAGTCGGACGCAAAACAAAGCCATGGTCATACGCTAAAATAAAGAATTATGCTGCAGGTCTGTAAGGATAGCATGATAACTCAAACTCGCAGCGCAATGACAACAGAGATGACTCACAGCACGCAAATGTTGCTGCTGGTCGGATTATAAGCAGAGCCCTAGTCGCCACTCAAAATGAAACGTTACGCAGGGTTCTCCCCACGCTGGGTGGCAGTGGCTTTACCGCCCACCTCTCCGACTGACCTCCCATTGCTTTGACTGTCCGCCCACCGCTCGATTATGCCACAAGATGACGATGCGATTTTGCATGTGCACATGGCTGCAGACCGTTGTACTCAGCAGACCTGCACACCGCCACATTATCGCGTGTTATCGCATCGCCGAGTGCCATCACTCTTTCAAACAAGGAGAGCAGAACCACAGAGCGCCGCCTTCAGTGAGAGGAGGGTGAGGTGCTCGGCCGAGGAGAAACTTAAAATAAACAGACGTGACGAACGCATACTGCACAGCAGCTCTCTCTGCAGGTGGTGAGTGGAGGGGAGCAGAAAACTGAGAGGACTTTTCTTTCACTGCTCAAAGTTTTCTCACGCCGTGGTTCTCTTTATCTTTGCCTCTTCGCTCGCTCCCCACCTTTCGTTCCCCACTTCTTTTTTTTTTTCCAAGGCAATGCAGTTTTTATTTTATCATTGCTCTGGGGCACCACTCACAGGTACGCAAAGTTAGAGAGCTTACGCAAAGTGTGTTCTGTTGGCAAGCCAAATCATGCCACATTGCAAACTACTACTAATACTCCTACCCCCCCCCCCCCCCCCCCCCCCCCCCCCCCCCCCCCCGTCCCCCCACCACCGCTCGCATGGTGGTTATGTCTACCCCAAAAGAATTCATGCGGAAACCCTCACATCACACTAAAGCTTTATAGTGATAGCATGCATCTACAGAAAAACTAAATACCCCAGTTGCACAATAAGACAGCTAAGGAAGTACGTTCTTTCCCGAGTCGCATGTGGAGAAAGGCGAGCGAAATGAATCAGAAAGCAATCCGAATGATGGGTAGCAGCACTACAATGCGCCATGGTCCTTCCTGCCCGACCGTCCAACAAACGTGTCAGCCCCGTGGAGCAGCTAGAGTAGTGGTGCAAGAGGAACTTGCCTTTCTTCACAAGCACGGACGTGTTTTGGTTTACATAAAGGTGCCCGTGGGAAATGAAGAGGTCTTCCGCATCTCCACTATGCAAGGCCTCGGATGTCAAAACGGCAGACTCTTCTTTCTCTGTCAGAGGAAAAGCAAGAGAGAGTTTTCACTGCGCTCAATGCCCAAGATTCAGAACAGGCGGGGAGTCATATGCTCATCTGACACTCGCCTAAGCATAGAGATCCTATTATTCGCTCTGTCTCAAGCTCTCCTAATGTCCAGCAAATTAGTTTTTCCCATTTTCCACTCCGCCAATGATAACCAAGGTCTCTGAGCAACGCTGCTATGATCGGTGGGACTTCCAGGGATAGAACTGGGCAAAGCAGCTTGTGACGTACCTCGTCACTGGTTGCTTCGGTCGTACTCACACGCAAGAAATCTCTTAAACGCTTTATTCTTTTGCGTACCCGCGCGCAGCGGTATCACTCCTGTTGCTAAGCCTCGCATTCCGCCCGACGACTCCTTCTTCCTTCTTGGATGGAACAGCACGGATGAACAGTCACACTGACATGCACACAAGAAGGAGACAGACTCGCAGCGCTGACTTCCAACTCAGTCCTATATTTCTTCTTCCTCAAATCTTCAACTTCAAACTTCAACTTCAAATCTTCAACCTTTGCCGTTAATGAGAAGCATGAATTACCAACTTGCCCAAGCATCCACATTATCAATCCTTCTTCCTCAACCTGCGTCGCCGCTCCCCGCCCGCGGCCGCTGTGCCATCTCTCGGGCTCGGCGCGAAACGGTTACAGTGGTCGCCCATGCCATTCGAGAGGTGCGGCCCATGTTACGTGCATGCATATGTGCGCTTCCCCTTACAAGCTTTGGAGCAATCTTGGGAGCGGAAAAAACTACAGTTTGGAGCAGGCTGGAAGCAGCAAAAACGAGGTCTTGGAGCAAGTTGGGAGCAGCATACGAGTTTTAAGAATGTTACAATAAAGGCTAAATGTCACCTGGTTTTTAAAACTAAAGAAAATATGGGATGCAGGTAACTCCATGTGAACTTAACGGTGGTTTGAATAACCTTTTTAGTTGCAAATATTTTTCACAAACTTAAGTGCAAATTACACAAAACATATGAAGCAAAACTGCACATGACAGTGTGACACATGATTAAACCAACTTGCAAAGGGGTAAATATAAACAGGTATAAATAGCTTTCATTGCTTAGCCTTGACTAGCAAGATGTACCGAAAAATAAAAATGCAGGTACAAAAATGGTCTTTCATTTTTCAGTAACTAGAATAAGACAATAAATGCCCTTGTACATATAAATCTATTGGGACTTCATCAATTACTCGCGGATACACTTCACTTTTTCGTAATTCTGAACCAATTTCGTATTAGCCTCCGCCAACAGCACTTGTCAAGACTCAATTTTCTCTATCTCCTTTTTTTTTTCAGACCCAACACAATCAATGACTGCGCATGCTCAAGCATAGTCTGCGAAGATATGATGCGCTGTTCAAGTTGTCGCTTTTCTTCCTGAAAACGAGCTTCCTTCGTACTCACATCACTATTCTTCCTCTTATGCCTGCGTCGTCTTGCTTCTCGACCTCTAGTCTTTCTGTGCAAACTTTACGAGACTTCTTCACAGTTTGCAGCAAGTCTGCTGTCAAAGGTACTTTTGTGACATCACTGTCAAATCGTTCCAAAGCCAATCACTATCTGGAAGCGCGTATCTTGCTCCGTCATACGCCACACTGCTCGCTCGCGTTTGTTCCCAAGTTCTCTATGCGGGGCCGCGGCACACGTTTGCTCCACTACTTAGATCTTCAGATGAAGTGACTCCAGGACTTCAGAAAAGCACGGCGAGCATGCAGCAGCGGCAGCTAATGTTGCCAACAACAACCTTCAGATACAGATTTTTGAATTCAGGTCGGAAGTTCCGGTGCCACTGTTGCCAACAGAAACCGCCAGACGGCTAATTTCGACGAGCCTCGTTTATAATTTCAGTTTGGGTGCACCTTGGCACAATTTTGTTCTTGTTTATACTTTTGCATCAGTATGGCATGAAAAGTCATTAGGCGCACAGTGGCGCAATTGGCACGGCAGTTCCATCCCTGGACTTCAGAATAAATTACTTCAATCACGTTGGTTCTGGCAAAAATGTCAGGTCAGCTTACCTTCTTTAACTGCAAAAGTGCCATTCCACCGTCCCTCCAGATGCAGACTGGAAGCGGGCAATCCGCCACAATCCTCGAAGTGTCCCCATTCATTCATCGGAGCAGCAGGAGTCTTTCTTGTCACTGTTTACCAAGACAGCACAAAAACATTGTTTCACGGTTCAGCAAGAACTATGAGCCTCTTTGTCTGCTTGGTAAAAAATATGATGCAACAGCCTGAAAACTATAGACAAGAAGAAAAAAAAAAATGAAGGGTACATTTAGCTGTGCTTCCAGATAAAGAAAAGTTGAAAATCCTCTAGACCAGTCGTTTTCAAAGGGGGTCGGTAGACCCCCTTGAGTCCCCCGAAAGCCTTCTTAGGGTCCCTGAAGCCCTCATAGGGTTGTCGAGTTGGATCTGTTCGGATGCGTCGGTTGTTTACATGCAATTCTGACGGCTCAAAAGCTTCTACCTCGCATAGATCAGGGATACAAAGCCGGGACTGCAGCGTGGTAAATCGCAAGTGCTGACATCTGTGATCACAAGAGGAAGAACGATATAAGGACAGAAAGTCCGGAGGCAGGCACAAGGTTAGGCCTGTTAATTCTGCAGTCAGTGATTGTTTACCTTCTTACACTACATGCCGCCGGCGTTTGCTCGTGCATTAAAGCATGAACAGATTAGGCAACGACCGTTCAGCTGATGGTTTGTTGCCTCTTTGTGTTTATTAAAGTGTTACCAGCAATCTGAACACCACCAATGGCAATCGCTAAGCGTGCCTTGCCGCTTCGAGGCGGCCAAAAGGTATGTGATGGTGGCCAACGCGGACATCTTCTTCAATATTAGTGACATGGGCTCCACGCTATGGACATTTTCGCCCGGCCTGTGTCGCGTGTTATATCTGCAGCTAAATAGTGGCAGTCGTGACTGGTCGTCGAAAAGCTCAGTTGGCTGAAGCGTTAATCGGCTTGCCAAGTTCGAGCAGCAGCCATTTTGAAGGGCCGACCGCCTCGGACAAATTGGTGGGTCGCTTCAAAAATGTGAGTTCATCTTCCGCTCATCTATTTGGAGCGAGTCCTACGGAGCAGAATTCACCATCAGTTGGGAAACTGCCATAGAGCCTGCTCTGAAAAAAGAGGCACCGATCCATACTCAAGAAGAGAACTATAATGGCGATCACAACGCCACCATTTCTCCCTCAGTGGCCACTCGGGGAACTGCACGGCTGCTTGTATTGGTTCGGGAGTATCGCATTAGATAGCATCCGCCATGACTGTTCTATTTTGGATTTAGTCGGCCATTCTGGAGCCAAAGCATATACGATGTAACGGTTTCAGGGATGCCAAACCCCGTCTCCCAAGCGGAAGTGCCGCGAATTATCTACGGAAGTTAGGACGCGCCCAGGTTAGGACACGCTACCTGAAATCACCGGTGAGACATGGTTGTATAAAAACAGTATTAATTGTGCTACAAAACCTTGTAAACTAAAGAGTCTGGAAAACATCACGTGCCTGTCATTCTGTACTGATCTTCTATAAAAGTTCCTACAAAAAAAAAAGCTTCTTCCATTCATTTTTACGCAAAAAGCATGCTTGCCGCAGTTGTGCAGACGTTGTCGGATGTCGTAGACGCCAAAAAGTGGTGAATAGTATGGTGCAGACGAGACTTGCGTCTGGCACACGCCCGCTACAATCCTGTCCATCGTTGCATGAGGGATCACGGGACATCATCCACCACGTGATAGCCACGTTCTTGGCGGCCCGAGGCCAACATTGCCAGACGGAGCCGAAGTTTTGATTTCTGCTCATGTTTAAGATTAGATTTAAAAATATACATCCCATTTTTCACGAAGCAAAGGACGTAATGTCTTTAATAGGGCTGTGAAATCATTCATTATCCCGAAATCTTTGGAACTGAGTGGAGTTGCCCTTTAAAGTACTGCTTTAAGGAGGTTTAGAATACTTATATCTCCCGACTTCAAAGTAAATTCCCCAAATTTGGTCTTGTTAAATTTGTATGAGGAAACGATGCTTTGTCAGCTCTGAAGCCACTTGATTTTATCTAATATTTGCTGCCATTTCCGAAAATAACTGAAGCACACCCCCGATTAGCCAAGGCAATGCATTCCAGTTAAAAAACAAAAACAAAACAAACTCTCTGGGGGAATGATAGGGCATCATGAAAGATTGTGTTAGAAAGTACTTGTAATTTCCTTAGAGAGTAAATTGTATTTACTGTATACTTCATGTATGTTGCAATCAGTGTAATTAATGCTTTACTTGAAGTACATAATCTCTCACTTACTCTGTACTTTACTTCAAGTACTCTTTAGATGTATTTTACCCAGTACTGGATAACACGTTGGTGATGCCGAAATGTGTGTCCATAAAACGTGTATCCACAAAAATTTGCCCATGAAATGTCTTTCCACAAAATGCCAGCAAAATAAGAAAGTCAGTATTCTACAAGCAGTCGTCAAACAAATTCAAAGAGCCAATGGGAGGCAACTGCCGCTAGAATTTTGGGAAATCATTCTCCCGGCTGCCGGGAAAATAGACACTGACTATTTTGTTTGCTTCCACTTGGGGCTGTTGCAGAGAGGAGTAGACGGAGACATGGATCCGCAGCAGCAATTCTCTATTAGGGCATGGGGTGGTCACAAATCTTACATTGTGTTTCACTGTTGCTGCAGCGACTGCTGGTCTCTGTACAGCGCTCGTCAAAGGTGAGAGTGGCCCCGCTGTCCCCATCACAGGAAACGGTCTCGTCGCTGTCACCTAGGGCAATTTTAGTGGGATAGTTACAAAACTACTACATTATCTCAAACAAGGAATGGACCAGATGAAAATGCAGGCTGCCATTCTCAGATTTAACCTATTCAAATGGGAAAGGTGGCATTTAGCCAAGCTTTTCAACACTTCTGTATTACACAAGAACAGTCTCTGACATGCATATATATATACAGTAACCTGGCGAGCCTATCTTTGAATGTGAGGTAATGGCCTAGTAATAAACTCACAGTCTTGTTGCACATTCTCGAAACTGGTCCGGTGGTGCTGTGTTAAAACTGCAGCACCAGAAGGGCAGCTACTGTTGGAAGCTGTCCTGTTACCTGAGGGATTTTCACCAAAAAATCAACCAAAACAGTCATTACATTACGTTTTCCTTGAAATGCCAAAATACAGAACACACTGGTAAACATTATGAGTAAAGCTATACGCACTCCGTCGTGCACCTCGGCTGGAAAAAGCTATACACACTACATGAAACTCGTATAAAACGAATGGTTATGAGTCTTCTAAGCGGAGGCATAGCATAGTGGTAAGGTGTCTGCTTCATACGTAAGAGGATGTGGGTTCGATGCCCGGTGTGGGCCTACTTTTTACTTTCTTTTTTTTCTCAAACATTTTGTTTTGTTGAGGCACGTGGCAATATTTACGACATTTCTCTTTTAAAATCAACACTGAAAAAAAAAAAGGGGGGGGGGGGGGGGGGGGGAAACAATGAATGTTGTAGACGAAATTTTGCAGAACGAAATGGTGACTCCCTTTGCGGAGGTGCAATCAGGAACAGCGGGGCTTGGGTTGCCAGCTGGACGCCGCGAAGCGGCATGTACAGGTGAAGTTTTGTGGTTAGCAGCCGCACTGTCGCCGCAAAGCAGCATGAACGCAGGCGGGGGGTGTGTTAATGAGCTCCCCAGTGATACACGCGCGGTTCGAAAAGGGTGACCCAAATAGCATGAGCTCTCTGCGTAGTGCATATAGCCATTTCCGGCCAAAGTACACTACGTAGTGCATATAGCTTTACTCAAACATTATAACATACAATGTGGCTAATTAGACCGCATATTGGCACTAAACATTAAAAGTTGTCTTTTTCAGGTTAATTTATCGGTCATCCAAAGGTGCACGGTTCAAAATTAAATATCAACGAGTTTTGCACGACGAGGCCCCATACTCCGTTTCACCTTATGTTGTACCGCAGCGAAGGCTAGGAACGCGAGCTCATAGCGTTGGCAGCTGCCCTTAAAGGGCCTCTGACATGCCAAAACAAAATTATTTTTTTTCATGCTGGGCGTTGAAATGGCATATCAGGACATTACAAAAAAAAAAACTCGTTTCACTATGGAGTTGCATAGTTTTTTTTTATAAAAAATAGAAATACGAGGCCCAATTCAAAGTTCCCGCCAGTGCACTGTGACGTAACAGTGTACCGCAAGGTGTCGGGGCGGTCAGAAGGGAGGCATCACCGGAAGTCACGTGAGCTGTATCCCTCTTCGGGCTTACATCGAGCGCGTGTAATATTTTTTAAAACATTTTTGTTATTCTCCGCACCTCCACGAGCGACCCAAGCAGACAAGGTTTCTTTTATTTGCTTTTCATTGCTTAATGTTGCTGTAAAGGTAGAAGAAGAGGAGTCAGTGAATTGACGTGATCAACTACAATGCCTAGAAGGTGCTGTGTGAGGGACTGTCGCGGTATTTTAGCAACTGAAGAAGAGATCAGACTGCCTGCATTTCCGAGAGACATACAAGAGATGGACCGGTGGCTGACTGCGGTTCCCGCAAGACAGCTATTAGAATCCGTGGGTAGGCGATGAATACGCTCGATGCACTTTAGTGATGGATTACAACCCTAGACGAAGTTTACTACAACTTACAGGTCTCGATATGAGACCTCAACTGCAGGTCTGAAAGTTTCCTGCTCATCTCCCTGCAGCAGCGGCACTCAAGAGGCTTGAATTCAGACGTCACGATGCATCGGCTGCATGTGTACCTAGTAAACAAGTTCTACTCATGTTCTAGACAAAACACATACTTTGTGCATATGTTTACTTGTACTTGGTACACTCACCAGTTCGTATTCTTTAGACGGCAGGCATCTTCAGCCTGGAGAGTATCCGATGATTCAACGACTTTTGTGTCTGAACCTTCAGCAATGCGATCGGGCGTGTCTTATGCTAGCAATCCTAATTTCTGCGAGCGTTCTAAATTTTTGTTTCAAAACTTTATATCTTGTTTTGTGCCCAGTATAGCTCTGCATCATTGGACTGACGGCATGCACTCGTACACTGGCTTGTACTCGCAACGCTTTCATCATTGACTTCCATCACATCGATCCACTGACTCTTCGTCCTCAACTTTTACAACAAGCAAACTAACCAACGGTGCAGCGATAAAGGCTAGTGGAACTGAAACTTCGTTTTTTACAATCGCTCGTAAGAAAAGCAGAATAAAAATAAAAAATAAAAAAAGTCTTAGGCACGGTCGCAGAGAGCCCGAGGAGTGAAACTCATGTGACTTCCAGCGAACCCACTTTTAGTGACGTAGGTTGATGCCTCCCTTCTGACCGCCCAGACACCTTACGGTACACTGTTACGTCACGGTGCACAGGCGGGAACTTTAAATTGGGCCTAGCTTGTATTTCTATTTTTTTTATAAGAAACTACGCGACTCTATAGTGAAACAATTTTTTTTTGTAATGTCCTGATATGCCATTTCAACCCCTAGCATGAAAATTTTGGCGTGTCAGAGGACTTTTAATGCGCGAGAGCTTGTGCCGCCGAGATGTGCCCCAGACACTGTGGCCCCAGAGCAAGGAGCTCGCGCTTGTAGCCTTTCCTGCGGTACATCATAAGGTGAAATGAGTATAGTCGTACGCACATTTGCATTGCTCAATGGGAAAAATGGGAACCACAAAATGATTCACGCAATTGCGTAAATATCAATATCGTACTGATACTGCTAGATAATATGTTCCAGCGTAAAAGCTAGCCTCGAATAAAATAGTGATAAAATGATAGCAGCACCTCTCGATGGCTTCCGAAGCCTCACGACCCGGTCGTGTGATCCCTTCGGAAGATTCTCCGACGGAACGGCGTTGGGTTTCAAGAACCTCCTCTTGAGCACTGTTATGAAATACGATGTACGGTTTGAGCGGATGTCTAGACAAGCGTGATTTACGCGCGTACTTACATACCTTGTCCAGAAGCGTAGTTTGCTTTAAAGGCATCGCTTGCGAAGTGACGACCACACACCACGTCATGCGCAGTCAACTTCTTCCCTACTCTTAACTTACTTATCCACTGCGATTTGAGTTTTTCTTCAGTAGGAAAGCGATGAAAACTGATTTTTTCAGGCTTTAGAGCATGCGCTGAGCACTGCGGCACGCAGCAAGAACGTACCATCTTCTCACAAACCTGCAGGGAACGTGGAAACTCACAGCAGCCAAAGGCAGCACACTGTAACACGTTGTTTTTCACACACGCGTTATTTGTTTTGGTGAACGCAGCGCCTCCTTTAGTTCGATCTTCTCCCCAATAGGAACTTCAGCCCATTCACGTAAACAATGCCCTTGCAAGCACATCCAGCGCATGCACGGGCTCAAAAGCAGCGGCTAAAAAGCATTGAACGTACGATAGTCCGTTGTTTTGGCCCATTCTTTTGTCTCCCAAAGAAGGGCTCGGTCTTGTTTGGCGAGATTTTCTTGAATGTAAGCATCGTCTTTTGATTTCCTAAGAATCTGCCGTTTACTGAGCCATTCATCTCTGATTGTCTGATGAGCGAAGCGAACAATGATGCCTGGTATTTTATCTGCTCGGGGTGAGTACCACAGCCTACGACCACAGTAGAGCGCAGAAGCCCGCAGAGCAGAGGGAGCAGACGAGCAGAGCTGATCACGCCGGATTGGATCGTCTTGTTTTCATGCTTTCAAAATCAAACCAAATTTCCCTCTACCCCCTGCTAGGAACATCCAGTAATAATAATAATAATAATCTTTATTAGCACAAAGAGCAGACTTTGTCCTGGGGGGCGTGCGAGGCGATATACGGCTCTGGAGCAGATAGGCGAAGCCCGTACGCGAGAGCGTCTGCTGGCCAACCCGACCAATCCCCCCAGGAAAACAAACAATAAAAACAGAAAACAAGCAAGTCTCTACGTGACTGTTCTCGCCTTCTATTGAAGGGTTGAAAATACTTTATTTTCCTAGAAAATAAAAAGAAAACCTCCAAATATGGTCTAGCGTGTTTATGCTGCCATGTGTTTACGCACCTTTCCTTTCACCAGCTTTCACGCTCTAAAATTCCCAAATCGGACTATGAATATTACTAAAACAAGACAATCCAATCCATTGTCGTTGTTTTGGTTTTGGGTTGGTGCTTTCTCGCGTGGTTGCGTTCCTCGAGTCCGTGCTGCTTCACGAACGTGCTTACGTGATTGGGCGGAAACAGTCCGGTGCTGCCGCGAACCCAGACCATCCTCCCGCAGGTGAGAGCACATTAAAGCACCCATCTCTGGGCTGGCGCGCTTGTTGCATCTAATCCAAGGAGGTTGTAAGTTCTATAAAGGCCCGTTCGCACTCTTGCGACCGAGTACGACTGAGAGAGACGAGATCTCTTACAACTTCTTAAATGTTTCTAGAATGAGGGAATACACTGACATTGTGGCGCCATCTATGCGGTGACCCTAGAACTGCATTTCACAAAAGCGAAGGTTTTGCGGGATTTCCGAGGTCAAATGTGCGTAATACGCATAGAAAGGCTCGTTTATAACATTGACAAAAGTTTTTCGAGCCAAAAAAGAAAGGATATTGCGCGAGAAATAAAAAATAATATGCCGTACCGCCGAGTTTACACTGCTTCCCAAAAGATGGCGCCAGTGTGTTCTCTGGTTTAAGAAGTTTAAAGGAACCCAGGTTTAAGAGGTCGCAAGCAGTCGCAAGAGTGTGAACGGGCCTTTAGGCTCTATAGGAGAGGGCACGTTGCAATATTGGTGAAGCTAAAACGATGTTGTGGCCAACGTGACCGTAGATCTCTCTGACTATTGGTGCGCGTGACATGTCACGTGCGAGATGGATGGTTGATTCTAGAAGGATTCCTTGCAGCTTGCGTGCGCTCCGTCCGGTAGGTTTTATCAGATTGAAGAATAGACGAAGACTAGCTACGGTCACGTGACGCGGTCACGTTGGCCTGATAAGTGAAGGAGGTAAGGAGGAAAATGAGAAAGAGGCGAGGCGTCAAGGGAGCATGGCCCTTGGAGGCTACGCGACTGACGTCATGCCCTCCTACCCTCTTACCCTCCTTGATCTAATCTCATCCACTTTGCGAACCCCTATGTCTTCATGTAGCCCGCGACGGGTTCAAGAATTCAGGGAAAACTCCTCCCACCCCTTTCCACTTTAGCAGAGCGAACGCTAAAGAGGAGCCGACCTCCTCTCCAGCGTTCGCTCTTCTAAAGTGGAGAAGGGTGGGAGGAGTTTTCCCTTTGGACCTGGCATCGACTTGGTCTCCTGTTTATTTCTCTGCCGGACTCGAAAAGTCATAAATCCCGCCTACGCCTGCTTTAGCAATCAAGGTTGGCTCCTTGATAGTTATACCTTCTTGATCTATTTCTAATATTTCTTTCGATAGGGCATATCGCCTCTCGTCATCCAAGGATCGTTTGGTGGGTTGCTCGCCAAGCAAAAACTTTTTTGTGCGAGAACGTATCTTTCTGCTTCGAATTTTTGAAGCTGTGCTCTGGTAACATTGATGTCATCGTTGTGAAAACCGGGATTGATGCTTTCCATCTCGTGGAATAACGAGAGTTTGATGGAGTTCGCGCTGTTCCTGTTTGTTTCCATAAGATATTGTTGTACAGCATTTAATTGCCAAGTTTTTTACCTCTTGCTTAAAACTGTCCCACATTGCAAAAATATGCATATTACTATTTTTAAGGCTCTCTGACAGAATTAATGAACCACCTTTTGAAAACTTCTCATCCTTTAAAAGCCTAAAAAACCCGTTGTAACCATTCAATTTAAATGAGTTTCGCGTGGTGCGTATAGCCATTTCCGGCCGAAGTGCACTACATAGTGCATATAGCTTTACTCTTGCATAAATGTGCTTGCATCAGGTGGAAAGGGCTCGTCGAGTGGCGCGTCCCTACCGCGTATCCACACCATCCTCTGTTCCAGCAGTCAACAGCCGCAGGTGAGAGCAAAGAACACGTGCCCATTCCTATTTAATAGTGGTAATAACCTTTCGTGACTCGCTCCACCTCTCCTTTGCGAACTCTTTTTATAGTGCAGCGTGTCCGACTGCCGAGTTAACAGCATGCAGTTTACAACACCCATATACCTCGCCGACGGATGCTATATGCACTACGCACTAATATCGCCGCTTCGTCCACTTGTGTACGAAGCGGACACCTTAACCCCTATGCTATGCCACCGCTTAGAAAACTCGTTGTGACCATTCGTTTTATACGAGACAAACATAGTGCGTATAGCAATTTCCGGCCGAGCTGCACTCCAGAGTGCATATAGCATTACTCTTGCCGCAATGCAGTGGAAAAAAGTTCTGTCTCCGAATTCTCTGCCTGGGGCTTACGGTGGAGAGAACCTCACCAGAAAATACCCTCCCCCTCCCCCTCCCTCCCAGCAAAAAGGCTCACCTAAGCGAGACACACTAATACTGACCTGCCCGCTGAGTGGTTTCTTGTGGGAGAGGCTGTGGCCGATGAAGTTCCTCGCTTTGCCGTTGGGGGCACTCGGCAGAGGCTTTTCAGCTTCCTTACTGGGATCAGGGGCGGATGCAGGAATTTTCTGAGGGGGGGGGGGGGGCGGGGGGTTAGGTGTTGGTCAGCGTACCAAATGTTCAGAAAACCCCTCCCCTTTTCCCTCGTTTCACGCCCTGCATTTTACACATGCAGAAATCAAGAGGGGGGTCAGGACATCCGGACCCCCCCTCTAGATCCGCCCCTGACTGGGATTGATGTATGCGGATGATATCGTACTAATGGCTAACAACAGGACAGAATTGCAGGAATTAATGAGCATCTGTGGTAGGGAAGGAGAGGAATTAGGTTTAGAATTCAGTAGTAAAAGATCAGTCATGATTTTTAACAATGATGAAGTTGAGAGGCTGAAGATACAGAATATTACAGTTGAGACAGCTAGTAAATGCAAGTATCTAGGAGTATGGATATGTGATGGTGCAGAATATCTCAGAGAGCATGAAAAGTATATAATAGGTCAGGGCAACAGAAATGCAGCTGTAATGAAAAATAGAGCACTTTGTAATTACAACAGGTATGAACTGGTGAGAGAGATTTGGAAAGGGGTCATGGTGCTTGGCTTGACTTTTGGAAATGCAGTGCTATTCATGAAATCCGAAGTGCATGCAAGACTAGAAGTAAAACAGTGTGGGGTAGATAGTCTGGCTTTGGGGGCAGATTGCAAAATGCCAAACTAGGGAGTACAAGGAGACATGGGATGGGTGTCATTTGAGGGCAGGGAAGCTGTGAGCAAGATAGAATTTGAGGATCGGTTGAGGCAAATGGATGGGGAGCAATGGGCACGAAAGATTTTCAGCTCTTTATACATAAGGAGTATAGACACAAAGTGAAGACAGCGCACTAGGAAATAAAGAGGAAAGTTTTGAGGCTATAGTGGAGTTACGGAAGAGCAGGTCTCAGTTAAGAAGAAGGTTAAGGCCACAGAAAGAGATTGGTGGCTAGAGGGAATGCAGACAAAGACAGCTCTGGAAAGCTATAGATTAAACAAAACAGTTATTGCCAAAGAAAGCATTTATGACAATTCTAGGGGAGGCTCATTGTTGTTTGAGGTGAGAATGGGTGTTTTGCGCACCAGAACACAGAGCAAAGTACCAGGAAATGGATATAGTGTGCGCTGTTTGTGGAGAGGAGGACGAGACGGCTGAGCACTTGATACTCTACTGTAAAGGGCTTCACCCTATGCCTACCGAAGACAACATAGATTTAATAAAGTCATTGGGTTTTAGAGACGGCGAAGGAAGGGTGGATTTCAAGACAGTAGAGATTACCAAGCAAACATTAAGTGAATTGTGGCAGAAAGCGAGAGAAAACTAGGTATTTTCTTATTAACTGATGGCAAGGGGGTTTTATAGCTTCACTTTCTTTTCAATGCAGAGTGAATATAGTTTTCACATTTACACATACTAAGCTTACTAAGCTACACATACTAAGCTACACATACTAAGCTTACACATACTAAGCTTACACATACTAAGCTTAAATGATAAAACAAAATGACTAGGTGGCATACGCTACCGCCCGATCCAAAGGGCTCAGCCGGATTCATCCATCCATCCATCCATCTGCGACTCGTAAACGGTTCACAGCAGCTGTCTAGTGTACGATCCGCACGGCGTGTGATTGGTGAGGCTGGTGATATCCGATTTGCGGGTGACACTTTGTAGGGCTTTCGGTGTCAGCATTTCTTGTCTGTCGTCGCAGCGGACATGTAAATACCCTCTAAACCTGCACAAAAATAAGTGAGCTTTGCTGAGAGATTCATCATTTCGGCACTGTCACCCTTCGAGATTTTCTAGGGACTAGGCTACAGACCAAATGGGTTCGGATAGATGGCCGACTCTTCATTTTTTCTGGTTTTCCAGTTTGTATGATATAAATATTTGAAGAGGGCCTGACTGCGATGGAAGGCACAACTGTTACAAACTGAGGCGGACAGCAAGCAGTCAAAAAGAGACTTTCGGTAATGCATTTCTATGGGGAGAAGTGGGTGCATTTCTTCTTTGCACTTGATTATAAGAGCAAACATTGCAAATAATTATAACATAGTAAATAGCTTGGAACATTTCTCAATCACATAAATGAAAATATTGGTCGGTTGCCGTGTTTTTCTTCCAAGTTCCTTGCATTAAAGGGATACTTCACCGAAATTTGTAATATTCCCGTCGTGTTCAAAAATAGGTTGAATATGATCCACAATATCCGTAAATGACAATCGCACATTTGTATTTTGAGCGTGGTGGCTGTAGACCCACTCTAGCAAGCGCTCGGAGAAGGCCCAGCGGAGACCACGTGACGTCCAATGCAATCGTGACGTAGGTCGTCTTGGGACGAGCAAAGCTACGGCGAGGCTGACGTCGAGAGGATGGCCTAGTCGTTCCAGCCACCGAAGCGGCTGCTTTTGTACGAATTTCGAGTGACGGGTGAATCTTCTATAATCTTGTAGGGGGACAATAGCGACTTCTGCGACACACAAAAGGGATTCTCGGGAAGAGGGGAGTTCCTCCTTCCCCTCTTCTCTCGTTGTGGCCGGAGGTGAGGCACTCACCATCACTAGCTGTCAAGGTTCCTAGACGGGCATTACAAACGAGACGTTAGCGACATCCACCAGGTGCTCTTTGCTAATCATTTAATTTGTTTTAAAATTCGTTTTCGAGATTTTTTTAACAAGATATTGGTATGCTCTATGTGATACCGCTCCTTTGAACACACAAAGACCAAAAAATGAGCGCCGAAATTTCGTTGTAGTATCCCTTTAAAGAATGCTTCATACATGCATTTATGTGCACTGTCGGACAACATCATTAGCTCAAACACGGCGTCAGCAGTTTTCTACATGGGGGATTTACGTGTCAAACGAACAAAGGATACCTGGAAAACCAAGAGAGGGCAAGAACAATGCAGTAGCACTGGAGCAGTAAAGCCTGGTTCAGACAGTTGCGTTTCACTGCATTTCACTGCGTTGCGGCTGCAAGAAACCAGGACATCCCTGCTGCTTATACCACATGCCAAGCTTATTCCTTGAATTGGATTCCACGCTTTATACGAAGCACAGATGTGCCGGTGACTCGCTTGCGGTTCTCGACGTAACGCAGTGAAACGCACTCAAACGCAAGTGTCTGAACCGGCCTTAACTCGCTCTGCATGCACACAATCAACATAATGTGAAGGCTAATTAATATTGTTTGATTTGCAGGCAATAAATGAGTATTGTTTTATTCTCGCTGCTCGTGCATATGTGCAAAGATGCTTGTTCTGCGTTCAAAGCATCACCCACATGCTTTAAATCTTTTAAAATAGAAGCCAGAGCACAGGTGCCCGCTAGAAGCTGCCCGGCACAGGAAGTAATAAAAAGAAGCACCTTTCATAGCCCACATGCTTCATTCTCTACGTTTTGAATATTTTTATCCACTCCATCGTAAAGGTGCACGACAGGGTCATTTTCATATAGTAACTTAACTGGCATATTAGCAATAGATAAGCATCACCACAATGCTGGTGAGCCTTGAACAGACTCTTCATTCCTTTTGATTGTTAGTTTGCTTAGAATCGTTGCTCCTTTTTACACACCTGCTATAGAATGCAGGTTTTGGGCCTGAAATATAGTGAAGTTTAACATTGTTCATTGATGAAGGAAAATACAGTAACTAAAGCAGTTACACTTTTATAATATTAATGAAGTTAGCTACTATTCGCTACGACCCCAGTAACAAAGGTGATACCTGTTATTCTCCGGCGAAGAGACAAAATGCGTGTGCTTTTTTCGATAAGAATGCACAGGAGCACTGAAAAAGTAGTCGACTAGTTGCTGTCTGCTTTGCATAGACATTAGCACCAGTTGAACCTCTAGTGAACATTATAATAACTCTATTTACTGTCCAAAGTTGAGGCACACAGAAATGCTAACCAGAAAGACATTTTTGCTAATAAATTCCTAAGTTATGCTCATCGTGAGGAGTTCTGAAATCGGTATTCCCAAACGTATTTGTAAGTGAGAGAATGGAAGCGTGGGAAAAACGAGAACTTCTGGTGTCCCACAAGTACCCGATCCTCGCCAGGGTGGGCTGTTGCTGTGGCGACAGCTTCTTCGGCAACATGAACAGCCAATGGGAGAGCTCGACATGTTTCGGAGCGCGTGGTTCTGGACCAGAAGAAAGATGGGAATAAACGACGTCCTTCCAGCGTCGTTTACTTCATGATAGTGTCCCTGTGGCGCAATGTCGGCACTACTTGTGATTGAAACAGACCCGAACAACCAGCTTACCATAACCGGAATGGCTGGCATAACCGCTTTTGTCGACTCCTACAAACTCGATCACTGCGACGTGAACTAAATTCTCATCTTTGGTAAAGGGGACTGCCCACACGGCAAGTTTGCAAAATGGCACGCCTGGGAACAAATCGCCATGGCTTCGCTTCTGGTCCCAGGAATACAGGAAGTAGCCAACATTTTTTGTACCACAAAAGTGTCCGCAAAAGCCACCTGTTCATGCTGGGAGCGGCGTATGTTCGACCTTAGTGCTGGAACCCACGCTGTTGAACTGTACCTTAGTAACCGCTGCAAGACCAATTTTTCACATTGAAGTTGCTTGTACAGGCTGCGGGGACACTACACAAGCGCAACTCAATGCTGACGTAACCGTTGGCAGGGAAAGCGTTTGACCCACATCGCATAGCTCCCAAAATATTTTTCTGACATTTTGCTTAATTTGGCTTTCTTCTTTTTGAAGCTAATTTTTTTTTTTTTTTGAGGCTCTTGCATTTTTTGCTGTTGTTGTTTTTCGACAGGAAAAGAGGCACATGGTCCTTGCCAAGCTGTCGGGCATCACTTTTGTGCTGCCCCGGTGAACAGTGCCAGAGGAGGTACCCACATCTCCAATGGATGAAGGCGCACACTTGGAGAACCATGGCGGAATGCTCGCTTCCTGTCTTCCTTTGGAGGGGAAGTGGAACGGCACTTTTGAAGTTAAAAAAGGTAAGCCAAGCTAACATTTTTTTAAATGATTAAAAAGCGCAACAAGACGACGGACACAGAAGAAGACAAAGACACAGTTTCTGTGTCCGTCGTCTTGTTGCGCTTTTTAATCACTATGAATCACCAGCTTGCCCAACTTTCTACACTTGTTAACATTTTTTTTTGTCTCTACCAAGGTATTTCACTTGGAAGACCGTCCAAATGCAGAAGCATAGCTTGAGGGACCTTCATTGGCAATGGGGGGAGAGCAAGTGGGGGATATGGATTGTCGCTGTGCATTCGTAAAGCACAAGACAGAGTGAATAGGACAAAGAAGAAATTATAATCTCCCGGACAGTGTTAAATGAGCTTACAACTCCTTGCCTGTTCTGAGCATCAAACATTGAGCACCATTGCAAATTTCTTTTGCATTACCTCTAACAAAAAAAACAAAAAATAATCATGATTTATAAAAATTAGATTAATCAAATCTATTTGATTTATTTAAGATATCTATAATTTAAATCAGATTTATATGATCTGAATCACTTTAGGTAAAAAAATGTAGATTTTCGTTACCAGATGTGTTCTTAAAGGGGCACTGACACATCAAAATCATATTTTTTTTTTTATTATCCAAAACGATTGAAAACAATGCCGGTACATTACCCTCAAAATTCGAAACTTGGGAATTCAGTATTTGTGAATTAAAAATACAATTTCAAAATGCCAAACTTGAAGTTCTCGCGCGATCCGCGGCACTGCAGTGAGTCAAATTTTGCGGTCTCCTGCGAGTCGACTTTCTTTCGGACCTCCGCTCCACGCTACGAAGCAAAGCACTGTTGCCACCGCGACCCAAAGCGAGGAGGAGGTGAGGAGGCGTGATAGAAGGGAGCCGGCGCGAGAAAAAACCGGTTTCTTCCCCAACTTGCCGATCATCCTCTGCTCAAGCGCCACCAAGTTTTCCGAGAGAGGATACAAATCCAGGGAGCGACATCACACCGGACTCTGATTTTTGGTATTTCAAAAAGAGGGGTCGTCGTGCGTTTGCAATTGCATTAAAAACATGTTTTACGATTGCCGTTATGAAATATTATAGAAATGTCGCCTACAAAGCTTCTAAATTTTTTTATTTTTGATGTCGCCGTGTAAAAGAAGCAAGGAGCTGAGCAGCGGGGGAGAAGAGCGCCAAAAATAAAAAGGCGCACGCACGCGCAAAATATTTTTTTTCGCAATGCGTTTTTTTTGTGTGTGTCTATGACTACAACTTGCATTGTTTTAGACAATAAAAAAAAATACGACTTTTGGGGTGTGAGTGCCCCTTTAAGAATGACTTCCTGATATAAACCTTTCTTGCCTCATCGATTCCTCGCTTTAAATATAAAATAAATGGCCATGGAAAGCATAAGATGATAAACAAACAATAAATAGAAAATATATTTGGGATTGTTTCGGGGGGAAGTATGATTTAAATCATTGCAGTCGAATCGATGCGATTCAAATGACAATTCAAGACACCTTCATATTTATTTTCCAACCTGCCTCTCGCAGAGCAAGATGAAGAGCCTGCCGTTTCGACTTCCTCGGCCTGGCATTGTGGAGACGTGGGTGATCCCTTCATTTCCCACGGGCACATTTGTGTGGTCCAAACCACATCCGTAATTGTGAAGAAAGGCAAGTTCCTCTTGCACCACTACTGCCTGCTCCATGGGTTGCAGCGACAACCGATGGTAGTTAAACATTGAAACAGGAAGGATGCATTGTAATTAGGGATGTCGCGAACCTCCCGAAGTTAGAATTCAACAGCTTTTGAACTTTTCGAAGCTCCCAGGGGTTTGATTTCTCAAAGTTCGGAACTTTCGAAACTGCCTGGATTTGAAGTCTTAAAGTTTGAAGTCATTGAAGTTTTAAAATTTCGAACTCGACGGTTTAGACTTTTTTTAGGATTGAGGTTCACAAAATTCAATGGATTAAATTTTTGTATGATTCAGTATCGCAAAATTCAATAATTTCGAATATGTTTGAGCTTCAGGTTCGAAAACTTCAAACAGATCAAACTTTTTCGGAGCCTAAGTTTGCAAAGTTGAAGCCTTCGAACTTCAGGAAAACTGGAGTTTCTGTAAATATTGTGAGCAGAGCTCCGGAAATTTTACTATGTATCTTACATGTGCCATAACATTCATTTAGTGTTCGCTTTTTCGGTACTACTTGATACCGGCCACAACTTCTGGCTGGTGGGAAAGACAGCGCTCATTTTAAAGGAGGCTATTTCTCTGGAGGTCCATGGATTGCGGAACAGAGAAAATACTGGGCCACGGGCAAGAATAGAATCGACACAGAACCCGACACAGCGAAAGCTCAAGGAGTACTCAACGACTAAACTCGAGGCTTCAAAAACGCGGTTCAACAGGTTCCCCGGACGCATCCGGACCTTATTTATCTGTAAACTACTTTTCAAACATAAACAAGGTTTTGTATGTACACTGGACAGCGTACAGTTAACCTAAATGCACATACCCAAACACTGGTCATGAAATTTGGTTCTCATCTCGACTGCTTTGTACTGCTGTCTGTCTGTGCGCGTTTTCCTTCGATGGAGCGGCGATTGGCAGTGCTCGAGAGTCGGAAGCCTTCTCCACGTTGTAACTCGCGCGCCGTCCATTCGGGAGAAGGGTGCCCCAGATATACTCCATTCACTGCTCCACCTTCAGTGCAATTTTTCTGCCCTTGCCAACACAAGCGTGCACGCACAGCCAAAGCACCGAGGAAGTCAGCAAGCTGGTGCTGAAGGCGAAGCTTCTCTCAGCGGTTGCGTGATGATATTGTAGTACTCAATGCCGAGAGCACGCGCTTTCGAGAAAAATGCAAAGAGCCAGTTACAAACTACCGCCCCAGCACTGTTAATGTCATTTGTCAATGCCAAGAGCTCGTGCCGGCCAGCAGATGCGCTAGCTCGTGCTAAGGAAACAAAAAAATAAGCGTCGGGCACAAAATGGTCAGATTTCATCACACTAAGCAAAGCGCACATGAAGTCACCCTGTTCCAAGCAACAGCCCAGCGAATACTGCCCCACAGCCCGGCATGCTGGTGTGTTTTGCCCGAGAAAGCGAGGAAAACACACGCCGTACACACAAACTTTCGAGATAGCACCTTTCTTTTAAAGATGTGTAGACCGCATAGCTGATAAAGAGCTTCTGTCAGGTGCCATCTTGAGAGCTGGGCGCATAAAGGTCAGCTACAAGGTGACCCCAAAGTATTTACCGAAAAACTGGGCATCTTAATTAAAAGTTTTTAACATTTTCTTTTTTCATTTTTCGACAAACTGGTAACGCTCGGGCCATTTAGTTTGGTCGAATTGCTAGGCTTTTTAACCTGCAATATTTTCCTCCTTCGTGGCCACACTTGTTTGCATCCATGTATTCTGTATTTTTAGAGCCCTTACAAGAGTTCACATTCTTGTGTGTTGAACTGCAAAAGAAAATTATTTATAGGCATTCATATACTTCTTGCAATTTTTTTTTTAAATTCTGAATAATATTTTTAATATGATCTAAAACCATCACAGGTAAAACGTGTAATTAGGTTGCGAGACCTTCACTTTCTGAAGGCAGCTTTTTTGTGGAATGATAAGAAAAACGTACGAAAAGAAACAGTACAGTCATTGCAGATATTTCCCCTAAGGACGGATGTAAAATGAGCACATATTACCTCAGTCACCCAAGACAACTCAGTAGAGGAACGATTCATTATCTTGAGAGTCTGCTTCCTGGTTCCTTTAATGGGATCATAATGACTGCATGTATGTCAGCCTGCTCCACGCTTGATCGTTATCTTCGCCGAAAAGGTCAGAAAGTGTCGCTACACGCAGCCACGAAGTCGGGGCAGTCGCCAGTCGGGGCTTGCCAACAATAGGCAAGATAGGCAAGAACTCGTGTGGTGGCTCCGCCTAGGAACAACGAATAAAAGCTTTGGCGCAATATTTTGAATCCTTATGAGATTCGCAATTCGTCGAACTTGTCAAGATAGCAGGTTCGAAAGTATGATACTTTTCTAACTTTTCAGGAAACAAGTTCGAAAATGTTTGAATTTTTAAATTTAGTATGTTCAAAAGTTGGTGAATTGCAAATCTCTTAATGCAATAAGTTTGAAATATTCAAATTTTCGAATATAAGAAGTTCGGAATTTCAAAATGATACAAATTATAAACGCAAAAGTTCGACAAAGCGAAACTTCTCGAACCTTGCAAACCCTCTAGTTCGACCTTCAAACCTCAGGTTCGAAAATAGTTTGCGGCATCTCTAATTGTAATGCTGCTTTCTGCTGTCCATATTGTTTTCTGATTGCTGTCACTCCTTTCCACGCATAACCTGCAAAGGGTAGATTCACTTAGCTGTCTAGTCACACAGCTGAGGTATTTCATTTTTTTGTAGATGCAGGCTACTATCATTATAGAGCTGTTGCAATGTTTTGTTCTTACTGGCAGCTGTGGCTTTGCTTCTGACCTGACTGGGAGCAACACTTGTGCTCTGACTTCTGCAACAGAGCCAGAGGATGCACCGTCTACTTCGGCGGATGACAGCGTGCACTCTTACAACTGCGGCGACATGTCCGAATTTCCACTGCAGCTGGAGGGGTACAGGGCCGGTGGCATTTCAGTCAAGGAAGGTGAGCTATAAAAAGCCCACTGGTCAACTCTGTCTCAACTGAGAAGGACTATAAAGCGAATTAAGAGGAATCAAAGTGAATTAAGTAAATCATGTCTCTGTCTTTAATGCATCAGCGCTTCGGCTCGCGCCTTCAAGTCGTCTTGGGGATAACATGAGAGACCCTGTGACTTTTTACATGCCAAATGTGTGTTCTCAAACACTGGCCCCACCCTGTACAGTCACTTTACTTCTGAAATGACTCGCAGCAACATTCGTGCGCTGCCTTTCCCAACAGAGCCAGAGGATGTACCGCCTACTTTGGCTGAAAGCATTCTACCTGACGATGGCAGCAGTATGTCTGAATGTCCACTGCAACTGGAATCACACGGGGACAGTATCACTGCAGTCAAGGAAGGTAAGCTGTAAAGGCCCCACTGGCCAACCTTTGCCTGAACAACAAAGATGCAACTTGAGTGGCGTCGCCATTGCCGTCGGCGTCACCGCACGCTGCATTATGGGACATTTCCCATAATGAGGTCACGAGGGCCATGAGTGGCGTTACAAGTGATGTCACTTGTGAAGGTCACGACGAGGGTCACAATCTTCACAGTGAAGGTCACGACCTTTACGAGGCCTTCACGAGTGACGTCACTAGGGTCACAAGTGATGTCACTAGGGTTACGAGTGACGTCAGAAGGGAGGAGGGAGGAAGGGGGAGGAGAATGAGTGGAGGAGGGGAGAGGGGGGAGGACAGGGTAAGGATGAGAAGGAGGGGCATACCCTCTTCTCCGTACCGTCCCCTTTCGTCGTCGAGTGCTGCGGTCTAATTTGGCATTACAGGGTATTGTAAACATCTTTCATTTTTACATCTTTTTTTATTAGCTTAATGTTTGTATGGAATAGCAAACTTGAGGTTGATTCACACTTTAGGTTTTTCCCAGGCGATGCCTTCTTTTGATGATTGCAAGTAGAAAGTAGAAAATACTTATAGCCACACAAATGTTTGATATTATGCCTTCATTGTTGAGAAGAGTACCTCATGGCAGCACCTGTGGTGGCACAAGTCTCCCAAATTCAAGCAGTTTTTTTATCTCATATTTCTGTTTATTTTTAGGGGGTGTACCCTGATCAGGGAGCCACGGGCCACATTTAGACCGCTAGATTTCTCTTCCCTCGCTGCCAAACTGAGTAGATGTAGTGGGATTGATTGTAACTGTTTTCACGGGTGCATAGGGGGATCGATGTTCTTTTTTTTTTCTTTCAAATTTCATGTAACAAAAGGTTAGAACCAACTGCGGCTCCGAACGGTTTTTATAGCGCTGTGCGTAGGTAAGCTTACCTTGAATTGAAATGAAGTTCAGCTGCTGCGCACAATTTCTATGTGAAATGCTTTTCCTAGAAGCCACACCGTGGAGCCACTTCTTCTTTCAGAGCGCAGCACTTAGGCATCCATTTCCATCTTGAGCGGCATCGCTGTCGCCGTCGGCGTAACTGTGCGTTCTATTATGGGTAATTTTCCCTGCTAAATTTAGCGGAAAAATTTCCCCGCTAAAGTTAGCAGCAGGCAAAATTTTCTGTTAAATTTGGCGGGAAAATTTTTCCACTAAATTTAGTGGGAAAATTTTCTTGCTAAGTTTAGCTAAAAATTTTCCTTCTAAATTAACGGGAAAAATTTTCCCAGTAAGTTTAGCAGAAAAATTTCTTTGCTAAATTTAGCGGAAAAAATTCCACGCTACATTTAGCAGAAAAACATCATTGCTAAATTTTACAAAAAAAATTCCCCACTAAATTTAGCAGAAAAATTACTCATTAAACTTAGCCAAAAAAGTTCCCTTCTAAATTTAGCAAAAAAATTTCTATGCTACATTTAGCACAAAAAATTTCCTATATTTTGTGGAAAAATTTCCCACTATATTTTACGCAAAAATTTCCTTGCTAAATTTAGTGGAGAAGTTTTTCCGCTAAATTTAGCAGGAAATTTAAAATGGGAGGAGACTAGGAGGGAAGTGGGAGGAGGGACATACCCTCCCCTCATACCCTTCCCTCCTCCTTAAGAGCTGCACTCCAATTCAGCGTTACAGAGAATTCTAAATGTCTAATCTTTTTTAATGATTCCAATATAGCATTGTTTAAATTGAATTCGATCCGAGATAAAATTTTACTTTTACAGCGAAGCTGTTATACGCTAGGGTCTGGGAAAAAATGCGTCCTCACATGTTGACAAAAATCTCCCATTTAGTGGTGACGAGTATCAATAAAAACAAAAAGAGGGGTCAAGTATGAACCAACAAGGTCCTAATCCCTTGTTATCATATCTAGGCTTCGTCCTTGAGGTCATCCTTGAAGTCGTCCTAGACGTTCTCCTCGAGTTCGTCCTAGCAGTCTTTCGAGAGGTCGTCCTCTAGGCGTCGTCCTTGAGGTCATCCTAGAAGTCGTCCTTGCGGTCGTCCTAGAAGTCCTTGAGGTCGTCAGAGAGGTCGTTCTAGGCATTGTCCTCTATGTCGTCCCAGAAGTCATACTTGAGGTTGTCCTAGACGTCGTCCTCTAGACATCGTCCCAGACGTAAAGATAACAGCTTCGCTGGTCCTCCATCTTCAGATGAAATGGAAGGGCGCTGCAATTCCAATTTATGCCCATCTTTGTATTATACATGAACCTGGGCAAGGCAGAACAACCAGAGACCTAGTTCCTTGTAACAGATGCATAAAATAAATAATTACCAACCTGATTCCAAAAAAAAAAAAAAATATCTTGAAACAGATTTTATCATTGCCAAGGGTGTGGCCTCCACATTACTGGCGAGGATTCCAATCTCTGCAGTATGCTTACCGTGGCCCATTCAAACCAATTGAAGCACGCAGAATTCATGCTTTCTCCTCTTAGACTAATACCAGTAATTAAAAAAAACTTCAGTGATTGCATTTCATGATTTGAAATGGGCAAGCACAGAGTTGCACAGACATCAGCATGCTTCTGGCATATCTCGAAATGTTCTTTCTGTAAGCTGTGTGTGACTTTTCCTATTTGTGCTCCATTATGAGATAACAAAATTTATCTGATGTGTGTCTTTAACAGAGCCAACTGATGTGGAAAGGCTGAGTTTCAACCGCAAGGAGAGCAACAGCTCTTTTGCCCATGAGAGGTGTGATCAGCCACAGCAGGAGGAACAAGATGAGCCCAAGAGCTACGACTGCTGCTTCTGCCCTTTCTCCAGTTTCATCAAAAGCAAGGTTGTTGCACATGAAAAGACACACACGGGAGAGCGACAATTCACCTGCAGCCACAGCCAAATGGCATTCCCCACCAGGCTGGGCTTTCATGCTCATCCAAACATTTTGGGTACCAAAGCACACTTCAAATGCTGTACTTGCTCACGAATATCTCAGCGGAAGGCTGACTTGCTTGCCCACCGAAATATTCATGTATATGAAAAGCCCTACGCAGGTGACACTTACGGCAAACGATCCCCGTCAAAAAGCAGCGTCACACATCACCAAGATGTACATGTAGACACAAATCGCATTAAATGTACCAGATATCAACAGACATTTAAGTCAAGGAAAAACTTGATGAAGCACCACAACCACAACGTCTGCAAGGAGGTAGATGTTTGTGAAAGCACTGATAGAGATGAAAGGCCTTTTCAGTGCGCCGAATGCCCCAGAGCTTGTAGAGAAAAATCTGATGTGCCTAGTCATCAAAGGTCTCACATGGAGCAAAGGCCCTTTAAATGCCCCAGATGCGCTAAAGTGTTTCAGACAAAGTCTCGTATGACTGCTCATGTGATAACAAGACCTTTTAGATGTCTCTTGTGCCCTAAAGCATTTCATTTAAAGTGTGGTTTGAGAACTCATAAAGGAGTTCACGTGAGTGAAAGACCCTTCAAAAGCTCTGCAAGCCCTAAAGCATTTAGAAAAAAGTCTTACTTGACTGGTCATAGACTAATTTGCACAGATGAGAGACCCTTTAACTGTGTCACATTCCCTGAGGCGTTTCAAACAAAGTCTAATTTGACTGCTCTTAAGGTAACTGACAGAAATAAAAGGATCTTTAAGTGTGCCAAATGCCATCAGATATTTAAAACATTGTTTTGTATGAAAGCTCATACAATGACTCACACAGTTGAAAAGTGCTTTAAATGTACCACCTGTCCTAAATCGTTTAAAAAAAGAGATCACTTAAGAGATCATGAAAGGATTCACAGTGGGGAGAGGCCCTTTAAATGTGCTTTGTGCCCTAAAATATTTCGAACAAAGTTTTGTTTGACTAGACACAAGATTCTTCACACAGATGAAAGGCCCTTTAAATGTCCCCGCTGTCCTAAAGCATTTCCACTGAGGCAGTACTTGACAGATCACGAAAAGGTTCACAAGGTGGGAAAGTTATTTTCATGTACTTCCTGCAACAGAACATTTGTAAGAAAAGGTTGGCTGATTGCCCATAAAAAAGTTCACAAGGACTGCACAGAGAATGATGTCGGCTGTACAAAGAGGTCCGGCAATGTGCGACGGGTATCATGCAACAAGAAAGTTCCTTCAAATGATGCGTCTGCTGCACTTGCCTAAGTGGATTTTGCAGAGTAGCTGGAGTCACAAAAGAAGCTATAAGGGTGAAGTAACCCCAGATATGAAGATGGAAACAGGGCTTGAGTAGACAGCAGGTTATCGGAATGGGGAAAGTTCCTTTAAATGTCCAACCTGCCCGACGGCAGTTTGAATTAAGTATGACTTGAACAAGTATGAAATAATTTTCAAAATTGAAATCCTTAGCGAACGTGAAACTTACGAAGCGTTTCGGTAGAGTCGGGACTTAACCACCAGGGGTTCGATTTTGGTCACCGCAAGTGTGAAAATTGATTCGCATCTCACGGAGCGAATTAAGAAGCGTTCATAGATGGTTTGTCTGTTCACACAACCGAAGATTGTGGTTCATCCCCTATCGAGCGTCATTCACGGGTAGAAATAAAGCAATCACCGTATGTCGTCTGCTAAGACTGTGAAAAAAGCTGATCGTCTGCTACAAGCCAAGTGCCGTGGTAAAGTGATATCGGTCGCAAGCTGAAATTGTGATCGTCTGCTAGCTCAAGTTGGAAGGCATTGACAGCCAGTGCTTCTTTTGTAAACCTGATGTTCCCTTGCTGTGCATAAGTTGACATTGGCAGATGGATAAAGGAGCCCCAAGAAGAAGAACATCAAAGGCAATGAGACATTTCTTGCTATTTGTGAGTTGGTGAGATGCTCCCACCAAACTATTTCCCCATCCAACGGTTCCAAAATTTTTCATTGGATTATGCTTACCCAGCTGGAAGCTGTGACGCCACATCAGTCAGCAGCCGTGAACGCTCCCTCTCAACTACATTGACCAAAATTGAACACCTCTCTAAGAAACACTGGGTTTGAGGCTGATCTCGCATTGGCATCCCTGCTAACCCTAACCGTGTGGACTGTTAATTTTCCTGCCGTTTTTACATTTCGCGGTGTACATACTTTTCCGAGGCCATTGAGAAGGCATTGTACCACATTTGAAATAAAAAACATACAACTGTAAGCTATTTTTGTTGAATGTGTGCACGACAGAACACGCTAGACTAGGATGTTTGCTTTATGTTTTGATTGCATTGCCCATTCAGAAGAATTGATTGACAAAGTACTTAGGTGTGAAAAATAATTTGCAACAGAAGGTGGCCGAAAGGCATGCATATTCCTTGCGTACAAATAATGTGATTACCGATGTTCGGAGAGGACTCTGAGATGAAATTCAGCAAGAACTTTAGCAATAGATTGTATGTACTGCACCGTGTAGCGTTATCAAAAAAGTCTATTTGAGAAAGAGCTCAAGTAACGCAGTGCATCCATTCAGCAGTGTCGGTGACAGTCACTTCTCGACGATCGTACAGAATTAAAAAAGACTTCGTTTTTAGGCCCATTTTGGAGAGAGATTTTTTTTTTTTTGCAGGACTGGTTCCAAGGCAAAAAAAAAAAAAGGAATGTAACTGATCTGTTCTCCACGTCAACCTAACTGTCTATTTTTGGCGAAGGCACAACTCTCCAGGACTGTCTCTGGCAGAACACTGGTCATTGTTTACAAAATTGTGTAGAGGGCCGTTCGACGTTCTTCCCTTCCTTTCTTGTGAATGCCGAGCGGAAACGCTCAACTAGAGAGTACTTGGGCTGGAAGCCCTAGTTCTCATAGGGCAAGAGAACACAAAATGGGTATTCAGCATGCCTAAGGAAAATAATGTTAAAATTTTCAGGAAAGGCTGGAAAACTTGGAATGAGAAGCTGCAAAATGCAAGTGCAGACGAGCTGAACAGGTTTCAAGAGAGTGGCAAAACATTTCTAGCTACCAGGGGTTGCGAGAGTCGAACCCCTGGTAGCTAGGAGTCCGACAAACTATAATTACATTTTCCGACGTGAAACATACGTCGGAAAATAAAATTATAGTTTAGCTTCAAGCGGTGCCGGGTTGATTTCCAGGTTCCAGGTTTTCATAATCCAGACAAACTTAGCACTGCATAAAATATTTCATAATTAAATTTTTTTTTTTTTTAATCTTGAAGAATTATTTGTTGATGTTAATTTTCGGGTGTGTGTGCACTTTTTAACAAGTGGTTGATGCAATTTCTGAGCAAATACCAGAAAAAACCATGTATGAAGTAAAAAACAATAAAGAAAAAAAACGCATGGAATTGAACTTGGCGGCCTTTGGGGGTTCGGTTTCATGTCAATCTCGGGCATGTCAATTTTGAAGTTCGAGGGTGACAGATTTTTCTTTTACATCCTGCAATAAAGCGTCTGTTCATTACACATTTGAAGCGAGACATGAAACATTGCAGGAAACCACTAGCTGTTACCATCCTCTTGATTTCATTACTCGTCAACGTCTTTGAGCACAACAGCTTTGGTGTGTGCCCACCCAAACAGAATAAAGTTTGAAGAAATGGTACGTCCCCAGGAGTGTTGCGTGATCGCAACGAGTCGGCCGCGAAACAAGTTTTCTTACCTTATTGCCTGGGTTCTAGAATCTAGAATAACCTCTAGATGTCCGCGTCTGCAACTGCATTCACATGATCGCCACGGAACGAAGCTAGTGGCATTCAAGAAAACCTCGGTACAGGGCAGCAAGAGCCTTGGTAACGTCGCGACGATATCGAGTGCTCGTCAGTACGTTCATAACCCACGTCGCATGTTATGAAGGGTACAGCCATTAACATCTGTTTTAACATGGCGCTCTTTCTGCGCTCAAGCATAAGGTTCTTGTTTCTACTGAGGATGAATGAGTGTTGCACGGTCTTAAGCAAGCGCCACCAGCTCTGCCACAACGTTCATCGTTAGACACGCCTGCTCCATCGTGTGTATGTTAGCATCTTGCTGGATTGGTACAGTTGTATTGCGAGCATGGAACTTATGGGACGAGGTAATTGGCATTGTCAACCTTGGGTATAGTTTTGTTTTCGTTCCCGGTGGGCGACAGGTAGGCCATTTCGTTTTTTTTTATTGCTCGACTCTGGCTATTTCAATCGGAGTGTGGATTTCAATAGTCACAAAGTGCCACAGTTTTTTTTTTTTTTTTTAATTATGAAGGGTCAATGTTTTATCTGAATACCCCAAAGGATAGCAAATATAGTTTGTTGTTTGGATGCTCTCTCAAGAGGAGGATGTGGGCTTGGCGTAGATACCAGCGGATTGTCTCCAAATACGCTTTGTAAAGCCCGATTCATGTGGTGTGATTCTCGTTGCAATTTTTATTTTCGGCGTTGCTATGTTGATTGGTTCCTCTGGTGGGCTGCACAAGAAGTGCTCGCTCATCACTGATTTTTGTATGCAGCGACAGTGACGAAAACAATAAATTTGTTAAAAAAAGAAGTTGTATGTCTTTAGATTTTTGTAGACGCAGTGTAAACGCCGTTCTTCGTGGCTGACTATCACTGCTGCCCGTGAAACACATTTCACTCCGGTGGTGGAGTACCACCATTCGAATAAAAGCCTGGTTAGCCTGGGTAACGGTTAAAAAAAGAAGCTGGAAAGGGGGTGGTTGGTTGGCAAGCTGGCACTATTTGAGTTAATTGCACCCCTAGCCGCAGATGTAGAATCTGGAAAATATGTGCATACACTGTTTCTATGTTTTTAGGTTAGGGTCAGTTGGAAAAGAGTGCAGGTGCGCCGTGTCAGCGGAGCGTTCACCACAGCCGGCGAAGCGGTGGCACTGCGGTTCCGATAGGATCAATCCCTTGCGCGTGTCGTCTGCTAGCCTCCTGCTCACAAAGACGTTGGCATGCGGCTAACCAAACTGCCGTCGCATTTGTAAAACAAATAGTTGCCTCTGAACGAAGTGTATTTAAAGAGAATGTGCGCACCAAAGCAGAAAGTAAAGTGCTAGTATATGTTTTCTCGCCACGAAGTGCGCCTATCCGTGGTTTTAGCAATTTTCTCTGGTGCATGCCTGAAGGCGTTCTTCATATAATGGAATTTTCTGCTCGCACCACTCGGATAAATATGCAATGTCTCGACTTTAAATTGGACTAAGTAATTAAAGCACTTCGAATTGTTTAACAAAGACAGCCGAGTCGGAACGCTATATATCGAATAAATTAAAGGCAAAAATGTACCCACCACCTTGCTCATCTCTTCTGCCGACCAACGCCAGTACCTTATGGCGTGCGGCTAGGGCTTTAGTCCTTTAGTCCTCTCATGAAAGAAAACACAGCCACAAATGCGACAGTCTGCGGCGGCTCATTACAAAATGAACCCATTCGGCCCACCCGAAAACGCTGCTTCGCGGCGTCCGACTATTCGCTAAAGTGTCACATTCGCTAAAACGTCATTCGATCAAATTAGTGCCTCCCCTCCCACATGTACGGAAAGCAAGGTCCTCTCATCAATATCACCACTCGTAGTTAGAGTCCGTAAACGAAGCTACGCTTATCTAGCTTATTTAGTGACACTACTCGTAGTCAAACAGGCCGCTTTTATTTATTTATTTTTTGTTTTTGTTTGGCGGGAACGACTGATGTTTCGCGGGCCGGCCAAAGCCTTGTTGAACTGCACCAGTCGAGTAAGCAGTGATGCATGGCCCAAATAAAAACGCTATCTCAACTCGACTGAAAATGAATGGGAAAGCTTCCATGTTGAAATTAACCTGAGACTGGGGTAGAGACAGAGAAGAAACATCAAAACGTAGAAGGGACAGAAAATAGACAGGACGACGTCTATCTTTTGAGACGTCGTCCTGTATATTTTCTGTGCCTTCTACGTTTTGATGTTTCTTCTCTACCCCAGTCTCAGGTTAATTTCAACATGGTTAATAATCACCAGCTCGCCTCTACCCTTACGATTTTTTCTGGGAAAGGTTCGTTTCTTGGCGTCGTAACGAATTGCGTCAAAACGAAACCGGAGCCTTTGTAATAGAGGTTGCCGTTTTGATAACTTTGCCGTCCTGATAATTTTAATATTGTCTCTAACAAAACAAAAACGAAAAACACTTCGGTGTTTAGGGCGCATCTTTGCGTGCTGCATAAAAGAATGTTTTGCGTGTAGCTTACCTCTTTTGATTTCTGGGGAGGTTGTGTCGCATTGCTTTAATTCCCCAAGGCGAGACAATCCAATCCACCGTAGGGAGCCATGTTGAACTTTAATGTCGCGATCTACTGTTGCAAAGTTGGTTTGTTTTGGAATTTGCGGCACGCTTTCATTGGTGCTGTTTGAGGCTTCAGCTGGTTACGATCTGTGTGTTCTGAGCCCGCGAGTTCCCTGAACCTCTCTAGCATAAACCTGCTTGCATGGGCAGAAAAGAGCTCGTCGAGTAGCGCGGGATCCATTCGATCCTCTGCTCCAGCGGTCAACAGCCGCAGGTAAGAGCAAAGAACTGCCCATTCCTGTTTAATAATGATAGTAATATTCTTTAATGACTCAGGAGACCCATGGAACCGTAGTTTTCTCTCTCTCGCGTCTCGCACACGCTTACCTTTGCGACCCATAGCGCATATCGTCTCCGCGTCTCTTTTTGCGAACCCTTTTGTCCAGTGCAGCGGGTCCGACTGTGGGGTTACGCGCACCTTTCGACAGCCGTGCACCTCGCCGACAGATAGCGCCTGTAGGAATGTAGTTAAAAAGTGCTGCGTCTCCAAATGTGGTGCCTGTGGTTTACGGCAAAAAAAAAAAAAAAACAAAAAAAAACTCCCTTTTTTTTTCTTTTTTTTATTACGTAGGGGGTTGCCTTTAGGCATAAATGTCTTATATGTATGCTACAAGGCCTGTGGTATGAGTGAATTGAAGCAATGTTTTGTGACAGTGGTTGTCGTGCAGCCACTATTGGCCTACGGATCCCCATGTGGCGGGTTCGAATTCCGGCCGAGGTGCCCACAATCTGACGGAGGCTTATTGCGGAAAAGGTGCCGTGTAACCGAGCTTTCGGTTGCACGTCAAAAGATCCCCAGGTAGTCAAAAATAATCCTCAGTCCTCCGCTGGGGCGTGCCAGATGCCCGTCGTTGGTTTGGCACGTAAAACCCTCAAATTTGACTTTGATGGTACCTGGTGGGTGCATTGTGTTGGAGACCTGCAGCTATAAGTAGGTGAGTGCTCTCAGTCTGTAACCCAGGACAAGTCCATATCAGGTGACGCACATCCGCTTCCATCGCGTTTAGGGGACACTTGGGGCATGTCGCCCGTCGTGTACCGGGTTGAGAGCTCCATGTGTAGGTCACAGCCGGTGTAAGGGCCACCCCAGCCCGCAGTCTCCGAAGCACTTCCTCCACCCAGACTCAGGGAGGAATAAGAGTGCGTGTGTCCTGCCGGAGAGAGTGTTTACGGGCGTGGAGGAGGGAAAGAGGTTCAAACGGGAGGGGGAGGGAAGAGAGATTGGGATCAGAAGGAAGACGGAGATAAGCTCACCGGAGATAGGCTCACCTGAGCACGACCTACTTTAACCCTGACCTGCCCAAAGATTAGCTCGTGCCGTTACTTTAAAGCATGGATTGAACATGCACCTGCTGGGCCCGCTCCCCGTAGCGTACGATCTACTGAAGCTCTCTATTATCTGATTGGTGGCACAGGTCGAGGGGAGGATGAATATTTTATACTCTTTTGGGTGACGCTTAGAATGGAAGGTGCGTGCACCCGTTTACAAAGAGATGCCTCCGTTGTAGGGATCGTAGCTCCAAAGAATAAATCTCTAGATATATAACTTTATGTTAAATAAATGTTAGAAAAGAAAAAAAACAAATACTGGCTAGGTGGCGGAAGCCGCTGCCCGATTCAAAAGGGTTCAGCCTCATCTATCTATCTATCAATCCATCCATCTGCAACTCATAAGCGGTTCACAGAGCCTGTCTAGCGCACGGGCTCACGCGAAATCGGGCAGGGGACACTTTATTTTTCATTATTTTACCTGGTCCCTACATCAAAATCTGTCTAGCGCATGTTCCGCACGGCACGGGCGGCTGGTGATATTTGATTACTGTTTTAAAGCAATAGCTTTACTGGTGACATGTTGTATGGATTTCGGTGTGGGCGTTTGTTGTCCGTCGTCGTAGCAGAGATGAAAAAACCCTTCTCTCCCTTTATGGCATGAAGAGAGAAAAGTTGTGTGTTCCCATTGCCCGCTCTGCACAAAGAGGGAGGAGAGAGCGGCCCTGACATCTGTAAAAGAAAATGCAGTAGTACGATTGCAGCATAAAAATGGTTGAGTAAACAAAAGGAGTACTACTTTGATATTACAATCACGTACCATAGTCATCTTTACAACCCAGCAATGCATGCCTAATTTGCAGGGATTTCAAAATTGCCCCCTCTGGCTGTGTAGTTCATGAACTGTCAGACCTCAATGAAGTGCGAACGGCGGAATGCGGGAGTTGCGATACATGTGGCACCACCTGGAGACCCCTGGGAACTTGTAAAAATGCCTGGTGGACATGGGACGGTTCACATAGAAATATTGCGCCTCTAATGGCCTGCTGTAGCTTCGGATGGCTCCGAGTTGTTCAAGCTGCACATTCATCTCGATCGTGACTTTATCACTCACCCTAGCAGTTCGTGTTGCAGCGCTAGGATCTAGGCAGTGACTCGTCAGCAACGCGGAAATTGCTGGCAAAAATTTTCGTGTCCAAAGCAGGCTTCGGATGCACATCTGGGTCCGCTGCAGGCATCGAGAACTCCGTCATTGTTTGGTGCTACAACGCACGATAGTGAAGAAAGCGTCATCCTGCAGCCATCGGCTGACGTGCAGTCTGTTCGCTAATAGTGCTTGCTCATTTCCCTTGTTTCTAAGGCCTTTCGCTTAGCTTGGCTTTCTTTTTTGTGTATCAATATTTTTAGGGCTGTCGCATAATATTTTCTTTCTGAGCAGGCAAAGAGGCACGCTGTCCTTGCAAGCTGTCGGGCATCACTCCTTTGCTGCCCCGGTGAACAGTGCCAGAGGAGGTACCCACGTCTCCAATGGACGAAAGCGCACACTGGGAGGATGGTGGCGGAATGCCCGCTTCTAGTCTTTTCCTTGAGGGACACTCAAACAGCGCTTTTAAAGTTAAAGAAGGTAAGCCAACCTAACATCTTCGTCTCTACCAGAGTATTTCGTTTGGAAAACTGTCCAAATGCAAAAGCATAGGTTGAGGGACCTTCATTGGCGATGTGGGGATGGCAAGTGGGGGAAACAGATTGTTGCTGTGTGTTAAAAAAGCACAGAATAGGGTGAATAGGACAAAGAAATTATAATCTCTTGGCCAAAGTGAAATAAGCTTACAACCTCCTGCCCCTTTCTGAGTGTCGAGCATTGAGGACCACTGCAAATTTCTTATGCATTATCGCTGACCAAAGTAGAAAATAGTTAATTTTCCACTTTGATCAGAGGTAATGCAGATACTCTAGGTACAAAATAGTAAATTCTTGTCACTACTGTAAAATATTGTGGAAGGGCCCAGTTTGTTCAGGCACCCACTTTTATCATTTCCCAAACTTGGGAATTCTGAAAATTATATGTCAAGTGCAGGATTTGACCAGACAAGCACCCATGTCTAGATTATCCCAGTTTTCAGTGAATGTTGGGTGGGCACTCCTCCAGTGTTTTACGGTAGATGTGTTTTTAAAAATGACTTCCTGATACAAATCTTTCTTGCTTTAGGTAGAAAATAGTATTTTATATTTAGGTAGAAATTTTACTTAAATTGACTTAAAGGGACAATGAAGGCAATTTCGGACATCTTTTTGGCGATTGAACTGGGTTCCAGGCACGTCTCAGGCCACGTTGCCCAAATTTCAGCTGAAACTGGCACTTGTGTGCTGCGCAAATCAATTAAACAGTCGCGGTAATAATCGCACCGGGATTGACTGGGGCGACGCCCCGAGAGTTAAAAGGGGCCCTGCAATCATATTTAAGCATCTACCTTTTTTGCAGTTTCCACGTCTCTTGAAGTTCGGGCAAGCCAGCGGGCACGGAGAGAGTAACTAAATATCACTGCGTCATATTTTAACCGGACGACGGGGAAACTTCCTCCACCGACGAGGGCGACCCGCGGTACCGAAAGCGCGCAAAATGTGACGTTTTTGGTCCTGGGCTTACTACTGGTCAGAGCCGCTAAAAGCTTCTTTTTAGTCGAAATACAAAATATAAGTGTCGCGAACCGTTTCAATTACTTATAAAAATAGTTTTTGTTCACTATTTTAGATGAGAAAAGAAACAAATGCAGTTTATAAAGTACGGAAACAAAAAATGACCCGTCGACATACCCGCCACCAAGCGGTGGAAAAGGCGGCGCATACTAGAAAGAAGTAGTGGGATCAGGCGCCGACACGGAAAGGTCCCGGATGTACCCGGCAGCGCTGTGGTCGTATGGGGAGGAGGGTCCGACCGGCTCCGAGCCTTCCGAAGGCCGTCGGCGAGATGCTTTGTCTTGCGGTTTGGCCGTTTCGCGGTATGGCAGCGCGAAGTGGCTCCCACTCTGAACTGATCTTTACCCCGTGTTTGCTGTCGTTTGTGGCCAATGAAGTGCCATGCCGAATTAGTGTTTAATCACGCAGCAAAGGCAATGAGAGCCGCTCTGGCTGCCCGCTGCATACAGCCTGTCCAGAACATGCTTTAGTAGTGCCCTCTCGCGCCGTCGACACCGAATGCGGCAGCTGTGAGCGCTCGCGATGAGCTCACTACCCCTCCTCTAGTTTACGGCCGCTCAAGCAACCAAGGACGTCATGAGGGAGGTTATTTTTTGCTTGTTTTTGTAATTTTGATTTGCCTATAACTTTTAAAATAAAGCGAATTTCAAGGAAATAAAAGTTACACTAAGTTACTACGTTCAGTGCGCTCAGGTTTGGTGCAAATAAAAATTAGCAAAAAAGTGCTTGCAGGGCCCCTTTAAGGGAGAAGCCAGGAGAAGCGGAGCTCACGTGATCGATGCGGGGGCAAGAAGCGTGACGTCACAAGAGACGCGTCAGTGATTGGTCGAAACGAGAGACGTGCCCTCGGTCACGTTTTGGTCCGCGATTTTTAGAAATACTGTTCTAATTTCCGCTTGAATAACCATGAAAAGTATAAATCGGATGGGAAATGATTACTAAACCGTAAATAAAGCACCATAATTGTTTTTTTCTTTGCTACGCTGGACGCGAAACGGCCAACGAGCAACTATGGGCACTTTGGCATGCGGGACGCACGTTACTGGCTGGGCGGTCTGCGTCGGGTGATGGAGGAGGCCGCAACACACATACTCCTGTTCCGTTTGTGTTTGTCACTGAAGTTCAGTGACTGAACGAAAGCTTGAACTCGCTCGCGAGAGCGGCATTGCCGTTCATGCTGACAGATTCAACGAAACGACCGCGCCACCGTACTGCTATAACCCACCGCGGTAACCAGAGTCTCGATCTCCTAAATAATACCGATACCGACTATTCACACTTGACGTCACTCCCTACGTCACCTCCCTTTTCGGAGGCCCAGAAACGAGAACGGAGATTGTTCAGTTTCAATTTCTTTACTTCTTTTGTAGGCTCAGAAATACGTGTCACAAATGTCTGGAAAAAATTGGGCAGCATACTATGTTCCCAAGAAGCATAAAAACATAATTTAAGAAAATTAAATAAAATCGTCTTCATTGACCCTTTAAATACTTTAGGTAGAAAGTAGTAAATTTTTATCACTAGACGTGTATTTAAGAAAGACTGCCTGATACAAATCCTTCTTGCTTCGGCAATTCTTTGCTTTAAATATGGAATAAATGGCAATGGAAAGCATAAAAGGATAGACAAACAATAGGTAGAAAATGTTTTCAAGATTGTTTTGGGGAAAAGTGTATGATTTAGATCATTACTGTCAAATCTGTGCGATTTAAATGAAAATTTGAAGGGACCACGAAGGAAGTTTGGAAGTTTTATTTGATGATTGAAATGGGCATCAGGCACGTCTCGGACACTGTTCACCAAGTTCTAGACCAAAGATGTGCCGCTCCAATCAACTAAACGGTTGCGGCAATAGTTGCGCCGGGGACGATGCCTCAGGCCTTCCCTAGATGGCGGCAGAAATGTGAACTAAAGTGCGCTGCTTGACGTTGAAGCATGACGACAATGAGCTTCTCGTCGGGCGATCGGTCCAAACAAATGGCACGCTCTTGGCGTTGCGTCGGCGAGTCGGGTGGAGAGTCGCTCCGAGGTAACGACCGAGGACTCAAAGGCTAAGGTCTCTATGTGCTGAAAGGTAGTGTCATTCCTCCTCTCCCCACGTTTTCCTGCTTGCCATCCAGGGCAATCCTCCTTGCCGTCCTTTCGCACCAGGCCCCCTGCCGCCATTTTTGTGCAAGGCCCACGAGGCACACGTAGGCGTGCGCCTGCGTGCCGCCCTGTACTTGTTTGCTATTGCATATGGCGGACTAGAGAATTTTTCTTTGTTAAAATATGAAGACAGTTTTGTTTTTTTAATGTGAAGAAACTAGCATTTGTGCACCTTTATTTGAATTGTAAAGCACAGGAAGACGTCTTGATCGGCAAATGAAATAATGTGTGCAAGGTTCAAATCACTCACGTATAAAGACAATCTTTCTCCAATTTCACTGAACTCGGATGATTTAAAAAAAATAAAAGCCAATGTAGTCTTGAATACTTTGGAGCACCCGCATGCACTGCAAAAATATATTGCTTTTACCCGTTTTTTGCTGCAAGAGCAGAGAGCAGGCATATGTTAGAATGCACCTCTCCCTGCGTGTAGAGTATCGTAGGCAAGAACTGTGTTGCTAGCAGGAGATGGTGTCATCGCTTTGAGCATGTATTGAGCACACGCCCGCAAGGATCGCAATCTTTAGTGTACGATCTTCTCAAACTTTCTAGTATCTTGAACAAAGCGCATTTGCAGACTTGGCATTACTCGATGAAGGCAAATAGAAGGCACCACAACGCGTGCAAAACAAGGAGTTTTCGGTAATTTTTTGCATTACCGATCGTTTCGCCAAACCAGCAGTTTGGTTTACTTCGTACACATTTTATAAATGTTGAGTACTACCTGCAACTGTGCACATCAGCATGAATGAATTTGCGACTTCTGCTATTTACGTGATTCATGCATTTAATTATCCATGAACATTTGTTTTCCCTCAGTTGAAACGTTTCCGACCGATTTGGTGGATCCATTGTTTTCATTGCTGAAGAATTTCTTTTCCCATTGGGACAGCAAAAAGCTTCTTCTCTTTCACAATCCTGTTTGTACAACCCACAGTGCAGCATGATGGCATTGTGTTGCTTTAAAGGTCGTAATAAAAAATGGTAGAGCCCTTCCGCTTCTCATGAAGATGGAGGGCCAGCGAAGCTGTTATTTTTACGACGTCTAGGACGATGCCTAGAGGGCGACGTCTAGGAGGGCCTCAAGGACGACTTCTAGGATGGCCTTAAGGATGACTTCTAGGATGACCTTGAGGAGGACGTCTGGGACAACCTTAAAGACGACTTCTGGGACGACCTCCAGGATGACGCCTAGGGCGACCTCTCGGACGGCCTTGAGGGCAACTTCTATGACGGCCTCGAGGAAGACGTCTAGGACTACCTCGTGACGACGTCTAGGACAATGCCTAGAGGACGACCTCGAGGATGACGTCTAGGACAACGACTAGGATGACTTCTAGGACGACCTCGAGGGCGACTTCCAGGAGGGCCTCGAGGATGACGTCTAGGACGACCTCGAGGACGACGTCTAAGACAATGCCTAGAGGACAACCTCTTGGACGACATTTAGGACGACCCCGAGGACAACTTCTTGAGGATGACGTCAAGGACGACGACAAGGATGACTTCTAGGACGACCTCGAGGATGATGCCTAGAGATGGTAATAAGTGATCAGGACCTCAGTACCTAATAATGCCGAAGAAGGCTGACTCACGCTTTTCATTTTTATTTTTTATTCATACTTGCTACGACCAATGGGGAGTTTTCTGTCAACATCCACCGACGCATTTTTTCCCAGATCCTAGTGCACAACAGCTTCGCTGTAAAAAATAAAGATTATAGCCAGGTTTATATCATTGTGGCGTCGGTTTATAGGAGACCTCCGAATCGCGTGGGGACATGGGGTGGTGACGGTCACGTGTCGCTCCCGATCGAACTGAAGCGAGGGCAAAAGATATCTTTTGACAGGGAAAGGGCATGGGAAAGGAGAAATTTCTCTTCCCCATTTCAGACAATGGTTTGCACTACCTTTCGGTATATAGGGACCTCATTGGTGGCAAGTCTGGGGCGCCCTCGTAAAGCGCCAAACCAGAGTTCCGCGTCCTGAAAAGCATCTCCCGTTCCGTCAGCGTGAGGTCACTGAGTGGGAGCTCAAACTCATTTGCAAGCTCGGCGTTGTTCACTTCTTCCAGGTTGATGAGTCTGATAACAACTTATACGGCCACAGCTTTACAAACCGCCGCGCACTATTTGGAACTGCGCTGAGCATCCATTAAATCCTACCATAAACCAGCAGTACTCTTTGATGTCGCATCCATTTCCAGAGGCAGAAAAAAAAAAAATTTGAATGTTTATTTTGGTTTAGCCAGTTTCTTTGCAGGCACAGAAATGAGAGTCACGGAGTTCTAGAAAAAATTGAGTGGCATGCTGGGACCCCCAAAATGTCCGAAAGCCCATTCTTTTGAAAAAATTTGAAATTGCCTTCATCGTCCCGTTAAGTCACCTTGATTTTAATTTTCCAACCTGCCTCTGACAGAGCAAGATGAAGAGTCTGCCATTTCGACTTCCTCGGCCTGGCATTGTGGAGACGTGGGTGATCCCTTCATTTCCCACGGGCACATTTGTGAAGTCAAAACCACATTCATAGTTGTGAAGAAAGGCAAGTTCCTCCTGCACCATTATTGCTTGCTCCACAGGTTGCGACAACAAGCAATGGTAGTTTGTTAATTATGAAGCAGGCAGGATGTATTGTAATGCTGTTTTGTGTTGTCCATATTGTTTTCTGATTGCTGTCACTCCTTTCCACGCATAACCTGCGAAGGGTACATCCACTTAGCTGTCTTGTTACACAACTTGGGTATTTTGCTTTTTTGTAGCTGCATGCCATTGTTATGGAGCTGTAGCTCAATGTTTTGTTTTGACTGGCAACTATGGCTCTGCTCCTGACCTGACTCGCAGCAACATTTGTGCGCTGTCTTCTGCAACAGAGCCAGAGGATGTACCATCTAATTCGGCGGACGAAGGCGTGCTCTCTTACGACTGCGGCGATATGTGCGGATTTCCACCGCAACCTGAGGGATACAGGGAAAGTGGCATTTTAGTCAAGAAAGGTAAGCTATTAAAAGCCCACTGGTCAAGTCTTTCTCAACTGCAAAGACAGAACCAGACATTTCATAGCAACAGGGGGTTTTAGCAGGCGGAGCGAGGACAGTGAGGCGTGTCTTTAGAACGCCTGGCCTCTAGCACGTCATCCACGCCTTCTGCCTTAGTTAGGCTGCATGCCTGTGTGCGAGCTGCAGGAGACGCTGAAATGTCCGTCAAAGGTCAGTTCTCACCTTGTCAGTAGGGAGTTTTAGAATAGCGCAGTAACTGAAGTGCTGCGCCATTTGCGCCAAATCGCACCATAAACAAAAGTCTGCCACGCCTTGCGCCAAAGCGCCATTTTTGTTAAGAATTGTACCGCACCTGTGCCGAGATGAAATGATAAAACGGCAAAGAATAAAAATATTGTATTATTGGTCACCTAACATTTAGAGAAGTAGGAGGAGAAGAAAATGGTACAAATATGTATTTCACAGCGTCCCTGCTCACCGTATGTGCCGAGAAGACGTGAAAAATGTGGAGACGACAGCGCGCAGGGATGTCGGAACGCCAAACTCTGGTTGGAAGGATTAGTGGGCTGCCTTTGTCTCCACTGGAGTCGTCTAACGCGTTAGAACGTGAACGCAGGCACCCGGTGTTTGGCTCTCGCATTTGAACGCGTTCGACGAGTTCACTGGAGACAGGCAGCTAGCTTTAGATCTACCCACTAATCCTTCCAATCAGAGCTCGGCGTTCTGACGTCCTCGCGCACTCTCGTTTCCTCCCCTCTCTCAGTTTCTCGGCGCATGGTTTGATCTTAGGTCAGGTTACGGTCGAAGGCTCGAACACATGCAGCCGCAAACACAGATACTAAAAGCGCAAGTCACTGGACGTTCGCTGCGCTTGATTGGTTTAGTCGACGAAAGAACACGTGTGAAAAGATGGACGAATGCCATTATGTCGGTTTGGTCGGTCCCATTTGCTCGTAGCATCGAATGCACTTTAAGGTAAAACAAAGTATTGAGTCTGCTCGTCAGCCACACTGGCTGGCTGATCCGCTGGCAGATCAACCGGCCGTACGATGTCAGGAGCTAACATTTTCGATAAATAAAACATGGAAAAATAGGGTGATGGTGGCTATTGCAATAAGACGGAACTAGGTTATTGTACTCCCGATGAGAACTTTGATTATCGTGTCTGCCGCACGCCCCCGTGCCGCCTCCTCACCAATGCACGGACTCGTCGATCTTCACCATTTTGCACCGGAGTGCGGGAGTAGTGGCTGACACGGGCGAGCGCCTGGGTTAGCGTGGTAGGCTCGGAAATTATACTTAGTAGCCGGTACTATTTTAGGTCTGTCTTTTTTGGTCTTGATTGTAGTTTCCTGTCTAATTTTTTAAATCTGCACAGAAATAGAGGAAAAAATGTGGTGTATTTTATTTCAAAGAAATATGGTGGTTCCCGTGCAGCTGTTGATCGAAAGAGCAGCAAACTTTGACTTCACTCTGGTACCAATGCCGTCGTAGAGCAGTGTTGCTTTTAAAGCACAGGTGTAGGTTTTTATCATATTTGTGGGTGGTGTTTTTTTTTTTTCTTTTCAGTTTATCATATTAGAGTTTTGAGTTTGGTAAGTTCATGAAACTTTGGGGACACATTTTTATTGATAAAAGTGTATATGGTTATGTTTGCTGGCATTTTGCATAAATTCTATTTACAGGCTAGATAAACACCCGATTATAAATGGGGAGGGGAGAGAGTCTTTATCCCAACTGAAGTGCTGTGCTATGAGTTATTGCTCAACCATTTTTAATACCCCTTGTTTACGGAACCTGCTCTGACCAGAGTCTCATTTCTAAAAAGAAGGCTCTGTGTATTTTTTGCATTTTATCGATTCTTATCACGAAAGGTAAATTGTAATATGCTCAAGTGTCAAAGAGGAACTCTTGATCACTATCATAAATGAAATAATTTAAAGATGCTTATCCATTCTTAAGTGATGTGCTAATAGATTTTGGCTTCTGCTCCGGAAGCATCAGTGGCTGATCCAAACCATTACAGCGAAACCCGACTATATCGAACCCGTTTACATAGAATTATCTCTTATATCGAACGATTTTTGTGCACAGTAACGTTACAGTGATAATATAAAGCAAAAACTATGATTACGGCGTTGATTTGTTTGGAAAAGAAGAATTGTTTTTGTGGAGAGAGCGGGGAGAGGGTGCTTCGTGCTCCCTTTCCCCGCTCCGTCCTCAAAAGAGGATATATTTTTTCTTCCAGGCAATTGACGCGGCCACCTGCAAGAAGAAAAAAAAAGCCAGTTTGTTCTGCTAGCTGACTTTCCCCCAACGCAGCCACTGCCTTAGGGGAAAGCCAACTTGCAAAGCAAAACGGCCCTCTGCAGGAGAAAGTGCTCCTGCTCGGACGTGCTCTGTACTCTCGGCATAGTTTGGCGCTAATGCGCGAATAAAAAAAGCAGCGGCCTCAGCATTTTCGAGTCAATTGATGACGTAGAAAAATATTGTTATTGGGAATGCAATGAAGAAAAAGCAGCAGGAGGTGCAAGACTATTTCATTGTGTAATATGTCAGCAGAAAGTGGATTTTTGAGAGTCACATTGATTAAATCTTTTATATCGAATTACCCGCTATATAGAACTGGTAAAAGTTTTTTTGCGAGTTCGATATAAACAGGTTTGACTGTATTTTGCATCCTACAGAACCTGCTGCGAAAAGGTAAAATGCCGCTTTCATCACTGATAACATATGTGAACGAGCAGATGAAGCGAGCAGATCAAGTTCTTTCTTGACTTTAAAGGAAAATGATCTTGCCAAATTAAGAAAGGTAGCAACCTCTGAATCATAGGGGTTAGTGGCGAGTGCGACGAGCACGGCATGCCTTTTCATTTTCCGCATGTGGTTGGAAGCGGCCATCTTGATATGAATACTATAGAGATCACAATACAGATGCGGTTGAATTGGTTCCAAGAGCTATAGACGAATGGAGTTTTTGTCTAGACATTTACGACGCATTAAATGTGTGTTCTCAAGTACCGGCCGCACCGTGTACAGTCACTGTATTTCCGAGGAGACTCGTAGCAACATTTGTGCGCTGTCTTTCCCAACAGAAACTGAGGATGTACCGCCTACTTCGACTGAAAGCGTACTACCTGACAATGGCGGCAGTATGCTTGAATGTCCACTGCAACTGGAGGCACACGGAGATAGTATCATTGCAGTCAAGGAAGGTAAGCTGTAAAGACCCCGCCGGCCAAGCTTTGTCTGAAAAACAAAGATGCAACTTACAAAAATTTTTATAGCAAAAGGGAGTTTGAATGTCACAATTAAAACAGATTGCTTTATTATGAAAACCATGATGAAAATTTTTACTGTTCTCAATATTATTAAACTTTTTTGTTTATTTGGCTAATGTTCGTATGGAATTGATTCATACTTAAGGTTTTTTGGTTTTTTTTTCAATTGATAGCTTTCTTTTGATGATTGCAAGTAGAAAGTAGGAAATACTTTATAGTCACACACATTTCTTATTTTTCTGCCTTCACTGTTTAGAAAAGTGACTCATGGCAGTACCTGTGGTTGCACAAGGCTGCCAAAATGCAAGCTGTTTATTTTTTATGTCATATCTCTTCGAACATGAAGAGGGAGAATGTGGCTCGTGGCTCCCTGACCAGGGAAGCCACAAGCCACATTTACACTATCAGATTGCTCATCCCTCTCTGGCGGACTGAGTGGATGTAGTGGGATTGATCGCAACTGTTTTCACGGGTGCATAGAGGGTATCTGTGTTCTTAATTTCCAAATCTTGTGTAATAAAAAGTTAGAACCAACTGTGGCTCCCAACGTCTTGTACAGTGCTGTGCTCGGGTAAGGTGAGCTTGATTTGAAACAATGCTAGGCTGCTGTGCACAATGTCTTTGGGAAATGCTTCTGCTTCTGCTAAAAACCACTCCATGGAGTCACCTTTTTAGTTTGAACACTTCCCATACAGCATTTTTTTCGAGCTAAAACTTTACTTTTCGTCCATCTTAGTGCATTATACACGGGCCTGGGCAAGGCAGAACGAACAGGGACCTAGTTCATTGTAACAGATGCATAAAATCAATAACTACTAACCTAATTGCTAAAAAACAAACAAAAAAACGACTTGAGAGACATTTTATTGTTGCCAAGGGCATGACCTCCGGCCCTCCAAACCTCACAGTTGGAGGACGTCCTCCAACTGTGAGGTCTGGGGCCATGTCATTTGGGTAGGATGAATGTCCGCGGATCGCAGAGTCGACGTTGGGGTATTTGTAGGGGTGGGCGATTACTCTGTGTTCTTTCGGATATCGGAATTCGGGCAATAAAGTGGGGTGGGCAATGACTCGGTATATTATAATAAGCTATTTTTGCTAGTGCAGATTCCTAGTGAAAAATGCTCCTGTTCATTGGTTAACACTTTGCGGTTCCACCAACCGTTCTTCGCTAGCAGACGATCTGGAAGTCCAAAGTGGTGCAAGGATTGCTGGAGACGTTATGGGGGGCCTCGTCTGCAAAGCGCTTTTATAACTTCGCGAAATAATCGGCAGGGGGCACTGATAGTACTGCGGGCCACGCAGAGTGGTGTTAACATCGATATTGATTGTGACAGTACATCTAAAATCCTCGCCTTTTTTTTTCGGGAATATATTGCATATTGTGTCATTTTAACAATTTTAACAGGTGTCTGTCAACCAAAGTTTATGAAAAAAAGTTTTGTGAAGATTTTTTTCACAAGCAAAGTTTCTGAAAAAAAGTTTTCTTCCACAATAAAAGGCGAGCGGCACTTGAAAAAGTTAAAAGCATGGTGCTTAATGTTTTCGCTAGCACTCTGTCTCATAGAATTGATCACATTTTGTGTAGGTGTCTTTCAGACTTAAAAGTAAATTATGCTCTGTGAAACGCTAACCGAATGGTGCCAGCAGTTTGGATAAGATGCCAAAGTTTCAGGACTTATTAGTTGTATTGTATTACAAAGTTATCAGCAAATA